TTTAAAGAAGTGGAAGGTGGGAATCTGGTAGGGTGGGTTCTGCAGAAGAGAAAGAAAGGGGAAGCTGTTGAAGTTCTTGATCCAGCTGTGGTCAATGGGGAATGTGAAGGTGATATGCTAAAGGTTCTGCAGATTGCTTCTGTGTGCTTGGCTGAGAACCCAGCTAGAAGGCCTACTATGGAGGAAGTGTACAAGTTGCTGAAAGGGGTATGATCTGGTTTGAGTGAGCTTCTGTAAGAACAAGTAGATAGGTTTTTAACAAAGATGATCGATGAAGTTTAGTTGAGCTTATAGTGGATACTAACGATCTCACTCAGTTTGCTAATATATAAATTACAGAAGTTTGATAACAGTTGGCTCTGGTTTAAGCTTCCTTTGATAGTAGGATGCAGTGGGTTGAATGAATCTATAGAAAGTATGAAGAAAAAGAGAGGGAACAGAGTGGGCTGGAGTTGAAATTATGCCCATAAGTCTATCCTTTGTACTTGCAAATTAATATGTGCTTTGTAAGAGCATCCTAGAATAGTTGCTTTCCGGGAATTGGAAAGTTGCATTCGAAGCTCGAAGCAGAACTAGACAAGACTATGGAACATGAAGAATTCATTTGGTTTCAAAGAGCTCGAGAGAAATGGGTCAAATTCGGGGAGAGGAAAACAACCTACTTTCACCTACTTACCAACATTTGGAGACGCAAGAACATAATCGAGACCCTGAAGGATGTTAATGGAGATTTTTTTTTATGAATGTGTGACTGCTTGTATTCATCAGTGTGTAGGGTTTATAAGAAATGGACGAACTCCATAATAAAACAAGAAAAAAATTAAGAGTACAAGATTAGGAGAAAGCTATAGAAAAGCTAGAAACTCAAGGAGGTTGAAAAGGAGGTAGGGAATTATTCCCAAGAAACAAACTACAAATCGGTCTATATTAATCTAAGTTTATGAACTAGTGATGATTCACATATACTTCTAACCACTTTGTTGTAGGTGATGATGGTGGAAGACAGAGTTTCCTGAAAATTTTGGAGTTTCTTTCAATTCACAAGTGCCAAAAAAATGATTAACGGTAGTAGTTCGGTAGGTTTCTTGAACGGACAGCCCCTGCATAGTGATGGCCATTATGTAATTAGATCCTTACAGTGCTTTGGTTCCAGACCTTGCAGTTGTAGACTAACGAATAAGAAGTTGCAGACTTGATTCAGGTATGTACAATGTAATAGTAGATGATTTGAAGTTCCCTCGACAGCGAAGCACAAGCAACAATGATTGGGAAGACACCAGCCACGTAGTCGCAATTGATCCAAAGTAAGTATTTTACCTTGGAAGACCAACCAAGAAAATGATGAGACTTTAGAGGGAGTTGTCGGGATCCAAATAACCTCTTCCGGAAAGGCCTCTTCAACACCCGAAAACATTCCTTGTGTGAGGTTTTTGTAGCAAGCATTAACAGAGAATTGATTTTTCCCGAGTAAGTGTTGTAGGCTGTCTATTTCAGCTTGTAGCCAAATAGCAGGAATGGTGTTGAGAATGTTGCTGAGCACATCTTCTTGTCTAAAAAGTTGTCCACAAAATGCATAATTGAACTAGACATTCCATGTGGTTGCACCATTATTGATTTGGAGAATGTCCGAGATACTGCATAAGTGGTTAGTCGCTGCAACAAAAAGTGACGGAAACATCTCCGAGAGGTTGCAGCCAGGGATCCAACAATCCTTCCAAAATGACAAATATGAGGTGGAGCTTGGTTTAATGACCGCTTCTTGCCAAAATTACAGTTCCACCTTCAAGATTCTTCTCCAAATAGATTTGTGCATTGCTCCTGAAGTTATCTGCATATTCCAGGAATTGTCGGGTAATTGAATTTGTAGTGGACAAGAGATCTCCACCAAGAGAAATTATCTGCATGATGTCTGTGAAACCATTTAACCAATAGAGAAATGTAAGTAATGCAGATCTTTGATTCAAAGACCTTCGATAGAGTGATCGGCCTTGGTTGATTGTCAATTCACTAAGGGTGCGTTTGGATACAAGGATTTGGATTTGGTATTTGTGATTTAGATTTTCAAATACCAAATCATGTGTTTGGATATTAATTACATTTGGTATTTGGATTTGTGTCAAATTCATGGGGTGATTTCCAAATACATGTCTAGTGTATTTTTTGTCAACTTCAAATACATTTCAACAACTAGTGATTTGAAATACCTCCTAACAAAAGAATGGACCTATTTGTAAAATATGAAAAGTTTAGGTACTATAGTGTGAGGCAAAACATATAAAGATACCAAAATGTAATTTTACCATCAAAATTTCAGGACCTTTTTGTAAAATTTTAAAAGTTTAGGTACTAAATTGTAAGAAAAAATAATTTCGGGTACCAAACTGTAATTTACCAAAAATTTGTAGTAAGTGGCAAGAAAATTAAAAATTGAAATTGAAAATCATAAATACAAAAATACAAACAAATTACAAATAAGTATCCAAACAATGAATTTGAATTACATGTATTTCAAATGCTAATACTTCAAATACATCTATTTCAAATGCTAGTATTTCAAATACCTTACATTTAAAATACACTTATCCAAACGCACCCTAAGTGAATTTTGCTTCTTTCTTCATAACCAGCCCATTGAAATCTCTTCATGATCCTCTCCAAAACTTGTACAACAGACATAGGAGTCAACAAAAGAGACATATGATATATTAATAGAGCAGTAAGTGTACTTTTGAGTAGTACAATTATGTCTCATAATAAAAGCATTGTACGGTACCTTTCAATATTGATAGTCTTCTAGTCATGCTGTCAACAACTGGCTGCCATTAGGGGGTGAACAAACACACCCGCAAATCGACCCACCCGTATTTATCGCTAAAACGAAAGTTTTGGGTTGGGTGAAGATTTTAATTTGTACAACCCGCCTCTTTTGGGTTGGGTTTGGATTTTGGATTACACAACCCGTTAAACCCGACCCAACCCGTGTTCCAACTATTAGTATGAGTTCGTATCTGAAAAATATTTATGTCGTATATAGTTATGAGAAAATTAAGATATTTCGCCATGTTTTTCTCTCATGGTCTCCATAATCTGATGCATTCATCGACTTAAAGTTTAGACATAAATTGATTATAGTTACGATTCATGTAATCCTTTTTCTTGTGTACAATTTTTATAGAATAACATATTATGGTTTATAATCTTTTTAGCATATTTCAACAAATATCGTGAAAAAACTAGACATATGTTGAAGTAAATCACATTTTATTAAAATTCAAAAAATATTTGTGAATTTTGATAACTTTCACCTCGGTTTATTCGCTTGAAATTTTAATTAGTTATAAAATATTTTCATGATGTAGAATAATTATATATTTTATGTTGGGTTGGGTTTTTACTTAAAAATATCGCCAATCCCACCCAACCCAATCGTAGAGTTTAAATTTTTTTGAGTGGGTTTGGGTTTGATATTTTCTAAACCGTAGTACATGGGTCGGATGATTAAAATGGCTAAACCCAAACCACCCGAACCATGTACACCCCTAACTGCCATACAATAGAGGATGATGGATGGGCACTTAGCGGCAGCGCAAGGTACGTTGTAGGGAGGTAAACTAGCTTACATCCTAGGATATTGGCCAAGTTTTTTGCACATGGAACTTCTCCCACAGTGAACAATTCTAATTTTCCCAGGTTAATTTTATTGCCTAAGATTAACAAGCAAGTGTTGCTCTGGTATTCAAGATGTCATTATAGTTTGCGTTACAGAATAAAAGTGTGTCGTCTGCGTAAACCCATTTTAGCGATAAATTCGGGTGGGTTGGACGGATTGGACGAATGGGTCAATTTGCGAGTGTATTTGTTCACCCCGACTTGTTTGATCCTTTGTACCTCTCGTAGGTTCTGAAGAAACCATCAGGACCTATCTCACCGACCATGGAGTTGACAATATCAAAAGTATCAAGTTCGTGGAGCCAAAATTCCCCAAGAACATAGCCGCACAGCGCTGCAATGCTATGCTTAAATATTTTGCAGAGGTAATGAGGTATATGTTTAGTGTAATACTAGTTTAGTTAATGGGGATTGGGTGTAATGGTATTATTATTCTGATTTTGTATTACTCTTAAAGAATGTGCATTACTACACTCCCTCTAACTGCATTCCCTTACCATTTTTCCGTTAGAGCTAAGCACTAATATCATAGGTCGTATTGGATAATGAAATTTAGTGTTCTAACTGGCGCTGGGCATGCGGGCGGATCATCCGCGGGTTTGAGCCGACACACCCGCATTCGACCCGAATTTCGTTAAGTGGGTGGGTCTATGGATGGGTGGCGGGTTGCGCTAGGAACCATCCGCCGGGTGGTGGGTGGCTTGTGGGTGGGTGCACGAGTGACCCGCTCAACCCAACAGCAAAAAGATCAAAGTCGTCGGCGCTAGAGAGGGGAGAGTGGAGACGTTAGACATAAACTAGGACTCCTCCTGGAGTTTGAACCTCAAAGCCAACCTTCCAAATAGCGATCCCCTCTTCTTCCCTTTATTTTTTCCTCTAATTCTTGTGCCTAGATCACTGCTCTTTCCTTTGTGGAATTATTTTTCTTAGTTCCTTGCACCTGATAATCATCTCAATCTGTAGAAAACTCTTTCATAATAGAATTTTTATCCATTTTAAGAACTAATTCGACATTTAATTTTTCGCCCTATTTCATCTTCTTGTTTCTCCAGATAACTCTCTTCGCCTATTATCATGTCAAGTTGACTCCTTTATATTATATACATTGTGATGTGGGTGAACCCACAAACCCACCCAAATCATCCACCATCCGCCCGACCCAACCCGAGACTAAATATGGGTGGGTGGTGGGTTAAAAATTATCAATCCGTTTAAACTCGGGTGGGTGCATTTTATGATCAAAATCCACCGAACCACCCAATGCCCACCCCTAATTCTAACTATGGTTCCACTAATTTCATACATGTATAATATAAAGTACTAAAATAAATAAAATAATAATATAATACATTCAACTGGCATCATACCATTTAACATATCGACTGATGTCATTGGGGTTGTTAATTCAGCAATGTACATTGAACACAGAAAACCTTAACTAGAAGAACTCGTCATCAAAACCACCGTAAAATCCTGTGTAATCGGCTCGATCTAACTCGCACTGCGACGGATCAACGATGTGGCCGGTAAACAACACCATCCCACTCATACTTTCTTGGATGACGAATAAGAAAGGATGATCAGCAACAAAGTCGATACCTTGGAATCTATCTTCATCTTCATCAACTTCACAGATCGGTTGCATTGCAGCTATCGCAGCAGCTGCAGCCTCCGTGCCCTTCTCATTCACTTCGATGAACGACTTGTGAAATATGCTCGACACATGGAGGCGTTCGTCGTCATCAAGTGAGTGCTCCACCATCTCGCTAAAGTCTGCTTCAACACCAGAGAAGGGCAAAACCAGGCCTAACCCAATCAAGGCTCTAGAAGCCTCCATTTCAGTTCTCAGCTTCAACTTTGGAATCCTGAGCTCGCCCACTTTCACTCTCTTCCTGGGGACGTATCGGGCCAGGAAACCGGGCTCGAAGCCTGCTCTCTGGATCAGTGCAGGCAGCCCGTGTGTGAAGTCAGGGAGGAAGATGTGCATGCAGAATCGCCGTTTGTCTAAACCTTGCTTGTAGGGAAGGGAAAGCACCTTGAAACCAAAATGCTGGGAAACCAATTGCATCTTCGTCGACCAGTTTCCTGCCATGAACGGCACTCTCACCGAGCTTCCATTCATGAGGCGGAAATCATGGTCTTTGGTGTCCGATGGATGGAACGCCGACGCCCAAGCTCCTTTGAAGTAGAGGGCGTTGCCGAAAACCAGCCTCGTCGAGCCGTCGACTCCGTCGGGAGGAAGAACGTTCTTTATAAGACCGTTTGTGTGCTTCTCCGCCCATTCGTTTACTTTAGCAGCCACTTCTGATGCCTGCAAAATTAAAGCCCATTTCACGTTCAATCAAATCAATCGATTGGGTAGAGAGATTCGCCACTAGAAAGGGGGAAAGAGTAAAAAAATTTGACATACCCTGTATTTGAAATCGACTTCGAGGGGAACGGCCTTGTAGAAACTGCCTGCAACCTGTTTGAAAGAATGCCTGAGAGAAAGCGACTTGTCCACCCAAGCCCCGTTAACGAACGACAGCGTCGGCCCTCCACCGGCGCCGCCGTCGGCCAAAGCGGAGGCGACCTGGAATGCGTGGAAGTTGAGCTGGCCAATTGAATTGGCGTTGAGGAAAGACAGCAACTGTTCCCGAGTCGGGCCGCTTGAGCCGGCGGCGATGAGGCTCAGCACGGCGTGGATCGAAGCCGGGGAAATCACGGCGTTGTGGTCCCTGGCTTCCGTCAGGAGGACTTGCTTCGTGAGAACCATTGCAACGTCGGCGGTTTGGAGCTCCATTCTCCGGGGTGGAAACCAGGAAACAGAGGATTCTGGTGGCCGTGGGGAACTATTACGCGGTGTGAACAATTTCTACCTCTTTAGTCTTTATAGAGAGAGGGGGAGAGGCTCGCGTAACATAAAAGCCTGCTTCTACGGGCGTTTCCTCAAGTTATAATGTTTTCCTTTTCAAAATGGAAAAAATACTTTGGTACAAGTTGTACTATAAATAATTGATTATTATTTTTTTCACAAATCGAAACAATAGAGGAAAAATCACACAATAATTGATTGATGAGATTGTGTGAGATAAATAATGATAGATCAATTGGACGAGATGACAAGAAAAAGTTTATACGTAAATATGAACTTATAAATTGTATGCTTTTTAACAAGAAATATCAATTCATACTTTACGATTCACTCGTAGAATTATTCGACTACCAAACAATTTTATCTAAGAGCTTGCTTTTATATATTGTTGTTTATTTTATTTTATTTTAATTGTATTTTATTTTATATTGTTGCAAAAATTGTACTTTAATGACTGCCAAAGCATTGATGCTATATGCTTATGTTACCTGCATTGCTGAAGTTTGAAAATCTTGAAGTTCTGTTAGTGGACGGTATCGAGATGGTTTCTAATGACTTTTTAATGCTTCATTTCTCTTGTTCTTTTTGAACAGTGATGAAGCTATTCATATATAGAAGCCTCTGGGAGTCATTGAAAGATCTTTCACTGAATAATGTCAAGCAAGTGAGAGTTTATCGAAGAATATTCTAATTGTTATAAACGAGCTGCTATGGATCGGGAAATAGCTGAAATCGATAAAGCGAGAATCGAAAACACGACATACAATTTACGTGGTTCACTAACACGATGTGTGTTAGCTACGTCCACGGGCGAGACCGCGAGAGAGAGTCAGTTTCACTATATCGAGGAGATTACAGATTACAGAGGAGTATGAGAAGTATTTATAGTACTTCTCCATGTGGGTCTAAACCTAATCCAATCTGGCAAAGGAAACGGTTACAGACCAGGCCTAGAACCCGAACCCAAATAACATTGAGCCTATACACCGCGGGACCCCCGACTAATCCAGTCGTAGCGGCTGATAGTCCGATTCAAGTCAATCAACACTGATGATGATGACGACTTATGGTATTGAGGATTCAGATACATAGAATTGTATCAAACTCAGTGTTTCATGATTTTTCTTTTTCCTGTTTATCTCATGATGGTTTGACTCAACACATGTTCCTTTTTTCCCAATTCGATATTGATTTGGTTCTGGACCAAATCGGCTCTTGCACACCCTATTAGGAGGTCTTGGCAGATCCATTGCAGCAAAGCAATCATATTCATTGCTTTATCTTCTTTGTCTGTCCGTTGTTATCATGTTAGCCACAACACTGCACTATCAATTGCCAGACTAGCAAGAAATTTGCAGAGCTGGGATCTATCATGGTGCCGGAACTTGGCAGACAAGGCAGTTGGGTTGATTGTGGATAGATGCCTGTCATTGCAGATGCTTGAGATCTTTGGGTGTGATAAGGTAACCAAACATATAGAACAAAAAAGCAGACACTATTTTTTTATCCAGTAGAGACATCATTGGGATGAAGATGTGTGATTTTTTTTTTCTTTCCCTGGAGCAGTTAACAAATGTGCTACTAAGTGGTCACTCGAATCCCTGGCAAACGACTTGTTCTCGAATCCCGTATTGGTAGTGGAAATTCACTATAATTTTTTTTTAGTAACGCAACATAAGATCCACACTACCTTGGATTCGACCAACCTTAAGCTCTCTTCCAACTTCATCATCATACAGTCAAGCTCATTGTTTCATGTCTCTGATACATCATCATTGGATTCCACCCACCAAAATAATTACACCCCCCTTCGGGAGAAATTTTACAATGCTATATAGTATTGGTGCTATAGGGTTTTGTTTTTATGGTACAACTTAAAATTGTACATTTACGTTCTGGTACAACTTCAAATTGTACCTATACTTTTTGTACAAATTCTTTTATGGTACAACTTGAACTTGTACCTTTATGTGATGGTACAACTTCAAGTTGTAAAGTTGTACCATAACATAATGGTACAAATTGCTTTATGGTACAACCTAAATTATACATTTAATGTTATGGTACAACTTTAAGTTGTACATTAAAGCACCAATACTATATAGCATAGTAGAAGTGCTCCCCCTCGGATCTTGCAACATTGTTATCCTTAGCCACAATACATCATAGAAAAGAGCATCCAAAACTAGGATTTTCTTACCATCCAAAAAGGGCAACCAAAAAATTGCCTGCCTGGGTTCAACTCTGTCCCAGAAGTTTGTAGCACAGCTGGGACTTTGCACTTGCAAATACAACACCTCCACTTTTGATGCTCGTTGACCCAGAATCGGCAATATCCCTAGCAACGTTTCTACGAGCAACCCTTTGTGACATGATGCGGACTCTAATAACCCGATTTGTGGTCTGCAAGCGAGCGGCAAAGCAGGGAGATCTGCGCGGGTTGAGAGAAGTGTGCGCCGTGAATAGAGAAGTCGACGACGAGAGCCAAAGAGAGAAGCGAGGGCGATGGGAAAGAGAGAGAGAAGCGACTGCGATGGGGTGCTTCGCCAGAAACCTAGAATGGAAGGTTGAATGAGAATGGTCGAGAATGGAGGAGTGGAAAGTGGATAATAGGGTAGAAAGAAGGTAAAAAAACATCCAATAGCATTTTCTTCAAAAATCAAGAGGCAAATTGATGTCCAGTTGGCGATGACGTGTCATCCGCATGACATCTACCTCAGCGCCACGCAGGGGTTACTAACGGCGTCTGTCACGACGTTCAAGTTTGCAACGAAAATTGCTAAAGTTTCCAAGCAAGTTTTTAAAAAGTGGCTATATCTGTGTATTTTTCAAAAGGTGGCTATAATTTTATAACGCGAATAGTTATGACTATGGAAGTGTATTTTACCTTATTTATATTATATTCATGTTTTTGTTTTTGACTTTTTTGTTGAGAAGGAGGAAATCTCTATTAATATTGGTACTATTAATTTACTTTATTAACAATTTTAGAAATTGCTTCACTTATTTCGTTTTATGCCACGCCTATGCTTCTTTTGGCCTAATTGGCATGTATGGGCTTTTTTTTCCAACTCCCTGGAGCCTGGACAATTCTAGTCGGATCCAATTGATTCTTCATTTTGGGGCCGGAGAATCTACAAATGGTAACGAATGAAAGCGTAAAAATAACGAAAATCATTATTCTTCTCAATGCAAGCAATATATCACAACCCCTAACTAATTGAAGTAGCATGAACAACTATGATCATATGTAGGGACCGTGTTACTATCGACTAAGTAATTAGATTCCTCATGTCGAGTTTATCGAGCCTAACTTTACATTTTGCATCGTAAGTTCGAAATAATTTAGCACACCAAATTCATAAATCAAAACTTTTTCGTTTCTGATTCAACTTCTAGTCCATTTCGAGTTGTTATTCCGTTACATAAAAAGCTCACCTATCATCTCTATTTCTAAGAAAGGAAGGAAGAAAGTGAAAGAACCAAAAAAAAAGAAGCTACTAAGTAAAATACACCTCTTCAAAGAAAATCAACGAAACATATTTTTCTAATCTAGGTTGACTAAATATAAGATATTTCAAAAGGTAGGTTTAACTGCAGTAATATTATAATTATAAATCGTCATTAAATACTTGAAATTGACTTCATCTCTGCTGTCAAATATCAAGGATCTCACATAATAATATTATTTAATTCTAATTCTATTATATAAAAAGATCTAGTAGATAGCTAGCTTGGCTCATATTTCTTGCACTTCCTCAGGCTGGCGACGAAACCATTCAGTAACTAGCAGGCTCGGCGAGGATCTCTTTCATCTTTATCACCACTTCTCTTATCAAGCTGCGGCACCACCTGTAGGAGATCAATTTATACCTCAAGCAGCATTTTGTTGAAGTTTTTTTTTAGCTTGGGACCATTTTTGTCACAAAATCTCGTAGGAATTATTTACGCATTTCCCCCCCCAAATCGATTGTAAGGGTTGTGAGCAAGAACCTGATCGTTCGATGGTGAATTGGAAGTTTGGATGTTTTGGGTACGCGTTTGAGATGACGACATCGCCAATCTTCTTGATCTCTTGCGTTCAACCCCACTCCCCATTATGCTTCTTGATCCAACAGAAGAATCTGTTCAAACCCATAACCAATAACAACTCAAACCAGCCAGAAATCAATTACAAATTTACAACACAGTAATATTTATTTCGGTCCATTTTATATACTATGCACACAAAAAAAAAATTAATCAACCTAAAAAAAAAGCCCATAAAATAACATTAAAGTGGCACTGGCACCCCAAAAACAAAATATCTTCCTTAGCTCATCCCACATTTCCCCCCCAGTCATATCCGTTACAATCTTGATAAAACGATTATTTTAATTCAATTTGTTACATATAATTGCATTATCTAAGATAATTAAAAAAAAAGGGTTCACTTTTGAGTTGTAAATCATTAAGCATATTTGATTACTTATTATATAAAATAATTAATCCGGGTATCTTAGCCATCTAGTATCTGATTTAATTAATATACAGATAAGATAACATAAGTTTACTGACAAAGCCGGAATTAAAATACCTGATCCCAAAAGAGAAAAGTTAGTTCAAAAAGGTGAAAGCAGATTACTTTTTTCGCAGCGGAATATCGTCGAACACCTTGTACTCGCAATTGCACTCAATTTGTCGTCGATCCAACAAAAAAAAAAAAAATAACGCACCTGATGAGGCGGCGGCGCCGATCGGGGAACTCTTCTGCCTCCGCGATTCGGCGGAGTCGAGAGTTGACTCCAAGCTGTCCGGCAAGTACCGATCGAGGCGGAGGTGGTGGCGGCGGTGGAGTGACGACGAGTTGTTGTTTTCAATTAGCATTGTACGAACGAAGGTGGCCTCCATCGAGTTCAAGAAATTCATGTGCTTCTCGTTCGTCCAGTTCCCTCCGCCGCTGCTGCAGCTGCTTCCGGTGGAAGGTTCGCCGTCGTCCATCGGGTGCCGCCGGCGGATGAAATGAAACCGTTCGACGAAATTCCCAAGAGAAGTTGTGTTTCTTTTTTTTCTTGAGTCTTTTTGATAAATATATATATAGCGCGAGTGAGTACAAGTGAAATAAAACCACCCCCTTTTTTTTAATTCGCGGGAACAGCTGGCAGAAGCGAATCGGCTCGCGCGTGGGGTATTAGGCTCACTCGCGCTGTGAAGTGGGCGGGTGAGGATGATGATTGTGGGCCCGGGGTGAGGGAGGAATGAGAAAGCGAGTGGGTGGTAGCGCGTGGAAGGGAGGAGGTGGGGGTATGGAGCGGGAAGTGAGAAAATATCTGAGGGACTAAGCATGGAAGGAGTAATTGGGGATGGGGATAGGATAGGGCTATAAAAAGGAAGATATTTTGAGGGAGAAGAAGTGAGAGAGTGGAAATGACAATTCTCTTTGTTTCCTTTCGTTTCTTTCATTTTCCCAATCGACATCTAACCGTAGGAAAGTAAATGAAGGGAGTACAGGGAAAAAAATAATATTGTGAGTGGTTTGGTAACGATCTTTGTTTGTTTAGGGGTAGTTTGGATGGAGTATTTATATGAGTTATTTGGGTTCAAATAACTCACAATGAGTTATTTGCACGCAAATAACTCGTTTGGCAGCGTTTTACTGAAATGAGTTATTTGGACAGTGAGTTATTTACAAATAACTCAAAACGAGTTATTTGAAATAACTTATACTCATGTGTTATTTCGAAATAACTCGTTTTATCACTCTGCTTTTACCAAATACCACATGTCAAATACCACATTTCCATGGTTCAACCAAACGAGATACTTTATTTCAATTACCACTAAAATAACACTGAATACCCACATGAGTCATAAATGAGTTATTTGACTCTACAAATACCACATTGACAATTAACCCATCCAAACGACCCCTTAGGAAAAACAATGAAAATTTTCTAGGGAATTAGTTAAAAGAGGTTGTGCTTTACACACTATGTTTCCGATCAATTAAGTCATCGAGGAATTTAGTGTTTAGTCATATGTCCATAGAGATATGTGAATAACGTAGGTAGGAGTATCAAGTATGGAATAAAAGAAAGTTTATTGAAGAGAAAAGATGGCAAAAGTAATTGTTGATGTGACTTGAATCGGACTATCAGCCGCTACGACTGTGCCTGGTCTGTAACCGTTTCCTTTGCCAGATTGGATTAGGTTTAGACCCACTTGGAGAAGTACTATAAATACTTCTCATACAACTCTGTAATCTGTAACTCCTCGATATAGTGAAACTGGCTCTCTCTCGCCCGTGGACTAGCTAACACACATCGTGTTAGTGAACCACGTAAATCGTGTGTCTGTGTTCTTTCGATTCTCGCTTTCGTATTCTTGCTTTATTGATTCCGGCGATTTCCCGATCCGTAGCAGCGCGTTTATAACAGTAATCAAAGTCTTCTTCGATAAGTTCTTAATGCCAGAAAGTTCCAACTTTAAAGAGCGAAACTCAATATTCATAGTAGTATCTATGTTGTAACGAATTAAATTTCAATTTTGTACGAAACATTAGAAAAGTGAGTAAAAAAACTCATTAAGCATTTTCTAACACAACTCATTAGTAAACAAGTTGAGTGTCAAATGAGATTTTTCCGAATCAAACACCGAGCCGTTCATGAACAATTTGACTCATTTGGAGCACTATGAACACCCCAAAAGTTGTGTACAAACAACCTTGTAATAAGTTCATTCCAACTTTCTTAGGTGAGACTCATCACTAAAGTACTCTGTAGCCCTACCTAATAAGTGATTAAGCTAGTTTTCCTAGTCCAATGATGTTGTGTTATGGACAGTTGGACACCAACCTCCATACCCGGACCCATAAAGCTCTTCAGTCTTGGTTTTCTACTTTTCTTTACCCACCTTTTATAGGCTTGTTTATCATCTTGCAGAAAAAGCTCAATTAAAAAAGCTATCCTCTTAGCAAGTTTGTAGCACAATTTGGACCCCTCCATAGCCCTCCTTATCTGAACAATGAACATCATCTTCATTTGTCCTCTTCCCACCAAATTAACAAAATAACCCTACAACTAAAACCTCTTAGGCTCTTACTATGCCATTGCCATAGGGAGTCTTTAATGAAAGACACAGTTGGAACTTATGTTTTAAAGAACTCAAAGATGTAAAAATAAATTGGGAGATATATTTGTGTTAGAAGTGTAAATTCTTGGGAAAAGTTGTCGGTCGATGGTAGTCAAGGATTGTAAACATAGGGAAAATTATAACGAAAGAGTTAGTAACCGAATATTTTATATCAAAATTATAATTAAATAGTTTCATATCACTAAACATATATCGATTTGAAATTTGGTACTCAATATTCCCAATTCGATCGGAGGTAGGATAGGATTTCTCAAACATTGATGGGAATACAGATCATGTACCGTACAACACAAAACACTTTTGTCAACACACCCTATGGGCCTAAAGTCCGAGAATGGGCATCCTAAACCGGCCCATTCCCAGCCCACAGTAAACACCAACCCTACAAGCCCTTTTCCTTATTCACCCTGCCCCGCCGTCCGGCCTGCCGGACGCCGGTGGTTACTTTCCTTCACTCGAGATTGGTGTGACGGGCACGAATCTCCTCGGCGGTCTGCCCCAACACCTCACCCAATTTATAAACGGCCATCTCAAACAACACGAACAGCGCCCCTTCATACACGCTCCCCATCGGCAGCAACGGACGGCGGCCGCTCGATTTCTCCTCCTCCTCATCGCCGCCGTCGTCGTCTCCCTTATCGTCGGCCATGGTCTGCGCCGGGACATAGCAAACCTTGTCGGCGTGCTTGATACAGGACCCCGTTTTGGGCTGCGCCGTAAGGAGCAGCACCTCTCCCCCGCAAGATCGCGCCACGGAGCACAGAGCGTCCACCGTAGAGAACCCACCCGGTCCGGCGGAGGCGATGAGGAGGTCGCCGGCGGCGATCGGCGGGGTGGTCATGTCGAACACGAAGTGGGTGGAGAGACCCAGGTGGGCGAGCCGCATGCATAGCGCTTTCAGCATCAGACCCTCTCTCCCGACTCCGTAGAGGAAGACCTTGCCCCGCCGGGCTGCTGCGGCTGCGACGGCGGAGACCAGCTCGTCCAGCGGCGGTGGATGGGCTCCGGTTGGGTTGGAGAAGACGGAGGCTATGTGGTTGCAGATTTGCGAAGCTAGCTGGGAGGTTGAAGGCGCTGCTCCTCCGTCTGCCATTGTGAAAGGCTATCTCTTCTGGTGGAAAATGACTAAGGTGTTATATAATATCCTTTTAGCGAGGCATCCAATTGGAAGATGCCACGTCACGTCTCGTTAACACTTAGGCTGAAGAGGATCAATTTAGATAGAGGAAGGAAGAAAACAAGTAAAATGCTGTAGAAATTAAGTGCAGAAATAGAAGCAGGCAGCAGTAGCTTCAGATGAGGTGAAAGTGAGAGCTATTTACAGAAGTAAAGTGAATGGTAAACATACAAAGATTCTGGCATTAAAAATTGCAGTGGAAGTACATGGGGAAAATTGATGAGCTAGAACAGAGTCAGTAGTTTAAAGATGGCGTGAGATTGGCTCACGAAGTGGGGGAGGCTTTCTAAGATGATCCATTTGCAGCGGGATGAGATGAAGTTGAAGCAGTAGCATCTTCTTGGATGTCGATGTCTCTCACACCGGCGGTTACTGCTGATGTCGAATTTGAGCATCCTCCATTGTTCTCCTTCGGCTTGACGTGTCCATTTTCTTCTGCCTCCTCGTCTTCCAAGAACGAGCCCTTGCGTCGGAGTTCTTTCACTTTCCGGAACTCGTCATAATGAGCTCTTCTGAGCTCCCTGAAATATGCTTTCCTATCCGTTTCACTATCTGGCAAGATTTTGGACAATGAAAAGATGCATCAAACTGTGAGGGAATTATCCGACACAAATGTGCAAGTACTTGCATCATATAATGATTGGAATGCTTATAACAGAAATGAGCATCAGACAGCATGATGCTCCAAAGATCATAGAAAAAGGGTTTGAAGATGAACGAAAAAGCTAATCCCCTAGATAAACCTAAAGGTTTCACTTTTTGGTAGAGAAGGGCCACCACAACTTAAGTTAACTGAATTGAAAAAGCAAGTGAAGAGAATACTAGGTCAAGACCTTCATCATCTTGTTCCATAAGGTCGCCTTCATCCTCAGATGATGTCCAGCCAGTAGATCGCCTGCTCGAGTTTCCACTTGACGAAGAAGCCACAGTGTGTAATGCTGTTCTCAATTCTTCAGCATGCATAACATCATCAACGGGCTCATCAAGGCTATCCTTAGTAGGAGATAGAGAACCTGTATCCAATTAACCAAATCCAGATTGCAGGACAGGTGAAAAATCAAAACATTTTCAAGAAGTAAACTAAAAAACAAGTCCTGGCGAAACTAGAATTTCTAACAGATCATTCTCCTCTTTCAGACACAAACAGCCAGCAACTTAAAAATAAATTAGGAGTTGAAAGATCTACAGAACTTCTGGCACAGCAAATTTGCCAGTCGTAGAAGTTAAAAGATGAAGAATAACCACAGCCTGCATGCTTTTCTAATGCTATTACATAAGAATTTAACTGTGTTCAAATAAGGGAAGATTATTTTACCATCATCATCAATCATGCGGTGATATGGTGTCTTCGGTTCAGTAATTTTTTGCCTCACAGGCTTATTTGCTTCAATCTCCCCTAAATTGTCTTCATTCCATCTGACACGTCCTTTGCTTCCCCTATAAACATGTTCAGAGAATAGAATTCCACTTCAGATATCTGATTGGCATATCCAAAGGAATGCCAGAGGATAGAATGAAACTAGCATTCATCAACATATTCTAAATCATTAGTTAAAATTGGATATGATCAATCCTCCCAACAACATATTCTAAATCATTAGTTAAAATTGGATATGATCAATCCTCCCAACGGGAAAAAATATCAAGAGCGAGCAGGGAAATCCACAATTACGTCATTTTCCAGAGATGAATAGCACACCGGACAGTTGATTCACCTGAATACATTGAGAAAGAAAAGAACCAGGTCAAAGGCATCAAAGAAACAAGTGAAATAACAAAATACAATACCCAAAGAAATGCAGGATGATCTTGTATGAGAGACAAAATTACTCAGTCTAAAGCATCAAGACCAGAATCCAAGTGATTGCCACTTGGGCCATCGATAAAGAACAGAAAAAGCCAATCTCAAGCAAAATGCAGCAAGAGGAGAAAAAAATTGCAACGCAGGAACACAGCAATGAAACAGTCCCATCAGAATGAGAAGAACCGAGAGTACAAGACACATCAATCCAACATCCGAAAGAGCGATTTCTCCGATGATGAATCGTATAAGAAAGAACAAAGGAAGCAGCCACTCTAACATAATAATCAAATCCGGAGAACCAGAAGTCGCTCTAAGAGGTCGAAAGCAGGATAGCTAAACTACAAGTTTGGCAGTTTCCCTTCAGCTTAAGATGGAAATGAATGAACACCACATTTCAGAGCAGAACATGAGAGAGAGAGAATACAATTAAACGAATTACAAAAGATCAGTCAGCTACATCTATCAGCATTTCTTGACACATAGGAGATGAATATGATGAGTACATTTCATCTTCTTCTTCCTCATGAAAAACGACCTGAACCTAGAGTCACGCACGCAAATCCAATTCCAGGAACAACTAAATCATCAAACACAACAATCCCGCCAATCTGTAAATCCAGTACCACCGTAAAGAGTTCCCTCACAATATCTAGACGCAGAGATTCAAAGTTTCATCTCCGTAAAGTTCTGTTTGGCCCGAGAGAAAGTGCGAGAAAGTATTCGCCAATCAAACTCTGCCGGCGATTAGGCTTAAAACATATCAATTCACTACTACAGACACATATCTCGGGCACAAACACTCCATTCCGTGCTCTCTTCCATGGCGAGAAAGAAGAAAATCGTACCTTCCGAAATGCTCGTCTTCGCGCTTTCCTTCCTCCGTTCCGCGCGAGAGTTTTCCTCGATCCAATTATGCCCCGCAGCTTCGTTTCTCTCTTTCCTTATTCCGTACTCTTTTCTCTATCCCAAAACTACCCTCCTGTCACATATTATCCTTTTTGTATTTCCACACTTAATTAATTTTCCTCTTATAACTCGATGAAGCCACGTAGACAAAAAGTGACGCGGCACCATCAAGTCCGTCAGACAAATAGAACCGGGCTCGGGGGCAATTTAGGGAATACGGATTGGTGTAGGAGAGGAGAGAGGAAGGAGAGCCTGTTTGTTGGAAGAGGAGACTGTTGTTGAGAGAGAGATTCTTCGGCCGTCTGTTGGGAAGACGAAAGCTCTCTCTTCGAATTGCAGAGCTAAAACCGATTCCACTCCGCCGCGATCGCCGCCGTGCGCCTCAGCTACCGATAGTAAGATTCCTTGCTCGTGAATTTCTTAACCGAATTTATTGTAATTGGACGGGATCAAGAGATTTGTTTGGAGTAGTTTTTTGTTTTTCTTTCCACTTGCCCGTCTGCTTGCGTGATCTAGGATGCTCCGGTGTTTGTGTTTATGTTTCCACCATTGAGAGGATGCTGGGTGGCTTCGAGCTCTGTAAGTTAGGGGTCGAATTGGCTGTGGGATCAAACTTTGGAACTGCGATTTGTTACTTGGAGGAATGAACTTGATATTAGACTTTCGGTTTAGTCTGGGTTAAAGGTTGAACAATCTCTAAATGCTGCTGTGCGGTATGCTGATGTTATATAATAGCTTGGCAAACTTTATTTTGGCTTTGTTGTGCATTGATTTGTCCATGGTGAATGATGATTTTACAATTCTGGCTTGGTAGATTTTGCTGCCGGATACAGCTCTCATGTAGCGTTGAGAGGAACGCTTGATCTGTAGAGTGGCGGCGTGAAAGTATGAAGTAGAGTAACTTCATATGTATGTAGTCTGATGTTTAATTTATTCCAAAACCTTTCAGGATTGTCGATTCTATGGTGTGGCGAGTATCAAGTTAGGATTATGAGACATTGTTTCTTTTAATCCTATAGGTGAGAAGGGACAAGCGATACATCCATTACTCAGCGCAAACATGTTCTCCTTGTTCTATGGCCTTTTTAAGTACGTGTTCAGTAAGACGGAGTTTCATGTGCTCATTCTTGGGATCGACAAGGCCGGGAAAACAGTAATGCTTCATTTTCCTTCATTTGTTAACCTTTTGTTGCCTCTAATTCATTTGTTCATGACCTTGTGAGAAGTTATTGTGCAAGTAATTCAACAATCATAATTAAGGATATCCGTTTGTTCTTTTCTGGATTTTGTAGACCTTGCTAGAAAAGTTGAAGACAGTGTACTCGAATTCTGAAGGCCTCCCCCATGATAGAATTGTGCCAACCGTTGGACTCAATATTGGTCGTCTTGAAGTGTCGAATTCCAAGCTTGTGTTCTGGGACCTTGGAGGGCAGGTACATATTACAGTTGACACTTGGCAAACTTTCTTAATTATGCTAGAGGTTCCCTTTCTGCACAATGGGCATGCTAGCACTTCTTTTTATGAAGCGGGGAATACTATGCAGCTTTGTTATTGATGAATGTTAGCTGCTAAGCTCATCCTTGAAGTAGCGCTACACACGGAATGAGTTAATAGTTTACTCATTGGAATGTGTTTTTTCTCTGCACCATGTCTAGATTGGACTTCGCTCAATTTGGGAGAAATATTATGAAGAAGCACATGCTGTAGTGTATGTAATTGATGCTGCTTGCCCTTCTCGTTTTGAAGATGCAAAATCTGCTTTAGGTAACTAGCATTACTTTATTTGGCTACTACTGTCTAAGGAAGAGGCTAACATCTGGACATGAAGGTGAGTTAACAACTGTGACTGTTGTGTTGATACTTGACAGAGAAAGTGCTTAGGCATGATGACCTGCGAGGTGCCCCTCTTCTGGTGTTGGCAAACAAACAGGTAAAGCTTGCCATTTGATTCAGCTTGATAAGAATTACCTGTTCTTGCAACTCTCTCTAGTGAGTGACTGTACCCTCTTGCACCTGCAGGACCTTCCAGATGCTGTAACAGCTGAAGAACTGGGAAGATATCTAGACCTGAAGAAACTGGACGAAAGGGTTTACATGTTCGAAGCTGTTTCAGCATATGATGGGTGAGTTTGAGTTCTGAGTAGGTTTTAATTGGTTGTAAGAATAAAAAAAGTTTAGCACAATGGAGAAAAACATCCACAAGTGTTCTATAATCACTGAACCATTGAGACTTCGTGCAGGTTGGGTATCAAAGGAAGTCTAGAATGGCTAGTCGGGGCAATGGAACGGAGCAAGAGAACTGAAACATTGAGACTGCGTGCAGGGATGGCTGGTCCTGGTGTCTAGCAATACAATCAATTTTGGAATCAGGATGAGGAACCTTCCACCACCTGGGCTTTTCAGTAGCTTCTGTAAATATACTACAGAGGGTTACGCAGCATCCTACTCGCGACTTGTGTACTAATTCTGCCATACGAGGCATATTCTTTCACCCTCCTCTTCTCTACTGCGGAGGAGCAAGTTAGTTATAGGGGAGGAAATATGATTACATGATCTACTCGTAAAAAATATGCGTAATGAATTGATGATCATTTGTTCGTGAATCATGATGTAAGCTTTTTTGGCCTGGTGAGTTCATAGTTTACTTTATTCATTAGAGATGCAGTGTTGAAGAAAGTTCAGAACTTTTCTGCCCTATCCATGCTGCTTACATTTCTGCTAAAGATTGAAGCCTAGAAATACGAATCAGAGATTGAACTGGCAATTTCATTCCTCGTTCGTTCTGTGCTTACGAAACCACGGTTTCCAACTTTCCATAAGTTCACTGCACTGCAGGTTCAGGTTCTGTGATAGAGATCAAAGAATATATAGTTAGCACAAACAAGAAAACTACAGATGGACAAAGAGGAGGGTTAAAACTTAAAAGTGAGAATTGGTGGAGAGCGTACTGGAGATTAGGGCTGGACCCTTCATTTTACAAGAATGGTTAATTAAACGAACAGTCACTCAATTTTGAGATTGATTGAAACAAACATGATATAGGACTACCCTATCGTGGAGATTATATGATTCAACATCAGTTGGAGCACCACTTGCGGTGGCATAGCCAGAAGCAAGAACCCTGAAGTTAGAACATTTGTTTACAGAGGTGAGCAAATTTGCAGAACACGGTAAAGCAAGCTAACTAGGATAACAGAGAACTAAAGCCAGAAATGATGTTGCTCTCCGAACTCGGAGAGCTTTACCATCCGTATGTACAATTAACAATCGGCTACAGTTAATGACAAACCTACACAGCCTTCCTCTGGCTTCTGGTAACTCTCCTTCCCATACCAGCAGACGGGCTGCTCCCACCGGTGTACCTCGCGATTTTAGTCTGCGGTAGCGACAGCTGCTCTACCCTTGGTGCTGCTTCAGTAGGGAAAATAGTAGGAGACTGGTGGAATACCTGACTGGAACTTGGCTGAACTTGATGTGATGAAGTTGCCTGCTCTTGCATACTAAAAAGATCAGAGTCCAGTGGAATTGCACCGGTTAGAGTTTTTATGGCAAACTCGATACAGGGGTCCGCCCATGTATAAGATGCAGGCAAGCTGACAGGCGATCCTGGATTCTGAGAATTATTGATTGGCTCCACTTCAGGAATGCTTACTTCTCGAGTAGCCAAATGCTCCTTGGTACTGGAGGAATCGCCTAGTCCATTATTGTTCGACCCTAATGGCAGGTCATCAAGTGACCCGGTGAGGGTCTTTATTGCAAACGCAATGCATGGGTCTTCCCATAACTCTCCCAGGGGAGGATCGAGAGGCAGCTTCCCAGCTTCATCTTCTTCAGCTTTCTTACAGGCTCCAAAAAGCTTGCTCTTATTTGATTCAGGGGAGGCTTTTCTTGCCTCGGAATTATTCTGGTTTAGATTATTTATTTGCAGCTTGGGATCAGTCGGTTCACTTGATGGCTTAACTAATGCTGCTCGATGCTGATGCTGATGCTGTTGACTTTGGGTCTTCTGTGCTGAGGTAGAATCGAGTCCGACAGTAGCAACATCCACAATTTTAACAGCTGCTTCTGCTTGAGGAGAAGATGAACTCGCCTCTAGTTCTGCGGTAGTAGGCTCAAGAGGAAGAGCAGCAAGTCGCTTCGAGGCACGGCGAGGAAGCTGTACGACGCCGTCCTTTTTCTTGGACTTGCCAGTAGTACTATGTTTCTGGGTCTCATGGTTTTCCACTTTGTGTTGTTGTACTGGCTGCGTATCAGAGACGCCTTTAGCTTCGGGAGGAGTTGCTTCAATCTCTTTTTTCTCGTGTTGAACTGATTTCTTTGCAGGGAACATTTCAGATACTATAGTAGTAGCTAGTTCAGTTGCCTCAAGGATCTGGTCTATTTCTTCACGTTGCATTGCTTGAACATCTAGGAGGGCTTCAGGTGCTGATGGAGCTACTTTAGATACTTTGAAGGTCTGATAGTTTCCAGTAGGTTCTACTTTAGGCACCTTTAAGCTCTGATTAGTTCCGTTCACAGTTGTATCAGTCCCCAACTTTTGTTTCTTGGCTGAAGCTGGTGACTGGCAAGTCAAAAGTAATAGAACTGTAAGCATTTCCACGTATAAAAAGGCAATACATCTAAAGACTAAGGTAGAAGACAGTAAAGGAACTTTGGAAGTGAGGAAGGGGAAGCTAGTGGACATTTCAAAGCAAAAAAATCAACTTACAATCACTAGAACTCTTGACGGAGTCCTCAGCCCAAACCCAAAATCATGGTGGTTCACTAAGATTGTCTATCCTAGTTTTGAGTCAATTTAAGAACTCAGACAAGCCAATCACTACAGGTTCGAGAGCAGACATGAATTCCTTTGTAACTATCGTTATGGTGCAGCTAACTAACTTCAAGTCATATCATCACATTTTGGGGAGTTCGCTAGCAGTAGCAGGCATCATATTTATCCCCAGATAAAATAGAGGAACCTAAACATGCAGAAAGTGAATGTTGAAGGACCCACCGGAGTTTCATCATCTTCTGCGTCTTCATGATGCCTTGCTTGCCTCCGCCTGATTGCTAGTCTTCCAACCTCCCCAGTCTGGATGTACCGAAATACATCTTTCATAGAACGGAACGTGTACGCATTTTCAGGATCCGTATAATACTACAAACGCAAAGGTTCAGTTAGTGAATTCATGAAAATCACGTTTAAGCCATGCCTATAACTCATCTCCCAAGGGATATTGCAATTGAGTTATTAAAAATAGCAACACACAGCACATTCAAATCCCAAGACAAGAATAGAAGCCTGAGTACCGGATCTCTTCTGACTTTGCTGCCCTTCTTTGTTACTTTAACTTCTTTGGTCCATCCTGGAGGTAGCCCTTCCGGTGTAGCCTTCTCAAAGGTAACCTGCATTCCAAGAGAATTTAAACCCTTCTCTTAAGATACATAAGAGAGTAAATAGTGAAAGACATTGTATGAAACAGTAGTGAATAGCAAGTGAATTTTAAGAAAGCCCTATCAGTTTACACACTTATGATGGCTTCGATTCCATATTAATCAAACCGTCCATCTAAAATAAGGAAAATACTGACACAAACCAACAAAGGAAACATGCAAGATGCTGACTGCCGTTAGAAACCTTTTTAGAGGATCTTTTAAGCGTGCCATTCTCCTCCTTCTCTTCTTCACTCTTGGGATGGCTATTTGCAGAGTGATTACTACTATCCGTGATGTTGTCGGTATTCTTGCCCACGGCGGAGGTGGGGTTGCTACTAGTGATGTTCACCAAGTCGAGGTTGTTGCTATGCTTGACAGTATTGGAGGGTGTAGTGGTGGTGATGTTGCCCCTAATGTTGAAGTTGTCACTTCTGTCGATTGTACTGATGTTCTTATTGCTTCCAGTATTGTTCACTGTGTCGAGGTTGTAGCTGTCATCGCTCGTATGGCCTTCGTTGTCACCAATGTTGATGCCACTACCGTTGCTCTTTAGATATCGAGTTACCTCAAGTTTAGAGTAGAATTTAGCCCCGCCGGTGGGAGGGAAGTACCACTGCAAATAGGGAAAATATATATAGTCACACACTTCAACGCTTCCACATAGTTTTCTTTGAACACAATCAATTTTCAATCAGCAAGGTAACTCCAACTCGACGTATACCATTCCTAGATTAATAAGAGGTAAAAGGAGTCCAGACATTGATAGTGCATCAAACTCCAGCAGTTAGCAGAGCAACAGATAGAAACCCCCAGATTTCTGCTGTAGCTATTCTACTCAAATCACAATGACAACACAGGGATTGGATTACTTCTACCTTCAGACACGCTTAAGATCGAAACTGGGTCACGGAGAAATGAAATCCCGGGGGAGGGGGGAAATACTAAATATCAGTTTCAGTCCCAAATCAGTACCCCCCATCATCTCATTAAGGCAACAAGAGGAATGCCATCAAGTTTAGACATAACAATAAAGAAGGGGAATACTAATCACCCGCGTTGCAGAAGTTCACATATGCATGCAGCTTAATGATTGAGCAAGTTTTGGGGGCACAATAGAATGAAGGTTCCTTCAATGCCAAAAAGCTAGCTATCCAAAGGGGTTTCCAAAAGGGCAAATGGCACATGCAATCCGTAGTTCAAACAAAAACCTGCCATTTTCCGGTACAGATAGTCCGAGCAGTATAACCGAAAAACCGCGATTCATTTCATAAGCTAACAACCAAAACTGAGTAGCTACGGCAACAAAATGAGGGATTCGATTGGCGAACACAGCACAGGCTAGCTACAGTGACTCGGGAGACGCCCTAAAATCACAGAGGAACTGGGGAATCCAAAAGAGAGCGGGAAAAGAGAATGGAAATCGGGGAAGAAGAAAGAAGCTAGCTTGCCTTATCTCTTTTACCGTTCTTCCTAACATTGACCTGAACTCTCCAGCCTTCCGGCAGCCAGTCGTCGGGATTCCCATCGTCCATCGCCGGAACCAGACTCCCCTCGTCCTCTCTCTATTCACCGGCTGAGGAGACTGCCTCTCCCTCCCTCTCTACCTCTCTCTCTCTCTCTATATATTATTGATTTGTTCGTTGTTCTTCCTGTGTTTCCTTGGGAGCAAGAAGTTGGAAAAGAGTCAAAGACTCAGAAGTGAGGTGGGGGACGGGTACAAGGCTAAGAAAGAAAGCATAATGAGAAAGTGAGTGAGCTAGCTGCTTTTCTTTTCTTTTTCAGTTTTCACTTCCCCGCCTGAGATTTTAGCACAGAGAGATAGACCCCACGTGTTGAGGCCAAATTATATTTTGTGCGCCTTTCCACTTTGTGCTCCCGCGCCCTACATCTACATGGACACACAACAAAGGGAAATACTACAGGTTCTATGATATGTTCGACGATCACGATGTCAGCACGCGTTGACGTTTGCCTCATTCGGCATATTAACAGAGTTTCGTATGAATGTATTAGATACGAAGACTTATCAAAATCTTAGAAGCTAACAGGGAAAATCATATAGTAACAGAATTTGTTTTGGAGAGTAACCGACTGATTAGGGAGTTCGATGAATGTTCTGTTATTACTTATTACTTATTAGCCTTTTAGATGAGAGAGAGACTAGAGAGAAAGGATGCAATGTAAACTGACTGATTTCAATTTGTGGTCTTTGGTGGGTTTTTGGTGGTTTGTGCTGCTTTATTGGAACATGGTCCTTGTTGCATTCTGAAGATTCTTTGCCAACCCTAGTGGTCTCTCTAGCTCCATTCTTGCACCGTCATAGTGTCATTCTCTCTATCTCTCCCCCTCATTTTGTAAAAAAAAGTGTTGGAATCAACATATCTGAGAGAGTGTGTGTGTGTTTGATGAATTGTGTTGTTCTTGCTGTTTGTGATGATTTGGAAGCTTTTTTCCTGCTTTCCTTGTTCGTTTTGGATTTCATTTTCATTATTGAGTGAGTTAATAGTGGTGTAGAGCTTTGGTCGAGAAGAAATCATGGAAATTTGGTTGTGAGTACGTTCTCACCGACGTCCTGTAAGCATCAGGTTGCATACAGATAATCTGACAAATGTAAATGGACGATCCAACAAACACTAAAAAGCTGTGAGGACGTTCTCACAGAGCTTTTTGTTTTGTTTTGTTTTTTGTTTTGTTTTTTTTTTTTTTTGCAAAAACTAGTTACTATGTAGACTTGGGGGAGACATGCTGTTTCAATGCGCTTCAGTTATTGAGCTGGTCTTTTTGGAGCAAATCACTCGCATTACTCCCATTTCACCTAATGAAAGTATGGGCTGCCTTTAGGAGTTGTGTTTCTCCCATCCAAGCCCAGATGTGGGTGAATATATGGCCTATTGGCTACAAATAAACTCAGGGCTTTATATATTGTTTGGACTTATATGGGCTACAAACAAGATCGGCAGGCAAGGAGATTTTTCCAGAAATAGCACTGTTAAAAAAAAAAATTCCAAAAACAGCACCCAACTCCGAAAAATTCCAAAAATAGCACCATTTTTTTTAAACCGCAACCCGGAGGTGCGTTTTTCGATGAAAACGCCACCCGAGGGCGCGTTTTTCGATGCAAACCGCACTGGTAGGGAGCGGTTTTGCAAACCGCACCCCCAGGGTGCGATCTGCTTTTTTTTTTTTTTTTTTTTGAAAAATCCTAACTTAGGTGGAAACTTCAAACAAACGTATCTTTATGTTCGGGTATCCGATCGCCGCGATTTTTTTTTTGATTCCGCATAACTTTTTGAGATCTTGCAAGCCGAAGACTGCCAAAGGTGGTTTGGTCTCGCCTTCGAACCAAAAAATGTCGTTTGCTACCCGAACGAGCATTTTTTCGATTTCGTCAAACTTTGAACGACCATAACTTTGTGCTTCACAATCCGAAAATCATGATTTTTTTTTTTGATTTTGCATAACTTTTTGAGGACTAAATTTTTTATCATAGACATAATTTCGGAATGTACTTGGATTCCTAAAAAGAAAGGTAAACTTATTCCCAAAACCCCGTATATCCAAAATAATTCATTTTTTGAAAATTCTCTCCTAGAAAAAATTGTAGTCCTCAAAAAGTTATGCAAAATAAAAAAAAAGTTCATGATTTTCGGATTGTGGAGCACAAAGTTATGGTCGTTCAAAGTTTGACGAAATCGAAAAAAGGCTCGTTCGGGGTAGCAAACGACGTTTTGTCGGGACGAAGGCGGGACCAAACCGCCTTCAGCATTTTGCGGCTTGCAAGATCTCGAAAAATTATGCGGAATCAAAAAAAAAATCGCGACGATCGGATACCCGAACATAAAGATACGTTCGTTTGAAGTTTCCACCTAAGTTAGGATTTTTCAAAAAAAAAAAAAAAAAAAAGCAGATCGCACCCTGGGGGTGCGGTTTGCAAAACCGCTCCCTACCAGTGCGGTTTGCATCGAAAAACGCGCCCTCGGGTGGCGTTTTCATCGAAAAACGCACCTCCGGGTTGCGGTTTTACAAAAATGGTGCTATTTTTGGAATTTTTCGGAGTTGGGTGCTATTTTTGGAATTTTTTTTTTGAACAGTGCTATTTCTGGAAAAATCTCGCAGGCAAGCAAGCAAGAACTTATGCTTTCGAAACCGTTGTAAATTAGGGCGGCAAATGAGCCAAGCCATTCGGGAGCAATTCGGTGTTTGAATCGAAAAAATTTAGTTCGACACTCAATTCGTTATTTAACAAGTCGGCTCGGGAGTCGACTCGTTAGTAAACGAGCCAAGCTTGAACTAGACAATGCTCAGCTTGATAAGCTCGTGAGCTAGCTTGACTCGGTGGTTTGTTGAGATAAGCTCGCGAGCTGACTTGTTTAGAGCTCGTGGAAGGATTAATTGCTCTTCTAAACATGAATATTATCTTGTTAATACGAATGTGTATGAAACTTAGCTGTTATTTTTAGTTTATAGTGTTCTTTTTATCATTTAAATTCTTATTTGTACACATTTTTCGGCAAGAATGGTTTCAATTTCAAATCGAGCTTATCTTGAGTCGGGCTTGTACTCAGCTTGACAAGCTGTGTTAATGAGCATTTACCGAGCTCTACCGAGTCGAGTGACTCGCTATGACACAACTCCTAACAATGGCCAAGTGTAACCAATGAAAGGGACTGCAGTATAGTGGCTCAAGTAATAAATATCGAATCCACGGGTCTCTAGAGTTACTATTACTCAGTTTCAGTTCATTATCTAGCAAACCAGATTAGGATGAAAGAACTAAAACTACTCTAACAAACTACAATTAAAGTTAATCTAACTACAGGTTGGGAACTCACTTAGGTATGATTCCCCCTAGCCACTAGCCAGATTAATGATTGATGATCTCTAACCTGTTTCACTTTCATTCACAATGCGGAGAATCCTTGACTAAACCTTGAGTCTCGACTAAAGGAACAAGGCCCTCTTGAGTCAATTGCCTAGAGGGACGTATCCTTCTCTATAACAACCGATCAAGGCGTTCTGAACTAGATTCCCTCTATCGAAAGAGGTTCTCAATCGATACAAAGCAGTGAACCAACCCTCGACTAAAACAATCAATCCACTACTATCAATCTATGGTGCTCTATTGACCTAATCAGGTATTCGCTCTCATAGGAGCAAAGCAGAATCAATAATCTCGACTAAAGCAGAATTAAATCATGAAAACATGCATAGATTGAATATGAACTCAAGATTATCAAGTCAGAGTACTCATACAATCATCCAATCAAACAAACATAGCCAGGGTTCCTCAAAACCTAAGTGAAGGGAAGTTACTCCATAGAGAAGAGAGAGACTGCAGTAAGAATCTTTAGATGATCAGTCTTCAAGTCCGGGCTTGTTCCTCGAACTTCCAAGGCGAAGAAATCCTCCAGTTCCACTCCAAGAATGCCCTAAAATCGCCCTCTCTCTCTCTCTCTTTGGTTCGTCCCTAGGGTGTTTGGGATCCAAAACCCAGCTCTCCCTTTCCTTTGGCTTCAATCTGCCTAAAAAACCCGATTCTGGGCAAAACACCATCGAGGACACGGTCGTGTTTTGCTTTTGCCCGCCCGTGTTTTGCCTCATGTTAAAAACACGCCCGCGCGCGTCGGCCAAAACACGGTCGTGCCTAAATATGGGCACGGCCGTGTTTTGATTTAGGCGCGCCCGTGTTTTTACTGCCGAACCTGTTCCCCTATATTCAATGCTTCGTTTCTCCCTCGTCCGGACTCCGAATCAGTCGCCGTTTGATCCCAGACGCTCGTAGTCTCGTCCTCTTTCTTTTCATGACAAGCTTGCATGATTATTTGTCCATAAAGTGAGGTAGAAATCCATTCTTCTTCAGGTCATGCCCGAGTTTCTTCTCCCTAATCGCCAATTGATCTCTGATTGACTTGAAACTTGCGCCTATGCTTCACTTTATGTGCTAGGACCCGAAATGTGACAAAGGAACACAACCTAGCGTAAAATAGGCCAAAGACGCGATAATTAGAGCTCAAACAGTCAAGAAACAAAGGGGAAAACATGTGCAAATATCGAGTCATCATCGAGCTCAAGCTGGATTATCAAAATTCGAGTTCGAGCTGAAAAATTTATAAACGGACCAAGTTCAAACTAAACAAAAACTCGACTCGACTCGACTCGTTTGCAGCCCTAATTGTAATGGAAGACGACCAGCTTCATTTTTGTGTTATGGGGACAAAAAATGAAATAACACTCTACATTGAATGGTGGAAGCAAGCAGAATACGACACGTGGATATTGACTAGCAGAGCAGAGTACTAGGCTTGCTTGCAATTCGACCGCATTTGATTTAATTTTTCCGTGATGTCATTTGCATTTTGGTGCTTATGATGAAGGCCCAATCCGCGGACCACAAGGATTTTGCCATTTGTTCAATCTCATACGCCAAGCCACTATATATCTAAGCCGGCCTGCACGTCTCGTTTGGTTTATGCTCTTAGCTACTCGTCCAAATCTACACATACTATAATACACCGAAGTGAAAAACGGGAGCCCCATTTTAAATTTCCTGCGACGAGAGTGAATGTAGGAAGGACATTTTGGTCTTCACAATTACTTTTTTTTATTCATTAAAAAGATACATACTGGGATTCGAACCATGACCATTTTAAAGAAAGGCAAGGATCATAACCAATCACACTAAGTACATTTGTTGTATCATTTTAAATTAAAAATATATAATAGCAGGGTGGAAAAAACTCTTCCCCCATTTCAAATTCCCTGCTCCAGGAGCGTTTGTAGGAAGGGTAGAATAGGGAGTATCAATTTTTTCTCTTTCCTCTATGGAACGGGCCAACTTACCGTACACATGCGGATTTAAACGGGTCTAGGAGTGTCAATTTTTTCTTTATATCCTTTTATTTCTCCGTGGTGATAAAATATATATGAAAAGGCAAAAATAATACTCATTTTATTGTTAAAAATAAAAAATTTAACAATAAACTAATGCATGGTATCTAATGGGCTAACAGCTAACCATAAAATAAAAGAGTTGAATGAGCCTGACCTACATGAGATTTGGCCATCAAGTAAAACAAATGAACATCATGGGTTTGCCATTCTAAAACAAGCTATTTTCTTTGACATAATATATATTATGCTATTATTTTATATCTTAGTGGCTAAAATATAATGTATTTTAAAGTTATTCACTGGTTCAACCTCGAACAACCCAATTATTCCAATTTTTATCATTTCAAATATATATTTTATAATTATTTGACATCATATTGATCAAATTATAGTGTGTTTTATAGGGAATCGTTTGGTATTTGTTAGTAAAAAACTAAACATAAAGATCTATTTGGTTATTTTAAACATTAAAACGATCCTAAACATTTTCAGTTCCTTTTGAATTTCTATGGTTTTATTCCCGAATAAGTGATGTGCAAATGGCGAATTGTAGTCGTCTCTTTTCTTTCACTATTTTTTATTTTCAAATAGAAAGTTTAAAAGTAAAGAATAATTAGAATTTGGCATGGGCCGGTCAAACAGGCTGAATTTCAAGTTTTGGCCCGTTTATTTTATGCATTGCAAATTTATTAGCATGTTGATGGAAATGGCTTGGAAAAAAGACATATAAGTTGTACCTTTGCAGAAATGTCCTCAAATGTTTGAATGCTTTGTGAATCAGGTTCCGTGACTTTTGTGATGATGTATGTGCTTGACGATTGCTCGATGTTGTAACTACTTGATTTGAGAGTAAATCTTTTGATTTTCCCTATGAGTTGTGAATTGTGATACCAGTTCTGGTGGTTGCAGCATGTTGTCGTTGTTGGCCTGTAAAAGTTGTTCCGCCGTGATGCTAAATACCTTTCTTTCTTTTTTAACAAATTGTGTAGTAGTGCTATGAAACAGACCACCCATGAACGCGACACTTATTATGACATGTTCTTACTTCCGGTGGTGAGAAATTGTGAATTGAGAATCATATTCGCCTACTGTGTCTGGCTGGTGGCTGCTTACTATGCTCTCTAGAGTTATGAAACAGACTACCCATGAACGTTACCCTTAAGAGTCCATAACTTTGCGAAAAACCAAATTTAGGCAATCAAAGGTGGTGGATGTGTGATGATTTTTTATGGCTTAATTGTTTGTGAATTGGATATCTGATCTTTGTATGATTAGAGGGGATGTTTGCTTAATAGAATAATCCATTTTAATTCATGTTTATTTTTAACATGAAGTTTAGTAACTCAAAACCTTCGAGACACATATCACCTACTGCATTGTATCATTTTGCCTGGGTGCTTGCTGTGTTGTCAAACTTCTTTTCTGTTGCTGCTGCATTTACACTAACAGGGGAGTTAAGAACCCATGAATGTTTCCGTTTGACACAAACAAGAGGACTTACTTCTAAATCGTGCATTAAAGATGATTGGAGGAAACATCTTTGTTGCAGTTGATATACTAGAGACCATAACAAAAGCAACGTATAACATCAAAACCAACCATCTGAACTATTAGCATTGTTGCTTTACTCTTTTTTCATGGTTGAGTCTCCTTCAAAAAATTTAGTTTGATTTTAGAAAATTTTGCTACTGCAGTCCTGTCTTGCCACCAACGCGTTCAGTAGATGGAGATGGCAGAGGCAAAGGCTATTTTTGTGCTGTTGTTGCTGGTTTAGGGATCGGTTTGTGAAGAAGAGGGGAAAGAGAGGGGGAAAGAGAAATGCAGGAGAAGGGGATAACTCTTTTCTCCGACAAAAATGGAGTGAAGAAAGGAATTATGATCAGTAAGGATATGGTTATCTTACATAACGGTCTCTATTCTGTTTGAATTGAGCTTGGGAGGCAGTGATAAGGACGAGCTACAACCAATTCATAGTGATAAGAGTGCTATGAACTGTGATCATGTCTTATTTCAAGTTAGAAGGTAGTTTCAGTATAAGGATTATTTAATTTGACAAGTTGTTTCGTCCATGATTCTTGGTAGTTTTAGTGCCATTCTAGCCATTGTTTAGTCTGTAATTTTTGAGAATTGATGTGCGAGTAATGACTTTCACTTAGCTTCAACTATTATGTGTGTATTTATTGGCATGTGATAGAATTCTCTTTTCCTTTTCTTTGAATTCAGTTTCATACTCTAATTGTATCATTTGTACATAGGCAAATCATGCTCGAGATGACAACTCGCTGATATGGCTGGTGCAAGGAATGAAGGCATCATTAGAATTCAGACCGACAACGAGGAGGGATGCCCAGGAATAAAAACTGCAGTCTGCATCAACACCAATTTCTAGGCCTAAGTAAAGTTATTCAACCCAGAACTCTGCTTAGCGCTAAAAATTGCCCTCACCCAACCTTGATCCTGTTTGACCCACTTCTGAAGAGTCAAGATATATGACTAATCCTCTCCGTTCATATTTTCTTATTAACTCTTTCTGACCCTTTAGGTTGGGGCAGGTCGGGAAGAATCGGATTAGTGGGTCGGTCCTAATCAAGTGGAATCCTAATCCCTTCACTCTCACTTGCTTTCTCTCCCATTTCACAAGTGGGTAACATACAATAATCCGGCCAACGGGCCGGGTAATAAGCTAGTATGCTAATATAATTATTAGAAATGTTATAGTTAACTATTATAAACAATCGTTATTACATACGTTTTCTTGAAGTATACTAATCAACTTTATGAGGTTCTAGTTTTATTCAGGGGATTTTTAGTATGCTTTATGAGCTTTCTAATTTGTTTTAAGAAATTTGTGGGCAACTTTATGAGGTTTCTGGTATATTTTGAAGAATATGTGGTATGCTTTATGAGGTTTCTAGTCTAGTTCAAGAAACTTGTGATCAGATTTATAAGGTTTGTGGTGTGCTTCTAGGAACTCGTGGTAATGCTTTATGAGATTTTTAGTACGCTTATTAAATTTTTTGTATGCTTCTGGGGATTTGCAATCAACTTTATAAGAATTCAGGTCTGGCTAAAGAAACATGCAGTCAACTTTGAATTTTCTGGTATGCTTGATGAATTTGTGGTGAGGTACTGGTATACTTTATAAGCATTCTTATCTATTTTATGTTCTTTTTTGTATGGTTTGTGGTATGTGTTTTTAGTACGTTCCATGATACTTGTTGACCCTATCAGCTAAGGACGATATGTGGAATAAATAGGCAGCACCACACGTTCCTTCTTTAAAATTTTAAAATTGACAAGCATGCCCCTCTCATTAAAAACAAATCTTAATTGTGGTCAACTCGTTAATATAAAAAAGTTATCAAAACAAATTATTCTTATTAATTCGAATTAATATTAGTATCATGCTAATAAATTAAGCATTAGCATCCTAACCTTAAGTCTTTTACGGAATGCATCGAATTTTGTTTCAAAATTAATCATAATACATGGTTATGAGTTCTGACTTAATATCATATATATTAGTATTATTATTATGGTTTGAATCTGCCGGAAATTCTGTTATCACCACCCTTGTTGTGGTGGCAAAAGATATCATTCTCATTAATCACCCCACACAAGGTAGCGTTTGTCATGCTCAGTTTGCAGGCCGCACCCATTAAACAAAGTTATCAAAATGCCAACCCAAACATGACAAAAGCTTGCTACATATATAATTTAGTTACCACAAACCTACAAATGAATTACAAGCTTACAACATAAAACATTACAAAATCCTAGTTATGCCTCAAATATGGTATATATGTTTATGGTATATATCTCCAATCTAATGGCTCAAACTCGTTCGTACGATACAGAATCGACACCTACCGCACCGTAACAAGTTTGAACAATTAGAATGGAGACGGTAAGTACTATATCTATACTATATATTATATTATATATCAAATTTCACACATCATTGAATCAGTATAAAAAAAAAATAAAGTAATAATGGTCGATGACGACGCTGCTATCAAAACTTGGATACAACAGTAGTGCGAGACGCGCGCGAGTTGTTGGAAGCGGCTCTATGAATCAGAAGATCATCATCAGTTGTGCAGTAGGTTAGGCCCACAGGGCACCAGTCGACGAGAAACCGTGCGGATCTTATGGCTCTTGTTCTTGCTCCACTCTTCCAAGCTCTTTCGAATGGCCGACGCTCCTTCCATGAAGGACGACTCTTTCTTGCTCCCCTGCAGTACAGCTTCTTTCTCCCCCCACGACGACGTCGTCGTCTCGCCGTCGAGCAAACGACGGCAGGTCGTGCCCTCGATAAGGGCGCCCAACACCACCACGAACAAGAGGAACAAATGTGAAGTCTTGGTGGCCATGAAAATTGGGGTGGATTCAGTCTAAGAGCAGGAAGAAAAGAAGGGGAAATTGGGTTTGGTTTGGTAGGTTGTTCTGTTTGTGGGTAGGTTTTGGGCTGTATTTATAGATGGTGATTGGGCCAGCTAGCTAGCAGGCCTGCCACCTGGGAATTTGACCAGATCTCACTCTTCTCTTCTCTGTTTCCCCTGCCGCTCAGAGTTTTTGTGTTGCTTCCACGCTCCTCAACGTTTACTTTGTTGGGATTTTATGGAGTTTTTTTTTTATAATGGTTGGTGTGATGATGAAACTATGTGTTGTTGACTTTGCTTTTGGTTATATCGATCGTGGGTCGTTTTCAAGGGAATTAGGAAGTGTGTCACTCATCAAGCTAGAAGGGTACAAACTATGGCTTTCGGACGTCCATTTTGCAGGTTTGCACCTCTACATCATTTGTGTCTCTTTCCTCGCGTCTGGTTGTCGTTGGTGGCAAATAAGATAACTTCTTCTTCGATCTCCCCCCTACAAAAGAGCAACATGGATGGTATTAGAGCCTTTGGGGGGGGTTAAACTTAAAACATTTGGCATAAGTTCGGGGACAGGTGTCGACGTGCATGAATATGATGTTAATCTGTCATTGTCGATCTCTAAAACAACGTGGACAGATTCATGTAAGAGAGAAGTCTCTGGATTTTGATTCGGATATTAGTGTGCAGTTAGTATAGAGTAAGGATATGACGGTAGAAATGGTAAACATGATTAACGCATACAACATACCGGATCGATCGAACATTATCGGGACAAGAATAAGTGTTTGTTAGTAATCGAAATGACAAGTATATATTTATCCACGACAGAGAACTGAATCGTTATCCGTTAAAAAATATAATGTTAATGACTTGTTGTCAGCTACGGGATTGAAATCTCGACCGGAACTTTTTCCCCCTTTTCTTCCGATGGAATACTTGGTGACCCATTAATTTCGAGACAAATGTCTCGTCTTGAAGACTAAAGATTCAAGGCAAAATCAAAGAAGTCTCTGCCGGATTCTGCAAAATTCTGTCGGGAAATGGGGATTGGTGCCATTTGGAAGCCTTGTAATTTAGCTACAAGTGCAAATGCGTGGAAACCATTTGAAATCTTCAACGTGGGTTAATTTCCTTGTACATTTGGCCCCAAGTCAAGAAAATGGAATATCCTATGTGGTTGCTATATTGGTAAACAAAGACAAAGCAAGGAACGCATCCTTTTAATCTTCTGCTACAAATTCACTTTGTCCTACAAATGTTTTTGGCTATATTAATTGAATTTTTATATTTTTTTTATTGTGGATCAAATTCAGTTTGTACATATATATATATTTTCGCACGAATTTTTCGATAATACAAACTAAATTTGTTATTTAATTTTTTTTTAAACGTGAAGGTATAAATTAACGCTATACCTGAAAAGAACAATATTGTAAAATTCTCCGTTATCAGACCTGACCGGCGGGAAAGAATATAATTAAGGTGGTAAAAATAAAGAAAAGGTTGGCATCAGCTGGCTAGTCACCGATGGCCGCCGGCCGGACCAAAAAGAGGCTACGGCCTAAATCCGGGTCAGTCGGCCGGTTGTCATCCATCAGGCCGGCGGCTGCCGCCTGCCTGCCGTATGTGTTATGTGTACTGTACTGTGACCCCAAAAAAGCCGTCACATATGGATTGTTAATAATAATAAGAGTAATAATAATACAAAATAAGAGTAATAATAATACAAAATAATGTGCAGTGCACCTATTTGACCTTCGTTATGTATGGGTTTGTTTATTGAGCTGACTTAACCTTCTGCCGACGTCAGGACGTGTTATCTACTTCCTGAAGCATTACAATTGTTAAGACTTAATTAAAAAAAAAAAAAATCCCCCACGTCAAATTCTTAAAAAAAGAAACAAGTCCACGGGAATCATTTCGGCGTATGTGGGTTAATGTACCTATATTTAGCTTATGCTCCATTCGGGTGGAGGGTTCTAACAAACATATGCTCTTGCATTATGTATGTTTCTGTCCAAACAAAATGGGGAAAAAGCGGTACGGATTGTTCGAAAACACATAATAAAATTTCTCGGGATTGTATCTCGACGGTACTTGTGTGTACTTGAACATACACATTTATACTTAATCAACATAGAAACAAGTTTGAATTCGGCTTGATATGTGGTCTGATTCGACCGATAAATGATTTCTAACCGCAATATGAAGGACCTTCAGGCATACGTGGTTTTGTTAGTAAGAAAAATGTACGATTGGATGTAGAATGAAAACATGATAAAATCACTTATTTGTATGGGACCGCAATTATAAGGCTTAATTCATTTGCATAGCCATAACTTTCGCGTTTTTGACAATAATAGTCACTTTTTGAAAAATACACAGTTGTAGCCATTTCGTTCAAAAGTTTAATACATTCACAAATGCTGACTAGACAAACGTTTATGGTGACGTGGAGACTTTTCGTCAAACCAACTGCCAGGTGGAATGTTGACTTTTTATTTTAATTATATGAGAAATAAACTAAAATTTAACTATAAAAAGGAAATGAAAAATTTCGTGAGTCTTCTTTGGCCCCTCTCATATCTCTTCACCTCCTTCTTCATCTTCTCCTATGGTTGGGCTTCTGTGCAGCCTAAAACCCCACCGTTAAAACCTAGGGGAAAGTCAAAGAGACCAACGTAGAAAAACCCTCGCCGGCCGTCATAGCGAGTGTGCGGGACTGGCGCTGGCTGGAGGGACAAAAATACAAAACCCTAAAACAAGGTTCTCTCTCCCATCTCTCTCCGCTTCTCTCGGCCACCCGTTTGAATTGCAACCACCTCACAAATTGAAACTCATTGAATCCATTGAATCGACGACAAATCGAAGCTCACCTCCACCGGGAAGCCTCCGTCGTCTCTTTGGATCTCCTCCTTGACTTAAGGTTACAAATCTGCTACCGCCGCTTCCACTCTCTTTTATCGACAAATCACAGTATTGCCTAAGAGATCGAGCAACAAGAGGACTGTCGGGCTGGTGAAAACGACAGTCGTTCCTTCTCTTGTCTGTGACCTCTCATATCTTTAATCCCCTCGACAAGGGTTTCGTCGGAAGAGGTTGAAGCCGGGTGAAATCGACGAGAAGGTGAGTTGTTGCTGGTGGTGTAGCATCTTCGATTCGTCAAGAATCGACTCCGATTTATGAAGCTGTTCGAGGTGGAGGCCTACAAAGAGTGGGCGGCGATGGAGTTGGAGCACGAGCAGGATCTCTGGTGGCAACTTCCTCCTATTTCGTGCCCTTCTCTCTTCCATCCTCCAGACCCCTATCTTTCGTTCCTCCCAACCCATCACCACCACCACCGTGATCGATTCTAAAACCAATCACCACCATCGTCGTCTCCTCCACTTTGATTCAATTGAGGGCCTAGCTAATAGAGATTTGAAAGGGAGGAGGGTTTGGAAAGGGATAACCAAATCTGAAGAACTGGAACGAATTTTGGCGATTCAGTACTCTCTAGATGCACCGAGCGCCTTTACCCAACATACCCATCGGGAAACTATATCCGATTGACGGAGAAGTTTGGAGCTCCGGGGAGGATGGGGTTTGGAAATGATTGTTGTTTATGAAAATTAAATTATTTATTTTAATTTAAAAATATGATGTGGCAGCCAGGTGTCATCAGCGTCTTGCTAATGGTGTTAAAGTTTTTGACGGAAATAGCTAATTTTGGCAAACAAGTTTCTAAAATGTGGCTACAATTGTACATTTTTCGAAAAGTGGCTATTATTGTCAAAAAGTACATAGTTATGACTATTCAAGTTAATTAAGCCTTTTTATAAGTACAAAAGGTTGGTGACAAATGGCTAGGTTTTGGAGGTATTGAGGCATAGAAACAGTTTGGAATCTTGAAGAGCCGGACAATATTATGGAGCAAGAGAGGACAACTCAACTTCAAACAAACGTAAGCCTGTTTATTTAATTAATGTTGATAATTAAGGTGTGCGGGTTGGGAAGTTCGTTGAGATTAAACTTTTGGATTATTACCAGATCAGTCAGTCCTTAATCTTCATTACAGGCAGGCCTAAGCTTTTCAAATGATCAACCAGAAACGTATAAGTTTCGAATTCTGAAGATCTGAAGTTTGATTAATCATGACGGAAAGGACTGTTGGCTGGATTCTATGGATGCCGGATTAATTAATGTGATTAGTAGGTAATATGCTGACATGAACAGAAATCGAAGCTGCTGCAAACAGAGTCAACCTTCCATGGCAGCTTCCACAGAGGAAGTCTTTGTAAACTTTAGCGCATTCTGTGATTGGGTGTTCGTTCTTGTATCATTTCAACGATTTCCATCCTTCTGATGGATTGAATTTGTCTTCATTTTCAGTCAAATTCCGTAACGGCAGAGACAATTCGGGTACACAGATTTCCTGGTATCGTTGATGATGAAAGTCTAGAATGAATGGAACAGAGAAGAATGTAAGCGCTCTGTATTCACACTCTCAATTTAATTTATACAAATCGGCATTTTATTATCTTCAAACAACTCAGAATCATGACTGGTTCGTGGAAAGAATGGAGTGGACAATGAAAAAAGAAAGAAAGAAAAGGACTAAAACAGAAAAGCTCTAGCAAACAGGGGAAGCCCGCCCCTGTTTCTCAAAAGTCTCCCAACTCCAAAAATGCCCAAGAGAGACCGTAAAGTTCCATTCTTTCCGAGAACCAATTTGATTCTTTCCGCCGCCATTGATCAACCTCATGTTTACCGGACTCTAATTGTGAAGTGGGTTTGGTCCGGCAGGGACGCACCGATCCGAAATGCTGTGCATTGGCTTGTCGAGCTCGTTATTCGCCGTACTTTCCCCCGGAACGAACCGAGACATCGCCGCAAGCCTCGCCGGAATCGGGAAAGGGAACTTCGTCTTGGTTCTGTTGTTGATCTTCACTACCCTTTCTCCGTAAGCAGAGGACCTTATCGGCCGAGAAGCAGAGTGGTCGATTGACGCCAAAAGAATGATTAGAAGCAGCAACAGAGCAGGAAGTGAAGAAACAGAGGAAGTAGTTCTCATGATTTTCCAATTGTGTGAACAAAGGTAGAAAGGACGGCAGAAAGTTTTGAGGCACTTGGAGAAAAATGTTGAAAGGAGCGCGAGAGTGGTGTGTCTGAATGTGATGGGAAAGTGAGGGGTTTATATATAAAGAGAGGGAGAGATGGATTGGAATCACTTGGGAGGATGGGGATAAAAATATGATGTCAAGGACAAAAAGTCAGAAGCAGTCACATTTCATTGCGTGAATTGTTTAGCCATTGTTTAGTATAATAGTATATCTTAGTCAAGAGGTGTTCGAGTGATGATATAGATGCCACCCACTAACAACAGAAACAGGGGAGGAGGTTATGTGGTCGGCCAGCCATTGCAATAGTGTGATAGAAACAGGGGACGTTAAGGGCAGAGCAGCAGGGGGAGAGTTGCCGCCGGCAGGGAGATAACATCGCCGAGTCCAGACAGCATATTGCCAACTTGACAGAATCTTTCCCCTCTGTAGTAAGGATGGTTATGGTTGGTGGGTATGGCTATTCTAAGGTAGCAATTTGTCCGTAGGAAATGGGAGATGTTTGTTCTTTGGCTCTTTTGCTAGTTCTTTGGATTGAAGTAAATGGGAGACGTTTATTCGAGGATCGGATAGAGTGCTAACACGCTATGTGTTAACAAAATGCTAACATAATCCATTAAGATTATTTTCTGTCAAATTCTCCTTCCATCGATTTGATTGTAAAAAGAAAGAGAGAAGGATGGGAGAAGAGCACAAATTCCAGGCAACTCCTCTCCGCACGAACAACTGCGGCCTCTTCGAAAACCCGACGATACAGGATTCTGCTATCGAGATATGCAGCTCAAGGATCAAGGCAAACTGGCCTTGAACCAGACCCCAGCCACCTCTTCCTCGACCCCATCGTCGTCCGCCTCTCTTTCCTTGTCTTCTACGATGGTGGAGGTCGTGGAGCTTGATTGTTCGGAGAATGTTGGGATTGAGTAGTTTTATTAGTACGATATCGTCGGCTTTGTCTCACATATACAAAGTATCATGGATTTGAAGGAAATCAAAGATTTAAAAATTTTAATATTCAAATTGAACCCATGAATTTGCAAATCTCACATTTCATTTTAGATTTGGTTGGTGAAAAATAAATTTGTGAGACCCATAATACAAAAATACTATAATACATACTAGAAATCAACTAACCGTTTGGATGGATCAATTGAGAAACAAGACAATTTGATCAATTATCTCATTTTGCAAAATGAGTCATTTAAAACGTGTCAATTCAAATCGTCTACCCCCAACTCCAAACAATTATAATTGGCTCAAAACACGTCAATTTGAAATTCCTCATGCAGAATTGTTTCATCTAAATTTTATGTTTTTCCAACAGAGATCAATTTGGCCAGATCATTTCAAAACGAAACAATTAGGTCAAAATTAATCCGTTGATTTGTTTCATCTCCAAACGACGCCTAAACAAACAATTCAACATACATAAAAAAATGGGGGGAAAAAATGAAAACAACATACATACAAAATTTTCAAAAAGTCAAAACCCTCCTTACTGGACCTAACAAATATGCGGCCCATACGGTCAAGCCCAGCCCAAGTATTTATCTTGACTTCCCATTCGATTACTCGGATTACGATTTCCGAAGCCACGCCTTGCCTCCTCCCAAGCTTCCCAAGAGTTGTATTACTGTAACACAAGAAGAGACTCAATCACAGAAGCGATTCTTATTCCGAAAAGCATGTTGCACTCCGGAAGCTTGATCTAAGACCAAACGGCAGTCGAGAAGAGCAAGGAGCTGCAGATCCCATCGACGGTTTCCGGCTCCGGGGGACTTCCATTGATCAATCCTCGCGATTTCAATCGCCTCCTTCGTCGGACGAGCGGTGGAGGAAATCGAAGGCGGGAAGAGGGAATTAGGGTTCTGAGTTAGACGAGCGAGGAACAGGGAAGGGAACTACTCCTAGCAAATTCCTCCACAAATGGCGAGGGCAATTGACGTGACGAACATTGTGGACCTCGACGACGAAGAAGACGGCGGCGAAGGCTACTGCGTACCCATATTCGACCATGGCGGTACCGAGAAAAGTCCAATCTCCGTTGAGGACTACAGTGAAGACAGGGAGCTCAATCTCGCGCTGCTGGCTTCTCTCCAAACGGCGGCCGTCGGCCGCAGAATCAAGAGCGATTTCATCGACCTCTCGCGAGATGATTATGGTTATGTTAGCATCGATGATGACATCATTCTGCTCGATTTCGCGCCTAAAAGCTACCATGATTCTGCTTCTTCTTCCACCCCGTCGCCTGGATCATCGAGACGAAAGCCATTCCGTGATTCTTCCACTGAAAAGGGTCAGTCCTCGAATTCAAACCCTGAACCCGAAACGGTAATTCTCTGTGAAATCTGTGCGGAACCCAGAACACCGAATAGTTCTTTCCAGATTAAAGGCTGCTCTCATGTTTACTGCAAGGATTGCATGGCCAAATACGTTGCTTCGAAACTGCAGGACAACATATCGAAAGTTGGGTGCCCTGTTTCGGGCTGCGAAGGTGTGCTGGAGCCCGAATATTGTCGCTCCATTCTTCCTCCGGATGTGTTTGAAAGGTGGGGGAATGCTCTGTGTGAGGCCGTGATTCTTGGGGCTCAGAAGTTTTACTGCCCTTTCAAGGATTGCTCTGCGATGCTGCTTGATGATAGTGGTGGAGGGGGGTTGATTACTCAGGCTGAGTGCCCCAATTGCTACAGGCTGTTCTGTGCCCGGTGCAAAGTTCCTTGGCATTGTGACATCGACTGTGTGAAGTTCCAGAAGTTGCACAAGAATGAGAGGGAGAGGGAAGATATTATGTTGATGAATCTAGCGGATAAGCAGCTGTGGAAGAGGTGTCCCAACTGTAAAATCTACGTCGAGAGAACCGCGGGCTGCAGATACATAAAATGCAGGTGTGGGATTTCTTTCTGTTATGGCTGCGCAGGTACGCAGATAAATTCAGGTACCCATGTTTGTCCCAGATGCGGATGAGTGGGATTCTCTACGGCTGAGTTCTATCTGTTTGATGACCGCCTAGAAGAGGGGTTTCCACAAGCGATACCTTCCTGGGAGAAGTTTGCTGAAATCAGAATCACTTTCTGAGTTCCAACTATGGCCTTTCATTTTAGGGCCACAGGCTGCTTTCTTGAATAAGTTGGGTTCTTGGATACAATGTTCGATTGTAGATACAATAGTTGGTGGGTGGTCCTTTTTGCTGGTTCTTTCTTTATGGTTGTATAAATGAGATGCTCCAATTGTTTATTTTGTGCTTCTGTTGAGGTGATTCGATAACTTGCAGCGAGTGGTATAAGCCCATTGAGTTCTTCCATTTGTTCATGCTACAAAGCAGCTGCTCCAATTGTTTATTTTCTGCTTTCTGTCGGGGATTCGAGCTCTTTTAAAGCAGCTGCTCATGCAAAGAGAAAACTGTATAGGAGTAATCGATGGAGTAAGAAAAATGAATGGCTGTGCAATCATATGTTTTAATGTTGAACAATCTCATATGTCCTCAAGCCACCATGAAAGGCCAAATATCACGGAATGGTGTTCTTATTAGACAAACATATGAAAGCTAGTCTCTTCTTTGTGACAGAAACATGTCTGGGTTTGGAGATGAGAAAGCTGAAAATAAAAAGACTAAAACACTACGTAAGAAGTAAGAACCCACCAATGTTCAATCTTCTTATACATACATCATCTCACTCTCTCTCTCTCATGGCATCATCTCTCCTTACGAAATTCGCTCTCCGCCACCCACCACCACCAGAATTGCCCTCTGCAGTTTCAGTCCTCTTTGGACTCGACGCTTGTTGGAGGAACCTCGGTATGCGGAGGAACCTCGGTATGCTCAGCAGCCGTAGATGGAGCATCTTCAGCTGGCTTGGCATCATCTGCTTCAGTGGTTTCAGGCTTAGCATCACCATTTTCAGTTGCTGGTTGCTCGCTAGAGGAACCATCGGTCACTGGGACTTCCTTCTTGATGCTACCAACCTTCACGTACTTGCTCATGAACTTGTATTCCCAGTCCTGCAAGGCTTCCATCTCGAAAGGACCAAGGCCGGAGATGTCTCCGGTCAAGTCCTTGTCCTCGAAGGACATCTTTGCCAGTGCTCTGCTGGCGTCCTTTCCGGCAAACAAGGCGTAAGGTCCACCTGGACCATAGAACATCCTGTTGAGAGCACAAAGTTGAATGAAACACATCACAAGGATACAAACAGTTCAGATATAGATAACTAATGGAGTTCAACACATTCTTCCTCCTCTGCAGCACATCAATGGTGTAAACTCTAATGCAGGATTACGATGTGAAGTCATCTCTTCGATGCAGTGAATCTACAAGTATAGTGAAAACCTGAATCTAATTATAGTCAACAACAATACAACCAATTGTCCATCTCCAAATCACAGCTTTGCAAAATCATCCACCAACATGGATGACAGATACAATCAAAACAAGCTCCTGAAACAATATCTACAGATTTTTAGTGTTCCAAACGAATAAGAAGGCTATTTTCCCATCTTGCTCAATGGAGTCAGTAACCCAACAGACGGTTGCAGCTTGCTACTGCCATAAACCCCCACTAATTCACTGCATCATCCATGACCCAGCGAGAAGGAAGAACACTACTAACATAAAGCCACTAAAGAAGCATCTAATTTTCATAGTCTTAAAGAGTATGGAGGAGGGCAAGAAATAAAGGGGAAAACGAGCACATAGGGAGACAAATCAAACCCAAAAAAAAAGGGGTCAAAAGCATCCAAAAAACCATCAATTTGAAAAGGAACAAATTCCCACAGCTTTGCAATCTGGAAAAAACTTAACCCCTTTAAAGCAAAAGGATTTCATACATGAAAAAATCCAACAAATTTCAGATACCTACAAGTCAAAGCCCAAAAAAACCAAGGCAGAAGGAAGATAGTAGCAGTAGCATACCTGCTCTGGGAGACATCATAGATCTGACCCTTGATCGCCATGAGCAAAGGCTTCTTGGGATCGGCGCCATCGTACTGCTTCAGCTCCTCCTCGCCGATCTCCCCAAGCTGAACCGGCGGCGGAAGAGGCTGGACCTCCTCCTCGAAGCTCCTGGGCCTCGGCGGCGGATCAGACGGCCCAAACATCGAAGAGAGCAGATAGTAAACAGCCAGCCCGAAAGCCAGTACCGTGAAGAAAGTGGCCGGAGTTAGGCCCGTGTAGGCCGTGATTCCTTGCTGAAGGGTCTCCCATAGCTGAAGCGCCATCGCCGCCGGCGGAGTTTACCAGCAAAGAAAGAGTGTATGTGTCTCGATTGGGAGAGGAAAAAGGAGCGATCTTTTTCTTCCGCCGGACCGCAAAAAGTCAGTTTTTATAAGAGAGAGAGGAACCCTCTAGTCCGCCAGTCAGTGGCTACCGCTACAACCAGTAAAGAATTTAACTTTTTCAGTTTTCTGATGCAAATTCACCATTTTTTTTCTTCTAAATTCTCCGAGTCCCCAAAAGATATTAAATGCAGCCCATAAAAGAAAATATTGAATAAATACCAGTCCTTTTCTTGATTTCTTCTGTAGCGCAATTGGAAATTACCTGATTGTCCTCCACAGTTGTTGGGACTTTGAGTCTCTCTTTGAGATTGAATTGGAATTATTGCTTTGTTTTAGCTGGTTTTGCAGATGTGTACACTGGGCCATAAGCTCTGATTCTGTGTATCTGATCTTGAATGGAGTTTTTGCTTTGTTGGGTGTGTTGGCAGGTATGTTGGCTCTATGTGGCAAGAGGATAGGAGGGTAATTTCAATTTATTCCCTTAATTACACGTTGCTTTTCTAGATATATGGTAGGTGAGATGAGATAGAATGTGAGAAACGACTGGGAAGTGGGAAGTAGGAGTTAGAGAGATGAAGAGGAGTATTGGTAATCCCCAATTTTTGTTATTGTCATTGACCAATCTGGCTATGATCCTAAATCCATGAGGGTAGGATTTTTCTAGTGTAATTTCCCGGTTTTAGATTGTACGCTTTGCGTTTTATTACGGTTGTTGAATATATGCGATGGTCATAAGACTCATAACCATTGTAAATTGCATAATGTAAGGTCATGTTAACGTTAATATGTTAGGACCATTGTTTGATTCAATGTTGATGAGGCGAGTTCAATTGATGTTGTTGCGTACGTTCTTGTGCGGTTGTAGCAGTAGTTTAATCCCTGTAGTAAAGTATTTTGTATATAACCTCATTGTCTGTTGATTGGTTAAAGGCCATATGAAATACGACATGACAACATCAATTAAATCCATTTGCACCTCGTTTTGTCAGCCAAATTGTACCTGCGATCGAAAGCATGTAGAATTTACGACATATTTGTAAGATGAATAGTTGGTGACGTGGTCTAATCCCTCGTAACTATCATTATTTAAACCTCTAATATTTATTTTTTTCCAATCTCTCTCTCGCTCAAATTTCTCATTCCGATTCGCTTACCTAAGACTCAGAAATGCATGTCTGGACAAAGTTAAACAAGAAAAACTTAGCACACTAACCTCACCCAAAATCAGTTGTTAGGTGTTGAGCCGTTTTTTGGTTTTCAATTTTTGTGTACTACTTTGGTAGATCTTCTTGGCGATGATGTCAAGGTTTGTAGATTCTTTAATTGAGGCCTAAAAGTGCCAAACTTCAAATGCAATTCCAACGAGGGCATCTGAACTTGAGGATTCTATTTTCTTATTTATTCAAACCCACTTGCGGTCAGGTCAACCTAAGGCAGCCATGGAAGCTAAAGTTTTCAACTTTGATCGGCCTTCAGCCTTCTCGATCCTTCCAGCCTTACTATATTTGATCGCTTTCAGTATGCCAAATTAGAAACAGTTGCAGTTCAAAACTCATACATTGCTGAAAATCCTAAGGTGAAAAAGACTTCCAACTTTCCTTAACATCTGGTAACAAATGGCTGGTTCTACCAAAATGAGCAGCTTTCCAGATTTGGGCCAAGCAAAACCAGGAGCCACAAAAGAGCTATAGGACTGTCACCACCTTGGTTGAACAGACAGGGGAACTTACAGGATTCAAACATGTTGAATTATTATGAGATACATGAACAACATGTTAAAACTTAAAACACTGTCACACCAACTTTCAGGTGGGAAACCTGTTACATCATTTCATTTCATACCTAATTTCTTATTCAGGAGAGATGCAGACCACCAGATTACAAAGTGGAATACATGTAATAGATGGCCTGGAATTCCTTGCACAGTAGTGAACTACTCGCAGATCGTACAGACACGACCACCTTATTGAGACGACGAGATCATCAGGCAGCTGCTTCTGCAGGAGAGGAGACCTTTCTGAGTACGAAAATGGGATCTCCTATTTTGATGATGCTTCCTTTCCCTGATCCTGATTCACTGTCCTTCCAAACTAAGTTCTGCCCAAAGTAAACCTGCAGTAATACCCCCCAAAAAAAAAAGTTCATCCTGTTTTGTTCTCTCTAGTAATTTCTTTCTGCAGGCAACTAATTACGTTGCATTCTCAAGTCCGAGCGAGCTCACCTTCCCTTGCTGTTTCTTGTCTGGACGCAGAACTTTATCTGACCTGAACTGCATCAGTGTTGCATTTGGTTCAGACCCAGCAACACCAGTGTCCTGATTGATTGTTGGTACCTGCCAACACAGCAAAATGTCACTTTTTGTTCAGGTCCAGGCTTGGCAAAGATAAATAGAACTTTTTTAAGGTATAGCTATACCTTGCAGCGGGAGCACAACCTCACACCACCAAATGTCGACTTGTTTATCTTAATCTCAGACCATAAGTCCTCTGAAAACGGCTCACAACCATGAACTAGTATGCTACAATACCCAAAATGAACAGAAGTTACATACTATATGCATTACAAGTCCAATTGAGCCACTTATTAGAGTCATGCTTGGATATTAGCAAGAGAGAGGGTAATGAACTGGTTACTTGGGTCGAAAACGATTAATTGGAACGGGTTCATTCAGAAGCTTGTTTAGCGCATCCAAAGACTCCTGCAGAAGCAGCACATCATATGAGCACATGCATCACATCTCTAAGGCGATACGTCATACGTTAATAGTAGTAGTCCGGAAAAAAGTCACTCTAACCTGTGAGGCGAGCATGTACGGGAAGAGGTCGGAGAACATTATGTTGTGTCCACGGCCATACTCTGGATCCACTGGCCTGATTTGTGATCCTGCACCAGCGAAATGCATACATAAGCAGCATCTGGAAGTATAGTCTAAAGAACATTTCGTAGCTAGAATCCGAAAGCACAAACCTGCATCGAAACGAATAAGCCTACTAGGTTTCCCAATGTAATCAGAGAACCATTTAGCAGCTTCACCTCCTTCATCTAGAGCAGAACCAGACCATTCCCATACCGATACGCCTTCTGCTACATCTTGTGGTTTCGTCAATGGTATTGAAAGCACAGGCATTCCAGGAGCCTTTATAACTGCAAATCAAAAGCAAAGTCGCATATGCTGATGAATGTTTGATAGTGAATAGTTCCATAGAGAAGAAGGAACAATTTTTCATTTGTTTACTCATATGGGAATTCTTCGTGGGTTCAAAGCCATCGAGAAACGCCTCCTTTGGCAGCTCAATCTCCACGAGAGCTAGCTTTGGTTCAACCCTTTGCGTGTAAGCCCTCCCTTTGTAGTTCACCACCACCCAGTTCCTATCCCACCGAAACCCTACAATATGTGCGATACGGCCCAGCAACAGAAAAGTTACAACGATGGATTGAAAATGGACATGTTGAGTGAACTAGGAATAGTTCCTAATCAGAGGATTACGATCATCATCTCTCTTTCAATGAACCACTGTCAGCAGAGTAATTGAAAGGAGTGTTTTCGGTTTACCAGTAGGAGTGAGAGGTGCTTCAGGAACAGAGATTCCGCGGCATGACTTAATTGGGTAGATGAATATTGATGACACTTTCGCAGCTGCTGCTTCCTCCGCCATTTTTTGTTCTATGTTCTTCACTTTCCAATCGTCCGAGCTTTCTGATCCAAATTTGCTTATATTCTTTCTCCAAGCCCGCAGGCGATATTAATGCATGCCCTCTTGGCCTCTTCTCCAGTGCGCAATAGTTTATCTTTCCAACAGAAAGAAACAAATCTTTAGTGCGCATTGCTGAAATTACTTGATTGTCCAGGAACTGTTGAGCCGATTAACAATGAATAATTCCAATATTTGCCTGCCAGTTGCAGGTATACTCTTTAAATTTGTATGTTTTTGGCGTTTTGCTCAGCGGATTAGCTGATCTTTTGGCGCGTTGTGGGTAGAGGGTAGAAGTGTATTTCCTTGTATCCATCAGTCACACTTGAGTTTTAGATATGGTAGGTGTGAGAAGCAGATATTATGTGATAAATGCCTAGGAAGATGGAACAGCTGAGCTGATGGTAAAAAACAGAGAATAGACCTCATTAAGATTCTTGATTAAGATTCTGTCAGCAATTTGTATTTTTACTGTTCCACCCTGCCAACACTATATCCAATAACTCAACAGAATCTGATACCACTTGTCGCAGCATTTTTCTTTTTCAGTTTCTGGTGTTGGAATTTGGTCTTGTGGAGATGATTCTCAAGGCCTGTGATCTTATCAAGCCAAAAGAGGAAACCCAGATGCAAATCCCAACTTCTGCACCTTATAGATTTCAGAAAGCTATTCTTGTTCAAGCCCAAGAATAGATTGACCATGGTTGAGTTTCGTACAATGGGTCAGCATCCAAACATTGAAAGAGACTGCAACTTTCTTTTCCATCTGGGCACAGTTCCTGGTTGTACCAGAATGTGTAACTGTTTGTTTTTCAGATTCAGGCAAAGAAAATTCAGGAGCCAGAAAATAACTAATAGGGGGCAAAACAAGGGAACTTACATATATACAATATTATCCAACAATGTGTAACAATGACTTTGATTCTCTCTCATTTCTCCATAACCATCTTCAAGAAAGGAGATGATGATGGCATGGCATAGCAGCCTTCTGCCAACACCACAACTAACAAGGCAAAAACAAAAACAAAAACAAAAGAAAAGCCTTCTTCTATATTCATATCCACTCACACATACTGGGTTTATTGTTTTCTTCTAGCACAACACAAATCAAATTATACCCAACAGAAATTGGTACACGAAGCCCTACACTCAACATCCCATATGCTAAAGTTACAACCTTTTCACCCCACATTACAAACATTCCACACAGATGCTCTACACTAATATAGTGAGAGAGAGGTTACCTCGTCTGCCTTCCACAACCCTTCCTCGTACCTATACCACCTCATGAGCCCTTCATCAGCTTTTGTTCTCTGGCACATGACACACGACTCCTCCATGCAAGTCAAGAACTGGCCGAGCCGGGAGGCCTTCTGACGAATAGTATCATCGAGCTCCTTCATCACTCTTCTGGGCTCAGGAGGTGGTGGGATCTCTATCAAGAGACAGTGAGAAATGTTGAGCACTTCGAGGCTCTGAAGGCCATCCAATATTATGATCAGGGCGTCCTTGAGTAGCATGGAACACCGGAGGCTTAGAACCTTTATTCTTGAGAGATGTGTTACCAATGTTGTAGCGAAGAAGATGTCGAAAGGGCCCATGATTTTGAGCTCGCAGAAGTTTGCGCAGTTATTGGCAATTTCCTCGATGAGATAAGGAGGATTTGCTATGCTAGGCATTGTGAGGGATTCGAGATCTTTCCATGAGCGGATGGCCCTGCATATACCAGTCTTTTTTATTCTGTTCCATGCTGGCAAGACAAGTCTTCTGAGATGTGGGCACCTAAATAAAACATCATAAAGCAAGGAAGGTTATTAAACCGAACAAATGAAGACAGTAGTTCTACCAAGAATCTAGAGCAGAAAGGGCTTCAGCAACATGTTGTTGCTTCAAAGGAAACAAAGATGCATTCACATGAAAGCCAAATAATCGCTCATGATTGACTTGTTTTCAAGATTAAAATGTACTCTGATTATTCACAACGTTGAATAAAGTAGCATGTCAAATCAAACAAAGCCGATACTTAGCATGATTGACATTTGACAATACCCAGTATTAATGAGACCTATGTACAGTCTAAGATTGCAATAACTATCCATATCCATTACATATATGTCTCCAATCAGATTTTTTAATGCTACATACATGATTTCTTGTTTCTACCTCAAGGCAAAGATAAAATGCTGTTCCATTCCAGTTACCCTTAATGGTCTCTCTCCTGCAGTAAGCTCATTTAGTTAGGACAACTTTGTTTACCATCTACTGTAAGTCTGTAACACAATGTGCAGAATGCCAACTGTCTAGTCTTTTCATGCGCCTTCAACTCCATTTTCCACTAAGATTATTTCTTCAATGGTACATTACTTCACTAACCATATAGTCTTCCGACTGGACAACATATTCAGAGAATGTACCTCAGTCTTAATAACTGTATTAATTCGAAGAAAGAAAGAAAACTGAAGTATAGAATCCTGAATTTGCAACCATCATGTACGGCAATTAACAGGTAGAACTTACAACACATCAATAAGCAAGCATATAGAGTTCCTGAATTGATATAAAATTATAATAGAAATCAAGCCATTAAAGACAAGTTTCCAGAACTAATCCTAACGTCAGAATTATTCATTCTAAAACTCAAGGTTCTACCAAGACCAAGAGACTAACACTAGCAAGAACTGTAGAAAGAATTGTAATAACATCAGCATCAACCAACTTATTTAGAACCCTACCTTTCAGCAGTGTAGGTCAACTGCTCATCACTGACGTACAAATTGAAATGGAAGATCAACGAAGAAATGCTTCCTTTGCTGAGACTCAATGATATCTTCAGCAGACGTGTCAAAATCTTATCCGAACGACCATCCACATACACGTATGGCTCCAAAGGAATCTTTATGAAATTGGATTTCATTATCGAAAGGTCAAGCGTTTTCCAAAGAAGAGGATCGGCACAGGCCATACGCCAAGAGCTGCAAACGTGACCGATCCCTGAAGTTAATTCAAAGATATCGAACGACTGGAATATCTTCACCAAAATATCCGTGTCCAAGTCCTCCCATCTCCTCACTGAAGGTCCACCCTCATCCATCTTCCTCTTCTGATTTTAAATGGAACCAAGATTCTGTACCAATTGAGCCACCGTCTTCAAATAGGCCATATGCTTGAGTCCTCCAACCTCCTAAAGTCGTCTGATCCAAAAGGAAATGAAAGTAAACATTGGTTATACGAACAGACAGCATTACTAGAACGAGCCATGGAAAGCAAGGCAGCCCACAAGAACGTGAAGCTTAAACAAAGACCAAGTATGAGACGAGACCGAGAATCGAAGCCAAAGAAAAGAAAACCCCTCCACCCCTAAAAGAAGTTGACAGAGGAACAACAGTCTTCTACCGTTTCAATCTCTGATTCATTCTGTTAATTCCCGCAAGCAAGATCGCAACATTTCACCCAATTGGCCCAAGGCAGAAACAAAGATTGAATCTCTACCATGTAAAACATCTCAAGCAGCTGGTAAATTGAAGACCCGGAGGATCTAATTATCACCCTGGATCCTTCGAATTCAACTAGTAAACAAAATCCCAGGAAGCAAATTACCAACCCCGATCTGAATCCCAATCCCAATTCGAACGCTTGACTCTATGCAGCTCCGTAAACAAAGCAAGAACAAGAAAGAAAGCTGGAAAGCGAGTAAGCGAGCAATCAAGAGGGAAACCAAACCTTGAGGGCGCCAGAAATTGGAGCCGGTTGTTGTGGCAGATACTGCTTGTGTAATGAATTTCTTCGTGGCAAAGGGCAAAAGGGTTGAAATTGTGGGAACCCGAAATCTACTGGATTTGGGGAGAAAAGAAAAGAAAAGCGTGGAACTGAAAGAAAGAGGATACGAGACAGAGCAATCGGAATCTGGGTTGTCTGGAAGAGGCAAGCGCTGCCTGTGGGTTATTACGAAAAAAGCCTCAAACTTTTTCGTCCACTGCGAGACCCAGTGAGGGTGAGATTCAGACAAACATTGCCCTCTGTCTCTCTCTCTTTCATTGGTCGGGAGAAAGAGCTCAGACTACTGGGATTTGTTGTTCATCTTGTTTATATCCGCCAATTTGAATCCGTTTTGGGGTTGATGACGAAAATGAAATGAAAATCACGGTGCCGGCTTTACTTTTGTTCTATAACAGAAATGTTGCAACAGAAACGGTTTCCAGTGGATCTCCTGTCTAGTTTTGTTCGGGAAAATTACGTGCGGCTGCCTCCTTCCTTTGCTCTTCTATCTCATCTCATGTTCCCCGTGTTCCCATTTTGAAATGCTAAGCAAGCGTTTGGTACCCTGGAAAAAACATCAACCATCCATGCACATGTGTATGAAGCAAGAATTGTAAGTTGTATTGAAAAAAGTAGCGGTAAGATATTTTATGTTGAAATTGTGGTCCAGCCATTTCATATCGTTTAATATCATCAACCGTTTTAGCTTTCTATACGGGTTTTTTCTAGTCGAACGCCCCAGTTTGTACGTTTTTTCAATTTTTGTTTGAAGGAGTTGATGTAATGACCGCAAAATTACTCTTTTTTTTTTGTTAGATAAAAATCATAAAATTGATGTTTATTTATCAAGTTTATACACAATTAAGTATGATTTGATCGTCAGATAGTAGTTTCTACACAATTTAGATTCTATGTCGAAAACGAAGAATTAAAAACAAATTGTGAAATTCAAATCGACCTTCTAATTCTCAATTGTCGTTTTGCCGTTGATACCACTAGATCAAATTATACATCGCGCGTTGGTATATGAGTTTTCACTCCATTGATCTCTTGAAGATATTTACTTAGTGGAAATGCAAGTTGATCGTTCTCATCATTATATCGAGTTTGAAACTTTCTAAGATTAGCTCTACTCTTTTGTGATCCTTTGGCCGAAGAAGCACAGCAGCCGCCTTCAAATGGCAATCGTCCCGATTGGGCAACCTCTTTATTTGGTGCCATATTGTTATTTGTTGTCGGACTCAATAATTCTGCAAGTTGGCATCAAGTGGGCACCAAAACTTGTTTCTCCGTTAGACCAATTCATTGGCTACTACTCCTTTCATCTCATATGCTTCCAATTTTGTTGCCCCCTGTACCAAGTGAAAAGAAAGACATGGGCAATAACCATGGTTGTCATGCCGGATTGTCGGTAGCATATCGGCCGGTTGAATCGAAGCTCAAAAAATTACATTGGTTCAATCGGTACCAATCATGAAACCAATACAATGCTACAAAGGATGCTAAAACTAAAACGGGTTAAGTTGATTATTAATTGTGTGACAACAATAGCATATGTCGTGCTCGTTAATAGGCCACAGCACCAGTCAGAGGGTTTGCATCCAAGGAGTCCGGCGAAGAAACAAAATCAGCAAGATGCAAGAGCAAACAGAATCACAGAAAGGGCATGGTCGATTGGCGCTCTGCATGACGAAGCAGATTCAGCGAACACTGCCATGTCGATTTCGCCTCTTCATGGTAATGACAGTACAATGGTGCACAGGGGCATTTGAGAAGAAGGCAGAGAGACCTTAGATTGTTCATAGCTTAGCATTAAGGATTGACATTCACGTAATTGCAATGGTAAGTTACAATGTACTCAAATCTCCCAGTGAAAATAAGTGAATCAACAGCTATAGATTATGATAACTGTACATAATGCATACAAGAGCTTTTAGCGACATGCAGATGCCTCGAGGCCAAAATGCAAAATGCCCAGAGAGGCTTCTTCCTTCACGAATGAGAACCCGAAGGGAGAAACCTGTACCAAGAAACAGAGCAGTTATCATCCATAAGACCATAATTAATTATAAACTACAGAGAATGAAGTAATATCAGAACTCAGAAGAGTTCACTCACTTCGTCAATAATTCCCTTGCTCTTTCTCTGGCATTCAATATACGCTCATAAAATCTTGGACCATCACAATCCAGTGTACCCGCAACCGCAGAGTTGATGTCCAACAACAATTCCCGGAATTCATTGGCCATTGGTGTAGATTCTGAAATTTGATCTGCGTCTTGTTGATCAATGAACCGCATTCGTTCTTTATCATCTCCTAGTTTGCCACTTTCAGCAGCTTCCAGCCTGGCAGCCATCAAAGTGGCCCGTCTTATACACGAGGATGGTAACTGCGAGAGGTAGCAAGAAAGTTAAACTTAAAATGTTACCACGAAATGAGAGTGACACATAAAATACAAGGAACTACGTCACTCTCCTAGAGTGAGTGGTGAGCATGCTAAGGTTAGGAAAATTTGAGACATTTGGTTAAGTTTCTTGGTTAGGTGGAACCGGTGGTGCACTTAAACCGAACTGAACCCGAAATTTCGGTGAATTCTACAGTCAAGTAACGTCACTGGAACGCACCAAGGAGCTCTTGTGCGGTTTGGCTCAGCTGCAGTTCAGCGTGATTAATCGCACTGTACACCCTACTGTCTAGACAACATAGATTCCAAAGTTGGACCTTCTTAAAGCTCGCATGAAGCATTCAGATGTTGAGAATAGAGAGATTACCTGAGCGAGCTCAGCAACCTTGAACCCAAAACTTCTCTCACAAATGCCAGGGACCAGCTTATATAGGTAGGTTACATCCTCACCAGCAGCAGAGCTCGAGTCGGTAGCATCATCCGCAGTTTTCTTTGAGGTAAGATATGACACATGGTATGCACCCACAGAACCTGGAAATCTAGCTTTAATCTCAGATATCTTCGGGTAGTGGGTTACGAAAAGAACCATGCTTTTTTTCTGCTCCAGAAGGTGATGTAAAGTAGCATATGCAATGGCTTCCCCGTCATGTGTGCTTGTGCCCCTACCAAGCTCGTCGATTATGACCAGTGAACGGTGTGTACACTTGTGGAGTATATTTGAAGCCTCGTTAAGCTCTTCCAGGAAAGTACTTCGACCCTGTTGAATACTATCTGAAGCTCCCATTCTAGTGTAGACACCATCCAGCACATGCAATTTGCAAGATGATGCTGGTACAAATGAACCAACCTAGATGGATCAGGCGACAAGTTACTTACCCTAATTAATAGGTACTTAAAAAGGCAAATATTAAAGGGAAAATGAATAGTAGAATTCACCTGGGCCATGATAGAAATGAGAGCAACTTGGCGTATGTAACAACTCTTCCCACCCATGTTCGGACCAGTCACAATTTGGCAATATTCTCCATCAGCATTCAACTTAGTATCATTTGGAACGAAAGTATCATGCAATATGATCTCCAAAACCTGGTTCAAATTTATAACCATTACCTTACCAAAATAGTTCAGAAACTATCTTTACTGAAGCTGAAACTTAAACAATAGCAAATTTTACTACAAGAAAACATACCGGGTGACGACCAGAGCAGATATCTATCTGGGCAGGTTCACTGTCATCCACAAAGGTTGGACGGACATAATTCTGACAGGCGACAAATATATATCACTTATTGTCATGAAACTAGTAAAAGCTCAGCATATATACTTTGCTCAAATTTTACCTTAGCTTTTGAAAGAGTGGCAAGTGAGTGTAAGCAATCTAAAGCAGCAAGTGCTTGAATAGCGGCTTGGAATTCTAAATAGTATTTACCAAAGCCCCTTAGGAAGCTGTCCCAGGTAGTTTGGCAAATTATCATCAGCTCCTCCTTAGCAACTTGAAACTGGTCTAATGCACTCAATACTTCAGGAGGATGATAACGGACTGTTTTTTTGGTACTGTTTACCTTTACCCAATCCAAGGGCACCTTCACATCTAAGGGCAACTGCAGGAAGAATCAGATGAAGATGGCCTTCAGAATAAACATATAATATATACCAAACTGGGTGAATTTCCACATCAACACAAATGCTTCTGAAAGGAAGAGGGGAAAAGCTTAATTCATATTATTAGTTGCAGAAGGTCTGTCCTTTACCTCTATCAAATGAGTAACGCCAGATATACTAGTAAATTCCAAATTACGATTGCGTAGCTGCTTACGATACAAATGCATAAGAGAATCCAAATTTTCCTCTGCCAATTGAACGGCTTTGCGGGCTGTTGCAACCTATGTATTAATAAGTAAAGAGAAAAAACCATTTTCTGGATGCATCAGAAACTAAGAAGCACCATTTAACAAAATGTAAAAAAGAAAAGTCACTGATTTTGAAGATGAAAGCTTCATATAAGCTGAGACCTCTGGAAACTGTCCATCACGGATGATAACCAAATTCAGTAGATCCCCTTGCTCAGCTGCTTCTTTGCTTACGGAAGACAATAGTTTTGCAGCCGTATGAACCACACTGGATGAGGATGCAGTTGAAATCAATGTTCTCAGTAGAACAGACTGTACAGATCTTCTCACATCCGTAACACTGCTTTGGTCCTCAATGTGGAGTCGCTGAAGTTGTTTCCCAGCATATAATATGCCTTCAATAACTGCAACAAACTGTCACTAATATCACTAAGTATATGAACATGCAAAATATGCAAGGACTATATAAAACAAGACCATGATTACCCAATAAGTACCTCTTTGGGGGTAGCAGTTCGATGGAAAATCCTCGTTATCCCACGCTGAATATCAGGCAATCTTCCCAAAGTTGTCAAGACAGAAGAAAGCAAAAAGTACAAGTCATGATGCACAGTTGCCGTTTGGTAACCTTCCTCATCATGCTCACCAACCGTTCGAGAAGCTTTACAGGAACTCATAGAACCCAAGATTTCAGAAACAGCATCAAGACGAGCATGGATCAAGTTTCTGTCACATAGAGGATGAGTCACCTGTCTCATGAAAAACGAAATAGCATATGACATATAATGGACAATAAAGCTGTAACAAAATAATTAACCAAGTATTAATCAAGAAAATCCCATACCCAGTGCCTAAGAAGCCTTGAACCATATATGGTAAGAGTGTTGCTCAGTACATGAAGCAGGGATCCAGTCTCAGATCCATCTGAGTTATTCCTCAAAATCTGGATGATATAAAAGCATAAATTAGGATAAGAATATGGCCTAAAACAAGATCCCAAAGAGTTTCATTAAGCAGATCAAGATTCTTGACTATCAAGTGATGGACATCTCATCGACATGTTCTTAATTTACATGTGAACTGATTTCAGAAAAAAAAAACGTTTTAAGCCTCCTAAAATCTTCTGCAAGCAAGGTGCGTGCATATGCTATCGCACATATACTATGATACCCTTGAAAGTGACATGAATTCAGAGCCAAAAAGGCTACTGGGAATAGAGCAATTTCAAGTTTCACGTTAAGCACTTCACACCTCTAGCTGTTGAAGCGTATTGGCTGAAAGGTTCATCTCTATATTGCTTGAGACAGGTCTAAATGATGCTTCATTGCACAAGATTCTTTCAAACCCAAACTGTTTTAGATGACGAATAGTCAAGGCCAGTGCTTGTACAGCCAAATCAGGCATGTTCATGATTCCCTGCAGAAACAAGAAAAAAGTGATATTTCTTAGGGAATAACTTTTTAAGAAGTGGGGATTCGATATCATGTGGGAGATGCCAATAGAACATCAAATGCCATTAATTTGAACACCTCAATTGCCGGGTGGTGCTTTTCCCGCCCAGACATCTCTGCCATTCGCTTCCCATCATCCACCAGCTTGTCTTCACCCAGATATTCATATAGCGACATCACCTCAGCAAGTGCACCACCCTCGCTAAAGCAATCACGTGAGACATGCTCAACTCGAACATTTGAAGCAGGTCCCGCATATGATAGCAATAACTGGAGAAATGAAAGATTGTCACCCAAGTCGTTAGCATAACCCAAATGTATCTTTTAATCATTCTATAATTTGCACAAGACTTAATCTTTCATCATGTCATACTCCTAACTGAAACACTGACAAAGACAAAACTACCTTCTCTGTCGGCTTCGAGAGAGGCTCCCCAAGAAGCAACTCAGCAGGAGCCAAGCTCAGAACCAGAGCCTCCAATCCACTCCTCATAATCCCATCATCGAACTCTCCATACACAACATCCCCAGTTGAAATTTCAACAGCTACCATCCCAATCTTCACGTCAAACCTAGTCTCAATCTTACCGCAATCCTTATTCTCCTCCACTAACAAATTCTTCTCCACAACGCAACACAAGTAATTATTCTCTCCGCCACAGCCATCCTCCACCCCACCACCCATATCCTCCGCCGCCTCCAGCGTAGCTTTCGTGTAAAGCGCCGATAACCCTCTACAAAACGGGCCGGCTCTGTTCTCCCCATGCGCCTTAATCGCGGCGGTCTCGGTCTGTTTAACCACCCCAACCTTGTACCCTGCCTTCACCAGTCTCCTCACATGGACATTTAGTCGAACAGTTGGTATGCTTGCCGTCAGAAAGTTGTGATCGATATGAGCATAAATCCCCAACACCCTGGCGGCAATCCCCGCGTCTTCCCCGAAGAATCTGTACTTGTAACCGACTTCGACCATCAATAGAACGTCGGGATACTGGTTTTTCAGGTCCACCACTTGCTGCTCCAGCGGAGTGTATTTCTTCAAAGCCTTAATCGACGGCGAGGGTTGCTGGGTCTCGATTGGAGTGGGTTCGAGGAGCTTGTCGAGAAACTTCTGGTGAAGCGAAGGGATTGGATTGTGGGTGTGCGGGGACAGTTTGGGTTTTTTGGAAGCGGTGGTGAGTTGGTTGGAGAGGAGTTTGCGCTTGGCGGGGGAGAAAGAGACGGTGGCGGCGATTTTCGGGGAGGGAGAAGTGGTCGGAGGCGGCGGCGGAGAAGGATTGTCGGGGGTTTTGGGTTTGGGAGCAAAGAAGCGGGTGGCGGCGATTTTCGGGGAGGGAGAAGTGGTCGGAGGCGGCGGCGGAGAAGGATTGTCGGGGGTTTTGGGTTTGGGAGCAAAGAAGCGGGACATGACTAGCTGCTTTTGCTTGCCCATGGCGACGGCGAGGAGAAGTGGAAGAGTTGGATGCGGAATCTGGGTTCTGGCGCTGGGAAGTGATATCGATAAGGCCTTTCGTCGGTTTTTGGCGCGCCTTTTTGCAAATTGTTTGATGTTTCTCTTCTTTTTCTATTTTACAATGAGAAGAACTTCGTTACATGAACCGGCCAAGTTATGTCGATCGGACCGAGAAGTTATCGTCAGGGCTGAAAATCAAATCACACACCTATGGCAATCAAACCCATGCTCACGGGTATCCGACCGCCCCCGATCCAGTCAACGCGGGGAATTCCCGCTTTGACTGGGTATGGGGCGGGTATGGGTAAAACCCGCAAAATGTTTGATGGGTATGGGGCGGGTATGGTTTTAGCCTCCCCCGCCCCATACACATACTCATACCCGCCCCACCAAGAATATTTGTTCACATATAAAAAATACATGGATGAAATACAGAAATAGTAATCTATCAATGATAGTGAGGGTAAAAAAAAATAATTAGTAGAAATGCAATTGAGTGGTCACCCAAATAAAAAATAATTAGTAAAAATACATTGCTTAGTATATGTATTAGAGTCAGATAAATAATGATTTGGATTGCATTGTAGTACTCTATTTTATGGATTAAGGGAAATTTTAGGATAAAATGCTTTGAACCATATTAAGAATTATTGTCACTTTCTCGACTTCATGATATCATAGGTGCCTTTAATGTTATAATTGAAAATTTACATGTACAATTTTATCTATTATAATGTTGGATGTACGGGGCGGGTATTACCCATGGCCATGGGTACCCGAAACCCACGGGTATGCGGATGGGTTTGCAAAATCTTTCCCCGCATGGGTATGGGGCGGGTATGGATTTGGATATTTGAAAGAGGGGATGGGGATGGTTTAGGCAAACCCGCCCCATTGCCATCCCTACTGACACACCCAACAATCTTTGATATCGGTTAGTCTCGTCTAAATCGTAAAGATGACTTCCTGATTCTTCACGGAGGATAGATCTTTGATATTGTGTTTATAATCTCACTCACTTAGAAGATTGAAGTGAGAAATGGATTGGATTCATTATTGAATTTAATGATCTGAATTAAATAAATTTATGAATTTGTATATTGAATTCATGAATCCATGTGACATTTCAATATTAGATCAGTATGAAACATTTAAAAAGATTGGATCAGCATGAAACATAACAATTATTCCCTAAATCCTATTATAGTCTCTCTCCCTCACCAAAAATCCTCTCTTCATCTTCCCGTTGGCCACCATCCTCCCCCGGAGGTAGATTTCTTCCTTCTTCCTTCAACCCAATTCCCTAATTCTATTTCATTTCCAATTCTATATTAATCCCATGAACAACATCCCCCGAAACCGACACAACATAGATCCGTAGTTCTTAGAAATAGAATGATTATACTAACTCAATCCAGTTCAACTTTGTTTTATTTGGATCAAACCATAATACGGCCTAACATCAACACACACGTTTCTTAAATTTTTTAATCTAAAAATAGCATAACAACGAGGCGTTGCAAAACAATTTTTTTCTCCCTCAAATAACCTCGGATCACAGAAATTTTTGTTAGACAATTTGGTCAAAGTACCAACACCAAGGCATCTTGAAAGTGAATCGTATTCCATGAATATGATACTAGTGTGATGTTACTTGCTAATATTCAAGAGACAAGAGTGATTAGAATGTTCATAGAATAGAAGGTAATGTATATATGGTTGAATTAGAAGTTTCATTGTTGTTAGACAATTTGGTCAAAGTACCAACAACAATGAAACTTCTAATTCAACCATATATACATTACCTTCTATTCTATGAACATTCTAATCACTCTTGTCTCTTGAATATTAGCAAGTAACTACCATTCACGCTTTAACCAACCAACCATGAACCAACCAAACCCACGATTCTCCCTCTATTTCTATCACAACGCAAATACCTCCAAATCCACAAACTCTCCCGTCCTCAATTGTCCACATCTGTACCATAAAAAGAGCAATCAAAATTTTAAACTAACCTATCAACGAACAAAGCTCAGCAACTTACCACAAAAAACGAAAGTTCAGAAACAAAATTTTTTTTTTTTTTTTACGTGGATTGGGCCCCCGACCCCTCCTGGGCTGGCCCGGTGATGTGATTCTAAAACAATGCGCCGGCCCCATCCGGCCCACCCGCATTAACTAATACCCGCCTTTTTTCCCCCCCATTTCCAATTTTACATCACCTGTCACTCAAAGCGCTGATTTTGTCAATCTTCTTCTTCCTTTTATGCCCATTATCAAAGCATGTTTGATGAAGCCAGTGACAGCAACGAGAAATACCATACGAGAGCTTGCATTCACAGCCACACCAACCACGAGTTGCAGACAGGAAGAAACGATGCAGAAGAACGAGTATCGAACCCGGGTCGTTAAAGCGATTAAACAATCTTAGTACGACATAACCCTTAGTTAGTTAGTTAGTTAGTTAGTTAGTTAGTTAGTGATGCCACATGATTCGAGATTAACAAAAGCTGAAGATTAGGAGAAGAGGCAGCTGGGAGAGAATAAAAGGGTGGGGGAAAAAAAAAGGCTGGACTGGACTGGCTTAAACCACGTAACACAGACAAAAGAAAAGGTACAAAGTACTTGTCCGTTGCAGCCTACGAGTCCATATATACCATTCGATCTCTTTTTTGCAATTTTTGGGGAAGGGAAAGGTCACACCATTCCTTTCACACAATACGTAAATATATGCATACCCAAAAGAAATCTAGAGGTACAAAAGCAGCCAACACTCGAGTCTGCCCCCCTCCTCTCTCTCTTTATAGCACCCACCACTTCTCATTAATGCCCACCTCCCTCTATTTCCTCGATTAGTACGGCATATTTTTTCTCTCATCCCAACTACCTGACAATTTGATTCGAGTTCGGCTCGGCTCGACTTGTTAATAAACGAGTTGAGCTCGAACTAGAGCAAGACTTGTTAACTAAAACTTCGGTTTGTATTTGACTTGAGCTGCAGTCATCAATGAAATCGGTTTAGATATACTGTCGAGTCCTTTCATAGCTAAAAGAAGGAGCTAGCTCACGAGTTGAGTTCCGCAAGCAATCGAGCTTTGCAAGCGGAACAAGACTTATTAGCTCAAGATTAATAGCTCGTTAGCAAAAGAGCCGAGTGTCCAACGAGTTTTCTCTCCCCCCCCCCCCCCGATCGGAACGTCGAACCGCTCTTAAGCGGTTTGAACTGATTTGCAGTCCTGGTGCCAATACGGCCGTACCGCTTGAAAGACGTAACAAAGATCATATTAATACGTTTCGTCATAGTTCTCGTTCCATTTTTGAGTTTTGAGTCGTTGCTCATTATGCTATATTTGTTTCGATTTAGAAGCATATAGCTCGTAGCACGCTATCGTAACACATTATCCTTGTATAAGGGTACCTGATGCAAAATGTTGTCCATCGCCACTTACATGAACACTCACAAAAACTGAATTAGATTGAACCACGATTAACATGGAACGCAAATCAAATCCGAGAAACACACTCCGCGCTAGTCAACCTAACTCCAAACTATACGTATGGTGTAGTGTTAGTATTTACTTATTGCGACTCATAATCTTCACAGTAAGTTGTAACATCTGACTTTTCACTGATACAAAAATCTCTTACGGCGAAGTTATTGGGTGGCTGGCGGGCATGGCGGTGGTGCAATTTGCAGGATGGGACTGAGAGACATAACAAATCTTTTTTTTTTTCTTTTCAAAACAAAAAAGAATATGAATAAAAAAAATATAAAGCGAAAGTCCAGCCTATTTATCCATATCAGAGTGTAGGCAGGCAGGCAGGGTTAGGGAGGAACTTCTCATTGGTCCAGAACCCCTATAAACAGAAAACAAAATCCAACGCTGAAATCCACCTCCTCCAAATTTCAAAATTATTATTATTATTATTATTATTATTATTATTATAAATAAACCCCCCAAATCAACAGTATACAAAATTTCTGGATGGGCAATGAAAAAGGAGGAGCACCACCAGGAATCGCCGCCGGACCACCATCTTAAACTCCAACCCACGGCGGAAGAAGCAGCAGCAATCATCGTCCAAGAAGAAGAAGAAGAAGAGCGCGCCAGATGCGAGTGGGACTTTAACCTCCGCGCCACCGTCTCCTCCTCCTCCACCGTCTCCGACGCCCTCGGCGTCATCGAATGCGACCCCTCCGACCGCCTCCTCGCCACCGGCGGCATCGCCCGCAAGATCCGCCTCTACCCCCTCCACCCACTGCTGCCGCCGATTGACCACTCGGCGCCGCCGCAGCAGCTGGACCACGCGGCGGCGTGCTCCCGCTGCATCTGCACGCCGGCCAAGCTCAGCAGCCTCCGGTGGCGGCCCCACGCCGGCGGCGCGGTGATCGGCTGCGGCGACTACGACGGCGTCGTGACGGAGTACGACCTCGAGCGCGGGATCCCGACCTTCGAGCGCGACGAGCACGGCGGGCGGCGCGTGTGGAGCGTGGACTACTCCACTTCCCATCCAGCCATCGGCGCGTCGGGATCCGACGACGGGACCGCCCAGCTGTGGGACCCGCGGTGCGAGGGCGGGGAGTGTGTGGCTGCGGTGCGGCCCAGCGTTACCGGCTGCGCGGTGTGCTGCGTGGAGTTCGGGAGTGGGGCCGGGTCAGTTCTGGCCGTTGGATGCGCGGACCGGAGGGTGTACGTGTACGACGCACGGATGATGGTCCACCCGGTGCTTATCCTGGAAGGGCACGCCAAAACGGTGACGTATGTGAAATTCCTCGACGAAGCGACGCTCGTGTCGTCGGCTATCGACGGCAGCCTGAAGCTGTGGGATTTGAAGAGATCCCACACGGCGGTGAGGACGTACCGCGGGCATTCCAACAGCAGGAATTTCGTTGGGCTTTCGGTGTGGGCCCGGGGCGGGCTGTTGGGCTGCGGGTCGGAGAACAACCGGGCGTTCGTGTACGACCGGCGGTGGGGCGAACCGATTTGGGTGCATGGGTTCGAGCCGGCGGGGTTTGGGTCTGACCAGCAGCAGCATGGCGGCGGGTTCGTGAGTAGCGTGTGCTGGAAGCGAGGCGTGGAGGATGACGGCGGGGAATGTTGCACGTTTGTCGCCGGCGGGTCGGACGGGTCGCTGCGAGTGTTTGAAGGTACGAAGAAGAAGACGGCGGTCCTGCCGTTACGTACCGGCGGTAGGTACGTTTAGGGAGATATTAAGATAATATATTGAGAGAGATCTATTTTCCCCCCCTCCATTTTTTTTTATTCACATGAAATTGAGGAATCAATTTGGCGATTATTGTTTGACAGTCATGCATGTACTTTACAAATTATTGCGATCAAATGATTAAATAGTAATTTTAAGAGAATATATCTGTTAGCATTTTCATGGGTAATTGTAGTAGTAACCTCCTACTCTTGTTGTATAGAAATATTAGAACAGAGAATCTTGGCAGTTTGGGATGAGGGGAACAAAGAGGCAAATTTGCTAAAAACAATGGCAACGAATAGGTGTGCATTATTATATTAACGATCATGATATTCAACGTTCCTCGAGTTATTGAGATTAACTGGTTCTTAACATGGTATCAGAGCCTTCTATGACCGGGAGGACTTGTTTTTTTTTTGATAACGAGGAACACCCTCCACGGTCACCACATTTTGTGATGCCGTAGTGAGGCTAAACCCCGGGACCTCCGCCGGCGGTCCAGGTGATAGCGGGATGCCTCCGGAAACACCATGGTGGCGGTGAGGATCGAACCTGGGACCTTATGGTCACCAGTCCTCCTCCCTTACCACCAGGCTATATGACCTTTGGCACCGGGAGGACTTGTGTCTGCGCAGTTGGATCAGGGTCGTCTGTGTGTCTGTACTGTGATGATCATATGCGTAAATTATGCAAATGATGAGTTGGGTACCCTCATTAATTTGCCGATTGCCACTTTCCCCTAGCTTTAAAGCGCTCCTGTCTGCTGTCTCCCACCACCTTATCTTTTAATGAACAAATTGCCTGGGGACAGTAGCTAGGCAGCAGCAGTACCCTTTTCCAATGTATTGCAGAGGAGAAGTAGCTAGACCAGAAAACGACGATAGATGGAGCTGGCCTGGCAGTCATTTCTTATTTTCTTCCCCTCCACCCTATCCAAATCTTTATCTGTAAATTCTTATCTAGTTATCTACACATACACATCTCGATTCTTCAACCAGGTTTCATTTTTTTTTTTTATCCAAAACTTATGCCTACTGCATGTAGTTCTATTCCAAGCGGTGTATATTGTTCTAATCTTGATTCTTAGTGTTAACGTGCTTAGAATGTGTGCCGGTGGAGCCAAGAGGAAATGATGAAATGTTTCTTTAAGTAAACGAAAGGGTTAATATATTTGTATGGGATGAATTTTTCATATAATAAACATTCTGATTAATTTTTTTCGATTTATGACATCATGGTCTGAACTATATACATACATCAAAGTAATGATATTTTTCAAATCCGAAAATTGATCGTTACCTTGAACGGTCAGACGTGTTGACTAATGGTCAACGTGCCACGTCGCCACCAAGTCAGCACCTTTCACTTAAAAAAAATATACTTTCCATTCCTATTATTATTATATTTATATTTATCATTTTGAATCCAAAAACAAAATTGAAAAATGAATTTTAGGTCCAAAAATTCATTTTTCAATTTTTTTTGGATTCAAAATGAAAAAAATAAGTAGTAATAGGTGGAAAATATAAAAAGATTTAAGTGAAAGGTGCTGATTTTGGCGGTGACGTGCACATTGACCGTTAGTCCAAGATAACGGTCAATTTTTTGGGTTTGGCCAATTTCATTATTTTGGTGTATAGTTCAGGCCATAATATTACAGATCGAAACAGGTTGTTTATTACGTGAAAAGTTCAGTCCATTACAAAACATTCCAACAAAATTGGGGACATGTTTGATGTGTGATGAGATCATTGTATGTCGTTTGATTGGTTGTCCAAAACATTCCAACGATGTATGATGAGACCACATAGACAAACATGTTATTTTTGGGGGTATGCCTAATGTATGATGAGACCAATGCATCGTTTAAGCAGTTGTCCAAAACATTCCAACGATAAAGCAAGGAACAGTTCTGGTGACCAGGCCGACGGACCAGGACATAACATAGCAACAATGTTGCCAAGTGCCAACAATATAAACAACCTTGGCAGAGACATTTCCATGCGCTATGGACCTGATATATCCTCGTGAATGCAAAGAAGCTGGAGAAGGGGAAACTTGAGGGGCGGAGCTACAGAGTGTAGGGTGGCCCGGCCCATTCAGGATTAGTCTCTGCCCGTAGGACTTTAAGGATATTCAGATAAAATTTGCATAAGTACAACTCGATTGTATATCATGTCATGTAATAGTGATGTAGTCTATTGATAGATAAGCTTGATTTTTATCGAGAAGCACAGATCATTTGGTGATTTTTCTAATTAAAATTCAGATCATTCTCCTTTATAGAAACTATATGATCCATGATTAACAGAGATATGATTGTCAAAGGAATTAAAATGATGAGTTTCTTGTTAATGATTTAGTTATTTATATTAAATGAAAGATAGCTATTTTTTTTTGTTTTAGATGCTATTTTGAACAATTATTTCAAATAACGATGTGTACTTTTAAAATAATTATTTTAGTTTTATTTATATTTAATTATTTTTGGCCCACCCGGTCTCGAATTCCTGGCTCCGCCAGAGAAATTGACCAAATAATTTAGGAAGTATTTGTTGTTGTGCTTACTTTTATTTTTGGAACCTTGTTGTTACTCTAACATAAATGATCATTTCGCCAAAAGAATTGCTCTTGTCCAATTAATATAAAAGGAAAAATATGTGCATCCATTGGTTTAGGTACACATCCAAACTATCGTTTAGTAGAAATCGTGTTTTAATGGGTAAATGCCACATTTGGTCACTGAGATTACTAAATCGTGTCATTTTTAGTCACTAGAAAAAAGTAATGTCAATTCTGGTCACTCGAATTACTGAAACAGGTCACAATTAGTCACTCTCCGTTCGTCTCCGTCCAACTCCGTTAATGGAGTCTGTTATGTGTTGACCTGGCTAACAGGAGTGCCTAATCAGCGCGTCTTGGGGTCAGAAATGATCAAACCCGACCCACCACGTCATACACCCATTAACCCAACCCGACCTAAAACCCATAAGTTAATTTCCAGTTCTCAACAATATCCAATTCCCAGCTCTGTTTACAGATTCGCGAGGAAGGAAAAAGGGGTTCGAGTATGAAAATAGTCCTTAACCCGATCTATTTTGCATTTTTGTTTGATTGAGTGGTTTCGGGTTTGGTTTTGGGTTGGGTGTATGACATGTCGGGTTTAGTGACGTGGCGGGTTGGGTTTGACCATTTGCGGCCCAAAGTGACGCTGTCTAGGCGCTCTAGACGCTGTCATAGAATCACACTTCTTACTTACAAAGTTACAATTATAGTCAAATCTATGCGTAAATCTAAAAAACTTGCATTTTTTCAGCTTCAAACACACCAAAACCTTTCTATCGTAGAATCACGATTTTTACTACATTGAGGTCACTTTCATGCCTATAAAGTAAAAACTGTTTATTCGAAAAAGCTCTCTAGTTCGCACCAGAAAATTGAGAAGCCATAAGAAATCAGTCGGGCCAGGCTTTTGTATAAAAGGGTAGAAGCCATCGTTTTGGGCTCAAGGCCCATAGTAGTAGCGGAATAAATTTTTTTTTTGTTGAGATTGTCCGAGTCAGAGCGGTTTGAACGTGGGCCATTTACATTGTGCATTCACATCCAAACTGGTCTCAGCCGTAGATCCAGCATATTTAACACCCTAATCCCCATCCGACGGCCACCCAGGAGTCATTATTCTACGATTTACTCGAATAATCCCACATTAATTTGCACCAAGCTATTGAGCATTCGTTTTTTTTTTTTTTTGCAAATTACGCCAGTCCCGAAACTGGGGTTGTTGACTGTCTGAGATCACAAGCCGCGAAGTGGCTCGAGCCGAAGCTTCATATTTCCGCTGCCGCGCGAGCTTTCTGGACTGAAGGTGAAGGATCCGTTCCATTCCATTCTACAGAGCGGGAAAGTAAACCCTAATCCTCAGAACTCGGGGAAGAAGAAGATGGTGACCTCTCCGGTGGTGAATACGTACCCTCTGTCGAGCTACACGTTCGGCACCAAAGAGCCCAAGATGGAGAAGGACACCTCCGTCGCCGATCGCCTCGCCCGCATGAAAGTCAAGTGAGCTCCTCCCTCTTTATTTGTTTTTTTCCTTATGTCGCTCTGGGTTTCATTGGATTTTGGTAGCTCGATGTTTTCCTTTACGGGGGCGAACTTGAAAACCCTAGATAAACCTCTCACTTGCATTTGGTTGCCGAGAGATTTTTGGAATTCGTAGGAGGGACAAGAATGTCATGTGATTGAAGCGTAGTGTTGAAAGGATTTTGTGCTGGCCTTAGGATTGGTTCTGGATCTAAGATCTGGGAATTCTAGGGTTTTGGTTTAAGGTTGAAGTTCAAGTTTTCATTAGATTTGCGGGAGAGTAATGTCACGAGGGTTGAAGGCTGTGTCTTTTTCTCGGTGCAATTTCTCTTGGCACTGAAATTTTCGTTTTAGATGAAGGATGTGGGAGAAGGCTTCCAGCTTGGCCTTGTATGGAGGTTGCCAGAGTCTTGTCTTCTCTTGAACTTTTTGTAGAATGTGGTGGAGTTCATTGTTGAATCTTGTTTTTGTTTGTGCGCAGCTATATGAAAGAAGGGATGAGGACAAGCGTGGAAGCTATTCTTCTGGTATTGGCACTTGGCAAAATGCAAAATCTTTGAGACCTTATTGAATGTGGAGCTATTACTTCTTGTAACCAGAGCTAACCTTACTGATTGTGGTCTGTGGAGCTATCACTTCTTGTAACTAGAGTTAACCTTACTGATTGTGGAGCTATCACTTCTTGTAACTGGAGTTAACCTTACTGATTGTGGAGCTATTACTTCTTGTAATTAGAGTATGCCTTTTTGATTGTGGAACTATTTCTTCATGTAATTAGAGTTCACTAAGCTAGTAGCCATAAGAAACCATTAGTTCACTGTTTGTACCTATTTCATCACATTCTTTTGTCTTTCCCTCCTATCCTGTCAAATTTTACTGATGTTAGGTGGTTTCAATGTAAGGCACATGGCGGTCATGAATAAATCTCCAGCTACTGGTAATTGCTATGCTGCATATGCTGATTTTGATGTGCATGATACAGCGGTTTGGAGACAGTGATTTATTTGGTTTTTGCTCTTTCTCCTAGAATGTCAACTTTTATGATGTCTTACCCTTTAGCTCACCAATAATTATTTAATAATCTTAGTTTTGCTTTCCATGTTTGAGTTGAATGGTATTTAGAAGATGTGCATTCCAGACCTTTCTTGACTTCTCATGTTGAAGCCCTTATGTGTCTGGTAAAACAATGTCCAACAATCTTGCAGGTACAGGAACACAATCATCCTCACATACTTCTTCTGCAAATTGGAAACACCTTCTGCAAACTTCCAGGAGGACGTTTGAAGCCAGGGGAAAATGGTATATGTTCTGGTCATTAAATTAGAATGTTCATACGCACATTTGTTATAGACTGTGCTATGCTATGAGAATCGTGCACTTGACTATTTTTGGACTTCTGTAACAGAAATCGAAGGTTTGAAGAGGAAATTGACGAGCAAGCTTGGAGCTAATTCACCTACTCTTGTACCAGATTGGCAGGTACTTTTCCCTGTAAAATTCAAATTCTGATAGCTGCTTGATTGATAGTGATTTTTTGGGAAGAAGGGTTAATAAACTTTAGGTGACAAACAAAGCTATGCATACTGTTTTCTACAACTAAGCATTGAACTCCCAAGGAAGACTAGATAAATGTAACAGAAGAGCAGGATGCAGCTTTTCGCCTATGCTTTCTCTTAGCACTCTTGATTTCCAAAACTAAGCATTGAACTTGCAAGGAAACTAGATAAATGTAATAGAAGAGCAGGACGCAGAATTTCGCCTATGCTTTCTCTTAGCAATCGTGATTTTCTTTTTTCTTTTGATTGCTCATTTCTGCTGGAAACTTGCAGATTGGTGAGTGTGTGGCTATCTGGTGGAGGCCAAACTTTGAAACCATCATGTATCCATACTGCCCCCCTCACATAACAAAGCCCAAGGTTTGTTGACTACTTGTTTGAAGTTTTCATTTCTTTTGTATAACTATCACATGCACTGTACTTATGCATCTCTTTTCATATGGTTGGTATTGCAGGAATGTAAGAAGCTCTTTCTTGTTCACTTGTCTGAAAGAGAGTACTTTGCAGTCCCCAAAAATTTGAAGCTTCTCGCAGTTCCATTGTTCGAACTGTATGACAATGTGCAGGTAATACAATCTTGCCCGTCTCGACAATTGTTTTAGAATGGAAGTCGTAAATAGCATCTCCTTTCCAATAATGCCGTTCTTACATCTTACTTTGGTGGCAGAGATATGGTCCTGTGATATCAACCATCCCTCAACAGCTTTCAAGATTCCAGTTCAACATGATCACCACATGAATTCTGCCTGGCATTTCAAGGATTGCCGTCTTAGCTGCCCGAAGTTGAATGAGTGTTAGGACTTGTTATCGTATATCTGATGAGCCGGCAACTTGACGAATTATGATACTATTTATTGACAAGCTTTAGAAGTTTGGTTGAATGTTGTATACTCTTTTATCTGTTCATGTTGTGTGCTCTTTGTGAATTCATCTATTAGTTCTTTTTAAGTTTCTAGTTATTGATGTATTTGGTTAATTAGTTGTGAACAAGTTTAGTAAGGTATCATTTAAGAGAACTACTTGGTTGTATTGTAGTTCTTAAACTAAACTGCCAATACTGAACTTAGGATCTATGCTGTCTTTGAAGACTGTAAGTTGTTGAACCATCTGTAGCTCGGAAGAGCAAATGACCTGTGAGGCTGTGGCTCGTAGTTGAGACCAATCCCTTATTAGACAGTGCACGTACCTCCCAGATTCCAAGTCGCCTAGCTTAGAACATGCTAGCAGAGCAGAGACAATAGTGTAGCCATCGGGCACCAACCCTTCTGATTGCATTTGAGGAAAGAGAGATAATGCTTCTTCGAATTCGTCGTGGTGGATGTAACATGAGATCATCGAATTCCATGACACCGCGTTCCTCTGAGGCATTTCGTCGAACACTTTGCCTTGCTGTTTCTAGATCACCCGCGTCAGCATACACTCCGATCATGGTAGTCCACGAGATGACATTCCTTTCGGGCATGCCGTCAAATAATTCCCTTGCGGTTGCCAATTCTCCAGCTTTAGCGTAGCCCGATATCATGGAATTCCAGGAGACAACGTCTCTTTCTTTCATGTTCTCAAACACTCGTCTTGCTGACCTGATGTCCCCCCGAGTTTCCGTACTCGGCTACCAGCCGGTTTCAGGCTTCTACAGGTCTCACAAGCATATGATCAAACACCTTGCGGGCATTAGTTAATTTTGAACCAATGTCGAAGTCGGCGCTTTCAAGTACATATTAAAGAGGGAATTGGCAACGGAAGGGTTGGAGGTACAAACGGAATCAATCGGCTGGTCAACGGAACCAAAACAAATGGCGCCAAGAAGGGGAAGGAGAATGTCAAACTCGCGCGAACAGCATGCGTGCTCCGTGTGATGCGATACTAACGCAAAGAAAACTCGCCAACTTGGTCGGCGTTTCCTGCTCAAAAAGGAACTATTGGCCTAATCAGAATTTCTCTCCGGGTCATTAACAATAAGCATTTTTGTAAATTAAAAAGCAAGAAACAAATAGTTATTGGAAATTTTTGTAATGGAGTATGACCTATCTATAAATTTAAACACAATGATATAGTTGTCCAACTCGGTTATTATGATGATGTGAGAATGGTTAGCTTGTTTTAACATTTTTTTTTTTAATTCATCTCTCACATGTTATTTTCCAGTTATTGAATCTATTACGGTAACATTTTTTGTTGTTGCAAATCACGCTTCATCGCTCATTTTTAACCGTTGTGAATGTACATGAAAGGTGACCAAAACACAAGAAAAAAAATATTGTTTGTCCCTACATCGACATGCAAAATCAATTTAATCGTCATTGTCGCGTTTTTCAGGACAACTTATTGTAATTTTGTTTAGGAGAAGGGGAGGTCAGGAAGCGACACACATGATGGCCAAAATGAATTGCAGTTGGGAGGAGCCAGAAGTGTGGATGATTAGGCCATAGATTTTCTTATTCTCCATAGCTCTATATGCTGATTGTAAGACATTATATTTGGTTAATTGAACATTCAACATTTCTCATAAAAAAAATCTGGATGGTGGATGATGAAATGGAATAAAAAAAATCCAACACTGATTCTGCAACAATTGCCTAAATTACAAGATTCAAACAACATATTTTCTCTACAATACGAGAATCCAGTCGCGATACTTGTATTGGCAATTTGGATTGGTCCGAATTACCATTCCTGAGCGCGATCAATGCGAGTGGCTCTCCTCTCTGAAAACAAAGTAAAATTCTAGTGAAAACATGACATAATCAAGATGGCATACTCCTTCACTGATCATGCGCATAGTAATGAGGAAGGTTGTTAATTTGCAGAATCTCAGACGTCATTTCATCAATTATTTTTGGGGTTTTATTTTGCTTGACCAAATACACTAATACAGCCATTGATCATTTATGTCCACCAAAAAAGAGACCACAAGGAATTAACAAGCAGTGGACTTTCATCTGGCCTGCATCATCCTCATCTCCATCCTCCATCACACATCAACCATCTCACGAACAAAATTTCGGTCTAGTGACAATAGTACTAACTTTAAATTTAAAGATCTCAGGTTTAATTTGGACGTAAACCACAAAAAGTAAAATAGTATCGCCCTTATAAGAATTGATATGAGTTAATTCATATTATGAAACTCCAAAATAAGAAATCACGGTATAAAAGAAGTCAGAAATGAATATAACATGCATAACGAAAATTTGAATCCAACTCATCATAAAATACACCCGGGTGTTGCTTCGAGCACGATCAAGTACATAAACTTCTATAACATTTTAGTCGAGCACTAATAGAATTTTTGTTTACTTTTTTTCCATTTGCTAAGAGAGAGACTAGTGAGGTAGATTGAAGTGTACTATATATTCTAACAAATTTTTAGATAAACAACAAATTGGGCGGCTATAGCTTTGAGTATCTCTCTCTAGGGGTGGGCATTGGGTGGGTCGGGTGGATTTTGACCATAAAATGCACCCATCCGCGTTTAAACGGATTGATAATTTTTAACCCACCACCCACCCACATTTAGTCTCGGGTTGGGTCGGGCGGATGGTGGATGATGCGGGTGGGTTTGTGGGTTCACCCACATCGCAATGTATATAATATAAAGGAGACAACTTGACATGATAATAGGTGAAGATAATCATCGAGGGAAACAAGTAGTTGAAATAGGGCGAAAAATGCCGAATTAGTTTTTAAATTGGATAGAAATTCTATTATGAAACAGTTTTCTACAGATTGAGACGATTATTAGGTGCAAAGAACTAAGGAAAATAATTCCACAAAGGAAAGAGCGGTGATCTAGGCACAAGAATTAAAGGAAAAAGTAAAGGGAAGAAGAGGGGATCTCTATTTGGAAGGTTGACTTTGAGGTTCAAACTTCAGGAGCAGTCCGAGTTTATATCTAACGTCTCCACTCTCCTCTCTCTAGCGCCAACGACTTTGATCTTTTTGCTGTTGGGTTGAGTGGGTCACCCGCACACTCACCCACAACCCACCCACCACCCGGCGGATGGCTCCCAGCGCAACCCGTCACCCACCCACAAACCCACCCACTTAACGAAATTCGGGTCAAATGCGGGTGGGTCGGCCCAAACCCGCGGATGATCCGCCCGCATGCCCAGCCCTATCTCTCTCAAAACAATGTAAGGGCGGCTTGGTATCGCTGACAATTACATGTAACAAATTTTTAAGAAAGTCATTATTCAAAAACACTTATATGTTTATACAATTTAACTCTTTCAAATAATCACAAACCATTGGGTTCTTAAGGTACCTTGGATGCTAGCAGATTATATTTGTGCGTTGAATATTGATATCTCTTATAACATACATGAATTTTATTAACGAGTTGGCTTTCGTTTGATGGAACGTGTAAAAGAAAATGGTTAAGTACTATACATAGATATCTTACAACGTAACTCGAGTTATTGTAACCAGTTGGTTTGTCACATTGTATCAGAGCTGCTTTGTCCGGGAGATCACATATTCAAGTCCTCATGACCCCTGATATTAATCGTTGTCTTTAAAACACATAGTATGGCAAGCGCGTGAAAACTTCTGAGTCTATGACTGGTCTTTCATTTGAGGGCACGTGTAAGGATGTGGTTAAGTACCATACATGGACCTCGATCTCCCGACAGCTCGAGTCATTAGGATCAGTTGATTTATAACATGGTATCATAGCATATTTATCTTTGAGGTCACGTGTCCAAGTCCTCACGACCCTCAATATTAACTTATGAGTTGACTTTCGTTTGAGAAAGCGTTTAGCCATCTGCTAATTTATCCCAGTACATTAAACGAAATCCAGTTCAACATGATCTAGTCTCGAAACAAATTCTTAAAGGCAAACCCAATTACCTACTCGTCACTATAGATGAGCTCGCTGGTCGTCTTATATATATTCACCACCATTATATTGCAAGTCAATAGTTCTTTACAATTCAATATTCCAGCCGTTTGGGCTTGTACAATTTGTTAATATCTATGTGCATAGTTTCATTTAAAAAGTAATAATAACTAAAGTTTCATCTTAAATTATTGTTGGAATTTGGTGAAGGAAAGCTCAAAGCTAATTTAGTTTGTACAATATTAGTGAAATGAGAAATGAAAATGGTTGTGTAAGTGATTATGTGAGATAAACTTCTATGGCTAGTAATAGTAGAATGAAAAGAGGTTGATGATCTAGATGTGCACTCAGAGATCTGACAATTTTCAATCCAATCCATCAATTCAATACATTTGATCCAATCCAATTGGTTGGTAGAGTTAGATTTGGTACCTAAAATTTATTTATTACGAAAAAATATCAATGGATAATTATGTTTTGGTGCCTAAGATTTTTTATAAGACATTTTAGTACCTAGAATTTTCCAAAATTTACATATTGGCCCAAGACTTGGATGTCATTTGGATTTATGCATTAATTCACCAATCCATATGATCCAATTCATGAATCCACCAATCCATTTGATCCATACCATATGATCTATGGATTCCCCAATCCAATCCATCAATTTATGGATCTAATCCATTTGCCACTCCTAACTGCACTTGTTTGAATTCAGTATCGGACAAATCACACTATTCAATGGTTCAGTCGGTCCAAGATGAAGCCAAATCAAACCAGTGTAAGTCTTCAGCTAATTTGAACCTGTTCGGTTGGGCCAACCATAACCAAAGCAACTTATCAGATTACGCCACAGTTTTCGTTACTTAGCTGTTTTATTTTATGCATCGAAAATTCTCTGCAATCTTCCTGCACTCGCATCTATCTTTTAGCATACAAAAATATGAGTCTTGTGATTCATTATGTTCGTTAAAAATTCAATATTTTTCGTTTGCAGTACCACTAAATTAAATGAGAGCTAATCGCAATTTTATCTTTAGAGAAATCATTTATTAACATTGAGTAACAAGAGAGGAATATTGAGGAACAATAGTGAATTCTGTTGGGACGATCCTAGTTTGTTCTTCTTTAATTTATATGTTCATGCTATATATTCTATAAGTACCAAGTAAATGTCTAGATTACTACATGCATAAATAATAATTACGAGCCGATCATAATTAAGGAGGATATTCTTCTTGATTATAGACAGTTAGACACTCATTTGTATTAATTTCACTGACTGGTTGGAAGAATGTGGTGATTAGTCCTAGTAATTAAGAGCCCCGGCCATAGGCTGCATAATTTCAAACCCTTCTGGAAAAAAAATTCTTCACTAAACCCTCAGAGTTAGTACTGCGGGGTTGTTGATCACCGTTTACTAATACTAATCAAGTCATATTTTATTCATAAACCATCAATGTGTCACTTAATCTATTTGATTTAATTAGATCAAACAATTGTAATTAATTAAACCTAAACACATACATAATTGAGTAGGTTAACAAAACATTTGATAAAGTCCCACTGTGCTATTGGTTCTTGCTTCAATTTCAAGAAATGTTTACAGGTCTTAATTATGTATTTTACTTCGGTTAAGGTTTTTCGTCAAGGCGGGGAATATGATATATATTATATAGAAAAGAAACAGGAAGTTTTAGGTGGCCCAAAACGACAGGGTTTAACAGTTGTTCTTCGAACCACCTAATTAGGCACGTGTATTTGGGATTTTGCATTTTTAATTTGGTATCATTGACAACTGGGATTTATCACTCTCTGATTACGTGTTCTATAAACAAATGATATGGTTAGGAGAGATCTCTTGTCGAATTTTTTAACTAAAATCTCTCCGACCACCAATGATAATATGAGATATCATCGTTGAGTTGACAACTTGACATGCATTAATAATCCCTTACTCCATTGTTGTGAATTGTGATGCCTCCACGGTTTTATAATTTCGAATAAGATGGATCATTTTGTCTATTACTGTAGCATCTATTGTCAGTAAATTTTATTTCCTAGTAATAATTATGGACCACATATTGTATAAATCTAAATGTGTAGAAATTCAACAATTTTATGAGAGTCACCGGTCAACTAGTATATACGAAATTCTAGATGTTGTGGTCCATAATATATCAAGACCATCAATCTCTTATTATCCCCATTAGGAAGATCAAGAGGTCTCACGTATACGAACTAAGAAGGCTTAGTCGAGAAAGGTCGCAATACCTCCTGGATCGTGCTTTAGATGTATCGTTCAGTTACAGATCTTGTCTATCGGATCCCGCATCAAGTTTGAGGATTAGTCACCATAAATTAAGGTATTCCTACAAACTTTTCGATAATCTGACAAGATCGATTTTCCAGAAATTACTTTGGTTAAGTTTATTTTCAACTTAAAAGACTAGAATTACCTAGGATCAAATGATATGAATAGCCATCAGTACGTCTCTAATAGATATCCCCATACTCCTCCCATTTTATGTTTAACTATTCATCTCTCTACTCCCTTTCACAAAGTAATTCCAACGTATGACTAGATCGTCACTCGTCAGTTTCTTTCTGAAATACAAATTAAAAGATATATATTACAGCTTGCCCATTTGGTAGGAAACCTATCTAGCCCTAGGTGCAAATTTGAGTTATACGCAGAGTGGCCTCTCTTCGTACACATTCATTCATTTTCTATAAATAGCATCTATTCCTTTTGGTTTTTACATTTTTTTTTTCTCATATCAAAATTCTGCCAAAACCCAAACTGATTTTCTGCAATCTTTCTAAAAGAGAAAAATCGAGTCAATTATGGTTCTCGCCGTTTCGCTGCGTTTGATGGTTTTTGGGTTTGAGGTACCGCTACGCTGGAAAGGTACGTCCTTTCTATCCTGAGAGTAATCATTTTGTAACGTTGGGTACTAGAGGGAAATAAGATTCTCAAAGGAGATACATTGTATTATGCCGGCTAGGATATTGCATATGTGTTTGCATGATTCCATGACCATATACATGCCTCGTGTTGATTTCATGATATTGTTTGTTACTTGGGTTGCAAGAATTTGTATACGTGAGTACGGTACTAGGAGAAACACAAAATTAATATATGGGTAAGTCCGGTAATACTTTATGGATTTTGACGGGTCTAAACTTTATAGACATGAACACAAGCATGACATGATATACAAATGGGATGTGTCGACCTAATGTTTTTAGGACCCTATTGAGTATAAACACAATAAGCCACAAAAAAATACCTTCCATAGAAAATAAATATAAATACAATTATAAGTTCAAAGGTTACAAATATAACTACGCAAATAATGAATTAATGTTGGTTGGACAATTCAAAAACACTTGAAGGTTAAATCACTCATGGTACACTTTCAATTTTTTCTCCCCTAATTATTTTTCCCCAAACATTCTCACTTAATACCTTCATTCTCGTTCAATATTCTAATTCTTTTCATTATCACTTTTATTTCTTACTTTTCATTAAACATAAATATGAGCGCAACACGAACATAAGTATGCATGACAAGATTCAAATCATGTCAGGATCCAAACCGGACCAAACAAATTTAATAAATGAGCTAACACAGCACGACACAAAAATTAACGAATCGTAGAAAGCACGACACAAGTTAGACAAGTCTGAGACTCCAAACACGATCCAACTACAGGTTGTGCAGTTCAACGTTCCTAACACTGCATCTGTTGGAAATGAATAGCTTTGAAAGCTATAGAGTCTCAAGGAGAAAAAACTACCACATTGGTAGTTTTACTTTGGTGAAATGTGTATAAAGATAAGAGCCTCTCTTCTAAGAGCATGCCCCTTGGGATGACCCACTTTTGTGGGAGAGGGAGGACCTAACGGACCACCACACACACATGCACGATATTCGAAGGATAATCCAATATGATTTATCTTAACCGACTCGATTTCAATTAAAGAGTGATTATCTCCTTAATTACAGTGACTTATTCCCCATGGAAGAGAAATATTCTGGGGGGACTCGGCTCCTATAAATAGCCGACCCCTCAGACTAGGGATGGCAATGCGTCGGGTCGGGGACGGATAGTGCATATCCGTTACCCTACCCAAAGTAGTTCGGGTTTTACCCATATCTATACCCACATATGAAATGGGTAGAAAATTAAAACCATGCCCATACCCGTTCGGGTTTCGGGTATCCACGGTTATCCATGGGTAATGATTTCTCTTCATAACTCCAACTAATATGTTAACATTCACACGTATTCTCACATTACGCAAGAGGAAAAGTATGACAATAATTCACTAGAATGAAGAAAATTAATTAAAACAACACAATTTCAAGAAAATATTATATTTATATGCTAAATATAAAATATGTTAGAGAAAAACAATGACTATTTCTAGACAAAATACATATGTATGTGTATAATCGGGCGGGTTCGGGTTGGATATTGAGAAACCCATGCCCACCCATTACCCGCAATATTCGGGTTTGGGTTTTACCCGTACCCACTAAATGTCCTTCGGGTTCGGGTTTTACCCTAGCCGATTAGGCCGGGTTCGGACGGATATCCACGGTTACGGATATTTTTGCCATCCCTACCTCAGACCCTCTAAAGTCTAAACTCACCACAACAAGCAAAAAATACAAATAGAGAGAGTGTTCATAGAGCTCCGGTTTTCGCACAAAACCGTCGGCATACGAGAGAAGCTGTTTTATCCTAGAGACAACCGGTTGATAGTCTGTCGTGCGCATCAAGGACAATGCCGCGAATGTTTTAAAGAGAGCGAACTAGTCCGCGACTCAACTCCAGATTGGATAACCTCATTCTTGATTATTATTCCGTTCTTAACAGTATCTACTTCAAAAAACCACTGATCTAAGTTCATTCAAGTAGACCAGGCCTATGTTTTACCATCTAATCTCATTGACAAGCGGTAACAATTTCCAACTATAGAACTCATTAACGCGTTTTATTGGTTTCCTAAGTTTTAATATTCTTTAATAGTTGACCAATGATAAGCTAGGAAGCATTAGCAGGCCAATTATTGACAAATGATTCCCAATCAAAATTATTCATGATTCTCGAATGCTTCATATACCCAGCAACTATTTGAATAATGTGTATATTTGTCTCAAAATATTCCGATATTAGGGTTTATTTTATTTTGTATTAAAAAATACTCATTTTATATTAGGATTCATGGGATGTCCTTTCTACACGTCAAACCTCCAATTATTTGTATGTTTAGCAGGAAAACAATTAGTTAGAGAGGGTTATGCAATAATAATATTACTGTTATTAATATGAAAAATAAATAATAAACCAAGAAAAACCAATTATACTAAAGCTTTGTCTTCAAGTTTTGCATGTTTAAAATTTTGGTTTCAATGAATCTATCTAATCATGCAGATCATATATTAGGTGAGGTCCTAACAATTTCCAATATTCATTTATATACATTAAAAAAATGCGAAAATATTTTGAATGGGTTCCAGAAAAGGATACTATAGACTTATTTTTTCCAATTTATTTTTCTATAAATCTTTTTTTCATTCCTTTGGTATTCTAGCTTCTCTTTTTTTAGGAAGCTCTAAATAGCTAGGGATGTATAATGTACCAAGACTTTCCCTATGTTTGGCCCGGCTTTTGAAAGTGCTTTTCAGCTTTTGAGGAAGAGACTGAAGATGTGAAGTATAGTTATGTTCTCCGTTGTCTTTATGGAGTTATATTCTTCATGTTTGACCTTTTTATCATCCGTAGAAAGTATGAAGAGTAGTTTGGTTAATCCAAACTTGTAGAAAATAGTTTAAACTTCATATCGGTTGTATTTGTCTTAAGTCTTAACTCAGGTTAATCATTTGGGACTGATAAACTAGTTTTTTCACTCGGAAAGAACTGAAGTTTAATCACGATAGTTTTCCCTCTAACAAAACGTATGATCTAGTCTTGAATGGTTCGAAAGATGTGTGATGAAATCATAACTATTTTTTTTTTTGACGGAAACCTGCTAATCTTATTAACCAGAAGAAATCGTTACATTGTCCAAAATCAACTGATTAACAAGGAAATTTGGAGGACTATCAATCCACACTACTGGGGAATCCCAGCTCATCTCACAATGCGCCATAACGTGAGCCGCCCTGTTCCCTTGGCGTTTAACATGCCGCCAGCTACCCCCTCCCAATTCCATAAGCAGCCCCCTAACACTCCGACAAATTGTACCAATCTCCGTTTGGATCGAGTCCGCCACTTGTAACTTTTGGATGAAAGGCAAGCAGTCAGCTTCCAGCTCCACCTTCCGTACCGACAATTGCCGTGCCATGCGCAGCCCAAACTCAGCCGCTAACGCCTCAGCCATCTCCGGTTCCCAGCTTCCTCTTATTCTTGTGGCCGCTGCAAATAAGAGCTTCCCCTCATCATTCCGACCAACCACCCCCAATCCTGCCCCCTCATTCAAAATGATTCCAGCATCTGTATTAATCTTTATTGTTCCCGCCCGTGGCTTCTCCCATCGCTGCACTCCCCCCCCACTGCCCGTCTCCTCTCCTTTGCCCTGCTGCTGTTGGTAATTTTGTAGGAAGAGTGTAGCTCGTGAGACAATTTCCATTTCTTCCAACTTAGACCCATTAAACACGTGAGCATTGCGCTCCTTCCACAAATACCACAACAGAGCACACCATTCCTCCACAACAGCTTCCTCAAAATCTTCAAACACCTGCTTCACCCACTCCATACACGATCTGCCCTGATGCCTCTCAAAGCAACCGACCAGTTGGCTCTGAAGTTTAATCACGATAGTTTTCCCTCTAACAAAACGTATGATCTAGTCTTGAATGGTTCGAAAGATGTGTGATGAAATCATAACTATAGATGTTAACAAATTGGGCATGTGTTTAAACTCAGTACTCACTTTCAACAGGTAGAATTATGGTAATAAACCCATAATTTCATGGAACTATGATAGCTCATATAAGTAAAGAACTGAAGTTTACTCGTGGATTTTTTTTTTTATATATAACAAAACGTAAGACCTAATTAGATGTTTGCTGAAATGGACATGAAAGCCTCCTCATCTAATTAATATATAAACCTTGAAGTCATTCTCCTATTGTGCTTATAAAGTATAAGTCCACTTTCACATTTCTAGAAAGATGAACTAAACATAATAAGCTCAAAATAAAAACAAACTCATCATGTACAATAAATACAATAGCTACCCTAACCTTATTTTATATTAACCAACTTTCCAAGACAGCAGTTTTAGTATTTATATCTTTTTTTGGGGGCAAGTCCAAATTAAATATGACCAAAATTATAATTGTGATTGTTGTTTTAATTATAATATATAGGGATTACACACTAGTAGACTCTTTATATATATATGGTCGGTCTCTCATCATTGAATTATGCCAACACATTAGAGGTATTGAATTGAACTACTAAACCCTTGATTCTCTCTCTCTCTCTCTCTCTAGAATTCCATTTTCTTGGTGAGGTTCAATGAAAATGGGAAGCAAATCACAAGACCAGAAGCTGAAGCTGAAGCACAAGAAGGGGTTATGGTCGCCGGAGGAAGACCACCGCCTCCGCATCTACATCGTCAAGCACGGCCACGGCTGCTGGAGCGCCGTCCCGGTCAACGCCGGTCAGTCACTTCATCCATTTTGCTCCCTCTAAAACCCTAACATAAGAAAGAAACCCTGACTTCTTGCGAAAACCTCACGTTAATTACATTATATTATGATAAGACAACGTGGATTAATTACCTTCTTTTCTTGAGTAAAGATCACAACGTTTTACGTATATCCTTATCAATTATGATTGAATTTTTTCGATATAACCTCTGGTGTCCTTCCGTTAATATTAATTAACCCGCGCATGCATTTTCTTTTCTATGATGTAACTAATAGCATTCAAATGAAATGGGGGAATTTCTTTATTTTTCAAGTGGCTTGTGGAGTAAGTAATCATGATGGATGGAGATGTCTAACGGAGGAGGGACAGAGATAACGACTTATTGCAATTGCATCATAGAATTATATATAATTTATTTGGGTAAATAACACATTTGGTCACTGAGATTACTAAATCGTGTCATATTTGGTCACTAGAAAAATTTAATATCAATTTTGGTCACTCGAATTACTGACAAAGGTCACATTTGGTCACTCTTCTGTAGCCTCTGTCCAACTCCGGTCACTTGAATTATTGAAAAATGTCACATTTAGTCACTCGGATTACTGAAACTGACGGGAGAGTGACTAAATTTGACCAGTTTCGGTAATTCGAGTGACCAAAATTGATATTAATTTTTTCTAGTGACTATACATGACACACTTTAGTAATCTCAGTGACCAAATGTGTCATTTACCCTAATTTATTTATTAACAATGAACTGAAAAAGTCCCGGTTTAAGTTGACTTTCGATTAAAAGAAAATCATCGTAAAACCCTAAACAAGTTTAATAATTATGTGTTTGGTAATTGATTAATTCATGCAGGGCTTCAGAGGAACGGGAAGAGTTGCAGGCTGAGATGGATTAATTACCTGAGGCCAGGGCTCAAACGTGGCTTGTTTTCCTCCCACGAGGAGGATACAATCCTCGCCCTTCATCGCCACCTCGGCAACAAGTAAGTTCGGAAATTCGAACCAATCTCGAAGTCAATTTCACGGCAATTGCATAACAATTACGTACATGAAAATATATCGATCAATGACGAAAGTTACAAAAAACAAAAAACAAAACTCAACCACTTATACATAATAATTGTATGTTAATTAGTGTTGTTGAATTTGTTCTAGATGGTCACAAATCTCGCAATATTTACCCGGTAGAACGGACAACGAGATTAAAAATCACTGGCACTCTTACCTCAAGAAAAAGGTCTTCAAAGAACAAGTACCACCACCAACTTCTCTCGAAACGACGCCGCATGTCAAGATCCAGCAATGTTCCAGCTCGTCAATCACCGACCAATATTCTTCCCCGTCTCCGACCAAGTACTCACCGCCGCCGTCGACCTCCGACCAGTGGGACCCGCATAGTTATGACAACGTTCATCATCAAGAAAATGGCCCACGGCCCACTTTGCCGAAGCCCATGTTCACGGAGTGGCTATCGCTAGACGGCTTCGCCGCCACGTCAGCAGCAGGCCATCAGCCGTTTGTGGGTTGCAATAATAATAATAATAAGGGTTTCGCCGGCGGGAGCGCCGATTTCGGACTCGACGTCCCCAGCAGCGGGTTGTTTGATGGGTACCCTTTGTTCGAAGGTCATCAGGTTACAAGCGGACAGAGCTCGATGACTACGACAACGACGACGAGCGATGGATCGGCCGGCGGCGACGTTTTCTCGTCGCGGTTCAGCTTCGACGATCAGAGCTCGGCCGACGTTAATAATCAGTTCGTTGATTTTTGTAGCGAGTTCCAGCTCAGCGGGAATAATGTCATGTACATGTGAAAAAAAAGGGAGCACGTACGTACGGCAGGGTTTTTTTAGACGTAGTCTGGTTTTTTTTTTTTCTCTTTCTTTCTTCATTTTCCATTTTGTCTGTTTTTTGCACTATTGCAGTTAATTTGGGAAAGGGTGTAGAATCTCTAATTACCACTTTGGAAAGTTTGGATTAATAATCAAACCTATGTTTCACTCGAGTTCATCAACTATTCACACAGATTAGGTTGTATTCACGCGCACATCGGCGCGCATGATCTGTTTTCCACGGAATCTCATTAACTGATCAACCTTATATCTCATACAATCTTATCAATCAATTAAGAATTCCCACCATACGTTCTTTATTACTTGGTTGTAGGTAATTAATCAATATGTTGCAAATTGAGCCAAGAACTTCATCTTAATTAGTAGGTCGGAAGCTTCTACCGTTGGATTCTATATGTCGTTAGGTCACAGGCTTTCCTCAACCTTATTTTTGCTTCGAATTCAGGGATTCAAAATACTTCTTTTAAGAAATAGGGCAAAATGTTTATCTTCTAATTGAATGAAATATACAAGAACGTCTAACAGGTCAAATAAGCTCCAGAATCCTCTATAATATATAACAATAAAAAATTACTACAAATGTGAGATGAGATGAAAATTGCAGGCTGTGTATGAAGATTGAAGAGCAACGCTGGCTCCCTAATGATGTCTACAGTTTGCTTTATAATTTTTTTTCTTCCAAGTTTCGAGACAACTCATCACACAAGAAGAAAATTCCATCTCGAAGTAGCTAGTAGTAGTTTAATAAAATTGCATATATTATACTTGGAATTGACCCTTTCATTTTCCTTCTGTCATTGGTGTATATATATACCAATTAAGTAGAGGGGCAGGAACTCGAGAGTTAGGTGATGGATTTCCACCAGATAAATAAACCACCAATGTTTCACTATGAGATCACTCTTTACACTTCATCATCTAATAATTTGTCACGCTCGTCTCTATCTAAATTATATATAAACAAACCCCAAATAAAAACAATATCATAATGAATTCATCGTGTTTAGAACCACGCGGTAGTGTGTGTCAGGAGTTGAAATTAAGTGTGTTATTTTCCGGGATGTAAATCTGTAAATAAATATCTAGTACATACAATGAAAAATAACAAATCATCCATAAATAAAGAAAAAACTTACTAATAAAAATTATCATTTTCGTAAACAACCACGACGTGTCATTATATATGAAAAATCTTGGGATTATTATGCTAGTAGATTAACAAATAATCTATACTACATTAATGTTAGTTCATCTGATCCATCATATTCTTATATATTCATATTAGCTCCTCTAGAAGCATGGTTAGTTGATAAATAGACCACTTTATTAACCAAACATCTGATGACTGAATATATGAAAAGTGAATGTTATTATTCCACTTAATTTATACCCCAAACTTTGAAAAATAACACATGGTCTTACGTTTGATTTTTTTGTCGACTTTTTGTGAATTATAGTTTTTATACTCTTTTTAAAATATTTTCTCTTACTATAGTATTAATTTCTGAGGGGTTTTTTTTGCACATATTTAACCTTTTCCATGGACTTCCTATTCTATAAAGTAAAAGGAAGTAGAAGACGACTTTCCATAAATTGTTTCATTTTTTATAAAAACACAACTTTGCAGACTTAATCAAGACAGTTATGGATTGCTTATAAATTCGAGTAAGGAAGCGATTTGGTAAAGAACAAAATATCTAAAAGTAAAACGCAAATAATTTTGTGTCTTCAAAACTAGGAGTTTCATTAAGTATTGGTGTTCTTGTTAAATGAAATGTTATAGTATAAACTAATTTGTATATTTAACATTATTGTACAATTCAGTTTGTACCAATATTTATTTAACATATTTTTATGGCACAAAATGAACATGTATCTTAACATTATAAAACATTTTCAATTTGTCTTTATAACTTTTTATACTATGATACAAAACTTGAATCGAAAAACAATTGCTTATAAGCATGGTAAAATTCCACTCAAAATATAGATCGACAAAACTGGGTAATGACTAATGACCACTAACAGGCCCGGCCCGGCCCATACACTAGGCAAATAACTGAAACCCAAGACTCAAATATATATAAGGGAAACCGAGTGATTGAAGTAGCTACATGTTCTCGAGACTCCTACCATTCCAAGCCCAGTTCAGATCGATTCATCTCTTGTGGCCTGTGGGGCAGCGAATGAGCCAAACTGCTCACAAGCGGTTCGACGCTCGATTCAGGAGGAAAAAAAGCGTTCGTAATTCAGTTTATTAGTACACGTTTAACGAGCTGAGGTTGAGTTCATTTTTATTCGGCTCATGAGGCTTGCGAGCTAGTTCGACTAAGTGGTTCATTGAATTCAACTAGTGAGTTAGCGTAACAGTGTAATTAGCTAGCCAGTTCGACTAGCGAATTATGATGTGGCCTCTTAATATTAATATGTTTTTTAGATTATATATCTCATAATATATAATATTTAAGACTTTGAGTATATGACCATATACATCACACTATAATTTGAAAGTGAAATTATATATTATAGAATGCTTAGTTACTAATTATTATAAACAAAATTATAAAACATTATGAATTAGTTAAAAATTATGAACTAAATTACACCAACTTTTATAAACACGAGATGAATTAGTGATGAAAATAATCACATGTATCATATAGGACAAACAAATATTATGGTATTCAAATTATTTTAGAGTTTAATTTAAAGGTTCAACCATTTAGACTTATAAATGATCTGGGCTCGTGAACTGATTGATGAGCCGAGGTCGAGCAGATCTCATGAGCTCATGAATTAGCCAAGCTCAAGCTCAACTCGTTCCTTAACGAGCCAAGTCAATCTTCGACAAAACTCGGTCCACATCGACTCATTAAGAAATAAGTCGACTTCAAACTAAGTAAAACTCGACTAGACAATCCCAATAATCTCAGCTAAATACTAAAAGTTTCATGAGTACCAAAAAAACAGGGCAATGTCTATTTTTTACCCAAACCTTTTTCAGATTCTTTTATTTTAACCAAACCTATTGAATTCCTAAAAATTATCCAAACGTTAACTCTCCGTCAATTTTTCTGTTAGTAATGTTGACTAAGTATGACCATAATGAGTTGACTTCCTACGTGGGGGTCAGAATACCATCATTTACTATTTTTAATAAAAAGATTATAAAAAAAAACATAATCCCACTCCTCACGTGGATGAAATAAGTAACGGTAACAGAATGAATGCCCAGACTTTGATAAATTATAATACGTTTGGATAATAAATAGAATTTCTATAGGTTTGGTTAAAATAAAAGAATCTGAAAAAGGTTTGGGTAAAAAATAGACATTGCCCAAAAAACAGTTACATCAAGCAAACAATACATGTAATGTTTGTACATACAAACTAAAAAAACATGAATTATAAACAATAAAAATGTATTGTAACAACTAACAACCTAAATCAAACAATCACATAAAAACTAGATAACCTCCAAGTTTCATGAGTACTTTTTACACTATGTTTCCGAAGGAAGGGAGGAAAAGGGGGGGAGGTGAAGGAAAATTAGGAGGGGAGGGGAGATTTGGAGGTGAAGGAAATTGGGAGGAAAATGTTGTTTTATGGAGGAAAGTGGGAAGGAAAGTGTATATTGGGAATTGTGATAAATATGTTATTTTATTGGTTATGTAATAGTAAAATAATTTGATTGTATGTTAATATTCTATTAACTTATGAATTGTGAATTAAATTTGCACTTTCTTTCTAAATCGCACCATAGATTGTATCGGAAAAAAATTAGTGGTTGGATATTTTATTCTAAAACCGTGATTTAACCACATAAATTATTTAAAAATAGAGACTTTATAATAATTGATCAAACATTCTAAATTTATTAAATTTATTCAACTATTATAATACGACTTTCACTAATGGTCTACTATTCTCATGAGTTTGGTGTAGTCCATATCGAACCGTTACATGGTTTTCCTAATTAAAGAAAGAAAAAGTAGCTAGAAAAAAAAAAACATAGGAAACCCTGGGACGCAGATAATGGATTGGAGAGCCCTTCCTCCTTTTCTCTCCAAATTGGAGGGTGGGATTGAACAGTAATTCTTCTTTCCACATTTTCTCTCCTGACAACTTTCCTTCCTTCCCAAACGGAGGAAAGTTTCTTGGTTCTCTCATTCTCCACCCAAACTTTTCCTTTCCTCCCTTTTCCCTCCTTCTAGAACAGAGGGTACAAGTCGCCGACAAATTTGGGTGGCAGCCTGGCAGGACAGCACTACATTTACAAGGCTTGACCAGTTGAGTCATAAGCAAGGTTGTCAACCCAATTTGACCCTGACCCGGTGAGAAAAACGGGCCCCACGCACCCGCCGGGCCGACCGCTATAAGGTACCGGGTTGGAGGTCAAATTGTGTCATTTTTTTCTTTAGTTTGCGAAATGCGCCTATTTTCCAATTTTTCTTTTCGCCTAACTCAATCTTTGGAATACTAAGTTGAACATTTGAATATTTATGTTATATAAGTGTGTGTGAATTTTTACTATATGTTGGATCTAAGTATGATATGTTATTTTGGTGTAATATTATATGTTATAACTCATATGTTAGATAAGATTTGATATAATTTATGAGGATAAGTACAATATAATGACTCTTTCTATATTTCCGGGCCAAACCGGGCTAAAACGGTTGACCCTTTAACCCTTAACCCACTAGCTCGACCAGGTACGGGTCAACCCGCGGGTTGACAACCTTGGTCATAAGACAAGAATGTGAAAGACAACTCGATTTATCATTTCACACAAACATCACATCCTTCTGTTCTTTACCTTTCTGCCATGCACCGACTACTATGAATTATATCCTCCTCACTTTGAAGTTTGACCAGCCGTATAATGAGCTCGTTGCCACTTATTATTTCCCAAAATTTCTACAGTTAATCTAGGCAATAGAAATTGTTAGTTCTTTTATTTTTTGAGGGATTGGAAATTATAAGATTGGAGCTTAGAGTATTGGATAGTTTGGTGATTTTTCAGTCAACCAATAAATATTATTTCACCTTTATAAAAAAACTCATAGATATAGATCCAATTTTGGTCGTATTTAATTAATTCGATTGAACAAAAACTACGTAAGAAATCTTTTAGATATTGATAAATAGACGAACGAATAAAGAGAGTGAATCTTGTTAGTGTGTAGAGGAAGAGAAAGAGACAAAATCAAATAATTGATAGTACATTATATTATGCCTTTATATCGTTTGGTCGTAGAGTTTGAAAGAAAATTGTATTACGTAGATAACGATATATGATGTCTAATTAGAAGACGATCAACCAGCCTACCACACCTGATGCGACAATTCCTGGGGCTATTGACTTGAGCAAAAATGGAGGATGAATAGTTTCGGTCTTGTGTCTTCACATTTAGACAAGGGCATAAGGCTAAAAGAAAAAGAACATTAAAAGAAGGGGTAAATGCCACATTTGGTAATTGAGATTACGAAATTGTGTCATGTTTAGTTACTAGAAAATTTTAATATTAATTTTGGTCACTCGAATTACTGAAACTGGTCATATTTAGTCACTCTATCGTTAGTTTGGACGGAAACTAACGGGAGAGTGACTAAATGTGGCGTGTTTCAGTAATTCGAGTGACTAAATGTGACATGTTTCAATAATTCGAGTGACCGGAGTTGGACAGAAAGCTACAGGAGAGTGACCAAATGTGATCTGTTTCAATAATTCGAGTGACAAAAAATGATATTAAAATTTTATAGTGACTAATCATGACACGATTTAGTAATTTCAGTGACCAAACGTGGCATTTATCCTTATAAGAAGACTCCAACTCAAACACCCCAAATGTCAACACAATAATGTTTTGTTTTTGAACAGGTAAGTTGAATCATTTGGTAGCCTTATTGATTATTTCATATTTTAACCCCTTAACTTTATAAATCAATGCAAAGTTCACAATTAATATGGGTTAAGTAAAAAATTGAGAAAAAATATAATTAAAAAATGGAGTAAATAGTGGGGGTGATGACAAGTATGATGGAACAGGAAACGTGTGTGGCAGGAGCCAAGGCTATCAAAGTGGCCACTTGTCCATCTTTGCGTTTTTCAAACTCACATAAAGAACATTGTTTCCTTTCATCATCCACAGTCAAATTTGCCTTAATCAGTGAGCAGTATTTAAAGTAGTAAAAAAAAGTCTTGCCCTTTTCTCTGCCGCCACTCTCTTCTCTGCTTCACTCCCCACGCCCCTGCTTACTTCAACACCAACAAGAGGTAAAATTCCCTTCACAAATTCCCAATTTCTCCTCCAAATTCTGAAGCTTTATGAACAACCCTGATCTGGGTTTGTGCAAACATGAACTGGGTCTGTGTATTTTTTCGCTGTAAATTGAATCCCATAAAGACTGAAAAGCCTACATTTTTGCTGTGTAATTAGTGAGACCGGATTCGGGTTTCTGGAGATGGCAGCTTTCCGTCTTCTTGTTTTACCAATTGATGAAAAAACTGATCAGACTGCTGGGTCTAATGCCAATAAATGCGAGACCCAATTGGGGACTGCCCTGCTTTTGGGGCTCTTTCTGTCTTCACATTTACTTCCCGAGCTCTCCCCTGGCTTCTGACGACTGGCCCAAAAATCTCATCAATCCCATTCTTCTTCTTCTCTTTCTCATTTAAAGCTTCGGCCTTTAATGATTCTTATACACCTCCATTGCTTTATCAGTCACTGTGGTAGTGTTCTCTCAAAGCTGGCTGGCTCACTCTTTTTCCCCTCTGATTCTGGTTTTAGTGCTCTCTCTGGAGATGGGGAGAAGTCCTTGCTGCAACAAAGATGGAGTGAAGAAAGGAGCTTGGAGCACTGAAGAAGACCAAATTCTGTTTGATTACATCAACAAGCATGGCCATGGAAGCTGGCGTACCCTTCCTAAGAATGCAGGTATGTCCTTCATTGATCCTTCCCTCTCTCAGAATGGCTTTTTGGGTTTGTTGAGAGTAAAGACAGAATCGCAAAAAGACTTCATCTTTTGCCTTTTTGGCCTTTTCCTATCACTGAGCTCTCTTACTTTGCCCCCATCACCCTCACGATTTGGCCTCCTCGTGAAATCTGTCTTCTTTAGGTGTTTGCTTTCCCCCCTTTTTTCACTCTTTGTCAGTTTCTTTCTTGTTTGATGTTTCACTTCAGAGAATTGGTTTATGTTAGGGTTTGGTAGTTTGGAAGAATTGGCGTACTTGATGAAATTGGTGCATCGACTAGGAGGAAGGGAAATCAGTGAGTCTTAGTAGTTCAATAAGTGAGACTAATCATTCAGGGTATATGAAGTGTCATTCATCTTGATTGTGAAATTAAAATCGGGGTTCAAATCGATGAGTTCGAATGCTTCCAAGTAACAAGCACAACATTAGAGAGTATGTTCAATCAGTCAAACTAACGGTTCGAATTGGACGTAGCATATGCATATAGTAGAATACGATCTTCAGATCTTGTTAGTTTGATGATTGTTAAATAATTTAACACGTACAATTGGTTTGTGCACGATACGATATCACAAACAACGTACATTTGACATCATTGAGTTGTTACGACATTGGATGAGTGACAGGTCTCCTTCGATGGGGAAAGAGTTGTCGACTGAGGTGGACAAACTACCTTCGCCCCGACATCAAAAGAGGCCCTTTCACCCCTGATGAAGAAGCCACCATTGTTAAGCTTCAAGGCACGCTTGGTAACAAGTAAGTATAAAAAAGTCCTCAAACTCTCATTTCCCGCCTTAAACAAACCATCCTAACTTGCTGAAGAAATTGCAGGTGGGCAGCCATAGCATCCCAAATGCCAGGAAGAACAGACAACGAGATCAAGAACTTCTGGAACACGCACCTCAAGAAACGCCTCTCAACTCCACTTCCACTTCCTCTACCAAACACCAACATCAAGATAGAGGGGGATTCATCTTCCCCTCTATCCACTACTACTCGACACATGGCGCAATGGGAGAGCACGAGGGTGGAAGCCGAGGCTCGCCTTCCATCCTCGCGACCAGGAAAACAACAACAACAACAACAACATAAGTTCAACCAGGACTACTATCTCAAACTATGGAACTCGGACATTGGCAAATCGTTTCGAGACATCAACAAGGTTCAGAAAGATGGCAGGGGAGGAGGAGGTGGCTGCGAGAGCTCGACTTCACAAGCATCTTCCCTCACGAAATTGGGGTCCGGATCTGTCGACGATGACACCCTCGCTACTACTACTACTACTACGACGACGAAGACTTGTAGTGCTGCAGCAGCCATCGTCAAGAGAAGCGATTCTAGCGAGGCGATCCACCACCAGCACAAGGTCGAGGGAGGGTTGTGCTACTACTACGAGGGAATCGGGGAGGAGACTAAACCGTGTCGTCTAGATGTGATGATGATGATGATGATGAGCAGCTCGGATTCCATCACTTCGACGACGAACGAGTTCACGAATTACTCCGACACGGCGCTGAAGCAGCTGCTGGATATCCCTGGTGGGAGTGGTATGGATTTCCTGGAGGACGAGAGCGATGACTTCATTAACTTCCTGGACCTCAGATGTGTCTGATAAAAAAAGCTCACATCTAATCAACCCAAAGTCTCTTTTTGTTAGACCTTATTAAGCTAGCGGTTTAGGTTCTTAGCTGTGGTTTAACCATGAATCGGGCTACCCCCGCCACATTTGATCTCTGAGAAGACAGGAGCAGCGGAAATGGGAAAGCTGTTGGGGTGTGAAGAAAACAGAGCATCCCTGTTGTGTTCCAAACACAATGTCTGTCTTCTCTTTTTTTGGTTTTTTCTCATTTTGTTGTAAAATGTTGAAAATGTGGTCGAAAGGTTTGGATCTTTTGTGTTTGGTTTTGGGGGTTATCGAGTAATTGAGATCCAGAATACATATTCCCAAAGTTAGTAATACTCGATTTAATATGAGTGTTTAATATGCATATAGATGAATGTATTTCATGAGTTTGGAATGTTCGTAAAGCAGGACGAATGATATTGATTGCACTAAAAAAGATCAACATATAGTTTATTTTTCTATATATTCATGTCGTGAATAAACCTAAAAAAGTATAAATAAGATATAAACAAAATATTTACCCAAAAAGAGTACGAAAAAAAAATACTCAATGCATATAAAAACTCCACTTCTTGTTTAGTAAAAAGTATGAAAAAGATATAGACAAAATATTCACCCAAAAAGAGTATGAAAAAGATATAAACAACTTAGGTTACATGAAGTATCATGCAACTCAATGCATATAAAAACTCCACATTTATTTTAAATACTAATAAAATGTATATATTATCAAGGGGTAGTGCTTTTGGAGGAAGTTCCTTTTCATTTTTGTATTTTGCTTTTGTTGTTGTTATTTGGGTCTCATCAATTTAAAGTGTTGTTCATTAGTAACATAGTAAGTTGTTTTATCGATAGTTCACCTTTCGATAACTCCCGTACTTAGTAATTGAACTCGTTCTAACTATTTGTCTATTTTATTCTCTTCTTGAATTGTCTATAGTAATTAATCTTGACACGCTTCGCTCAACTTTTAGTTTAAATTGTGCCCTGCCTTCTCTCTTCTTCCAAGCTTCCTATTCAGACTTTAGGGGCTGTCGTCGACTCTTCCTCCCCCGATCTAGGTTTTTTCTTGTTTTGTTCTTTTGCTTTTGTTCTACCATTTTCAATCGGATTTAAGTTTAGTTTTTGCTTGCCGTTGAGGCCTTCTGATTTTCCCCTTTCCATCTGAGCTACTGCTCTTCTTTCGAGTCTTGGGTTCTGTCCTGGGCTTGCTCAAAGTAGGATCCGGAGTTAGCAGCTTGGGCGCATCTTCCAGATTTGGATGAGGGTGCTTTTTCTCAGGTTGGTGGTCTCATCATTTGGTGAAGCCATTCTCGTCTCTTCCCCTCCGACCTCCCCTGTGAGTTAGTGTTTCTTGGTGAGCCGTCGAAGCGTGGAGGGTTGGGTCTTCCCCGGTGGTTGTGGTTGGAAATCGGTGTTCTCCGTGGAGATGTGTGGCTCCTGTGGGTAGGGGTGTACATGGGTCGGGTGGTTCGGGTTTAGCCATCTTAATCACCCGACCCATGCACTACGGTTTGGGAAATATTAAACCCAAACCCACCCAAAAAAATTTAAACCCTACGGTTTGTTTCTAATTGGGTTGGGTCGGGTTGGCAATATTTTTAAGTAACAACCCAACCCAACACAAAATATGTAATTATTCTACTGGTTATATACTACATAAATATTTTTTGGATATGAAATCATACAAATAGTTGGAACATGGGTTGGGTCGGGTTCTACGGGTTGTGAAATCCAAAATCCAAACCCAACCCAAAAGAGGCGGGTTGTACAAAAGAAAACCCCCCACCCAACCCAATACCTTCGTTTTAGCGATAAATAGTTAATACGGGTGGGTTGGGCCAGATTGGACGGGTGGGTCGGTTTGCGGGCGTGTTTGTTCACCCCTACCCGTGGGATCTTCTGCTCTGCTGGGAATTTGATCTCTCTCCCTCGACTCCCTGGTCCTTTTCAGCTTGGAGCATCCGTTTCATATCCCTCTCCACCGCCATGCAATCTTATTTTTAGGATTCACTGTGATGGATGCCTTTGAGTTATGGCGACAAATGGTTTGATGATGACCACCTAGCCATGGATTTCGATATGATCAGACAAGCTGACTTCGATCTTGTTGTACTCTGATTGGTTGGGTGCAAGAGAGATTCTGGTGATCTGTTTCAGTTCAAGAGTTTTGCTCTCTTTGGTGACTGCTTTCAAGCTGTGTTTCGCTCTTGGTTGCTGTTTTTCCTTAACATAGTTTGTTTATAACCGAGTTCCTTGGGGTTTCCTCTTGTTGGAACCAGAATGTTGGTTTCTTCGTCCCTCTTTGTAACTGACTAGTTAAAGTCCAATAAAAATTCCTATTTGTAAAAAAAAAATTGTCTATAATAAATAAATAACACCGGAGAATATGAAAGCAATGTATCAAAGAGTGGATCTAGCCAAATTTCAGATGATCACCTCGATCAGAATGAAAGGCTGATCTTCCATCATTGGGAAAACGTCATTAGAGAGAACATTGAAAGTGATTGAAGCAACAAGTTCACTCAAGCAAGCTCATGAATTTGAGTTCTACCATCTCCTACTCCACATTCTCTCAGCCTGAAACGTCCACATTATGGGGGAAGTGTCTGTTATGAGTTATGACAAGACAATCTTATCCCAACTTTGGGCCCAAACACAAGCTATGTCCCCTTCCTGATTGAAGTCCTGAATGTCAGGGCAGCTGTTCATCTTTCTTACCTGTATTTTGTCCCAATGTTTCCCCTTCACAGCTCATCCTTTCATTCATAACTCTCAGACCAATCAAACCACACTCTCAAACAAACATCTAGAAGAAACAGGGTCCTTACAGAATAGATGCTCTGTTTATATACACCACAAAAACTACAATCATGCCAAATAATACATCAACAATCAATCTCACACACACATACACTGCAAATCACAAACTGTAAACTCAATCTTGCTGCCTACAATTCTATGAAACGGTAAGAAAACCCAAAATCCCATACATACAGAGCAAACTAATAAAGGTATTTCAGAGTAAGGAAATGTAATTTGGTGAAATATGAAGCCAAAGGGATGTACAACAAAACAAACAGAGTACTAGAGAAAAGGAGGAAGAAGGAATTTTGTTTTGGGTTTAGAAACAGCCGCAGCCAAGTGGGTTCTTTGGTGTAGTCCCTGTGGCGCGATACTTTGCAGCAACTTCCTCTGCTTTCAGCAGATCTTCGCCTCGTTTCGCTTCGGTCATGGCTCGCTTCTCCTCGGCTTGCTTGTGGATTTCGGCGATCTTGTTCTTCATCTTCTCGCCGTACTCTGCTTTCTTCTTCTCCAGCTGTTCCTCTAGCTTCCTGAGCTCTGCCTCGATGTTGGCTTTCTTGCTGTTCTCCCATGACTCGATTGCAGAGATCTTCTTCTGAGCTCTGGTTTCCAGGAAAACAGGGCAAAACCCCAATTAGGCACTGGAAACAGAGAAAAAGGTAATTGAGAGTTGGGAGAAGGGATTTTCTTACTTGTTCTCAGCTTTGCTCTTCTCGGCCTCTTCCCAAGCTCTGATGAGCGAAGTCCGCTTCTCTGCTTCAACTTTGGCAAGTACTAAATCTGAAAACCCACACCAACACAGCAAACAAACAAACAAAGGTTAAAGTTACTTCCTTTTTCAACCAAACCAAACGCCCTGAAGATCTGAAATTCAGTAAGCCAAAACGGTTTTGTGTATTAATTACCTCGATTGATAGAACCCTCAGCAGGCTTTGCCTCCTCCACTGCAGCTTCTGCCACCTCTGTTTCACAAACCAACCAACCCACACAAAAAAAAATCAATTTTTGTATACATAACAAAGATTCCAGAGTGAATCTGGGGGACATGAAAGGGGAAGTTTTATATATCCATAGCAAATTGAACAATAAGCAGTCGGTCAGAGGCTCACTCTCTCGCAAGTCCTCTAAAACAGAGTATAAAAAGGAACGAAATTTCGGCAGAGTTATAACAGCAAAATCAGAACCCAGAAAGCAAAATTGAGGGGAAAGAAGGTAATTACTTTCGACGGGGACGATGGCCTTGGAGTCGTCAGGTTTTTCTTCCGGTGGAGGAGTGGCCGGAACTACGGATTTCTCCTCGGCGACGTCCTTTGGAGTTTCGTCGGCAGGAGGAGCAGCAGCAGCCGCTGGAGGATCGGCGGCGGGAGGAGCAGGGCATTCGGGCTCGGCCTTCTTTGCTTCTTCTTCTGCCATGGATTAGAACTTTGGGAAGCCGAGAAGGAGGGATGTGGGAAGAGAAATGGGGAAAGGGAAGTGAATAATGGAGAAGCTGGCTGTAGAAAGGAAGGGGAAATGAGAGAAGAGAAGGGTTGGTTGGTTGTGATATTATAGCTGGGGTTGGCGAAGGAGTGTAACGTCTCTAGCCAAGTGGCCAAATGCCAACTGGATAATATCTTTATATTTTTTAACGGCTATTTATTTTTATGTTGAAATTTGGAAATTTTATATTTTTTAATGATATTTTAATGGCCATTAAAATTATATAAAAAAAATATTCCTTAATTTTCCTTTTTCCAAAATAGGTTATTATATTTTTATAAAAATAAGGTTGCATGAACCATTATCGACCTTGAACCAAAATATTGAAACTCAATTATAAATTACATGTAAAGTTCTCATTAATTATAGGTAATTCATCACAACGAAAAGATACGGGAGTACGAAACTCATAACTCAAAATCATTATTTACAATGATCATGGTATATTCAATCGTAAATTTTTCTACATTGTCATAATATTTGTTTGGGAATCACCTTCCGTAATTATACAAAGTGGTTTTAACCAACATACTTAGAGATAATCATGGGCAACTAAACCACTTCACAACTACAACTCTTGTATACCTTCAGACCAAACCTAGGTTTTAATTTTTGCCCTAACTTGACAATCTCCTTTGAGCGAACAAAGGGTGTATTATCACCTATTTTGAATGTGAAAATTCGAGATTCGAATCTCCAAATCATAACTATATTAAAAAAAAACATATCACCCCTATAAAAAAAAATTAAAATCTCCCTCGAAAATAAATGCTTCCACAAATTTCCATTAAAAACAATCCAATTCATTGGATGACCCCATAGTTAATTTCCTTTTAAGGTGATAGAATACTAGTTCCAAAAATTTATTCAATTTTACATATTCGTTTTCCACAAAATCATGATAAACAAATCAAATTCCTCCACCATCTCCATAATAAAGCAAATCCAATCAAACAAAGCAACATTCCCTCTAGGAAAAATAAATCAAAAGTAGCATTTATATTCTTTTCCTTTCCCTAATCAAATTATGCATAGGAATAGAAGCACTGGCGTAGTGGTGGTGGCTCCAGCCTGCCCTAACTTGTTTGCTTAATCGAGATATCTTGCTGAGTGGGAGAATCTTTTGATTTGAGGGACCAGGTTGTCAAGATTTCTAAACTTGGGATAGTTGGTGGAAATTTAATATAATGATCCCTTTTCACTCCACCATCTTTTACTTAATTTCAGGTTAGGACTTGCATAAATTTCCCACACCATAATCTATGGCCAGGATTGTGAAGGAATGAAAGTGATATACCAACTAGATAGCAATTAAATGGGTAAGTTCATTCGTTTTTTTTTTGGTGAAAAAGGTGCAAGCACCTCGGCCTCAATTCATTGTGATGATGAAAAAACCCGGCCATTAACATAAGTCTATGCATCAATGTAAAAAATGTGACCTAATGAAGGCCACCCGAAATATGGAAAATGCAATGTGAAGGTTTATATCGAATAAGATGTTTCAATGAGTCGAGTATGATATGTTTTATTTACGTAAAGTCTCGTGTACATCGATTTTGAAGTCTTTATATAATATTGATGAGTGGACTTCTTGAGGTAGATCGATATTGAGATTTTCATGTTGGACGAAACAGGTTCAAATTCTTCATTTTCAATCATCCAACTATTTAAACAAGGTCTAAATGACTCCATATGCAAATAAGATACTTGCATAAAATGAATTACATATTTCTTTGATGGACTAGAAAAAGAAATAGAAAGGCGAAAGTCGGAAACGTGGAGGGATAAACATATTCCTTTATGACCATCGAGACTTGAGTACATCGATGAAATGCATATATAATATATTTCAGTTAGTGGATTGGTAAAAAGGATGCATTTGCAGAAATCCTTTGTTTGGGATGCTTGGTTTAATTTGTAGAAGATGATTGCTTGAATACATTGATAAAATTCACATTCTCATATTCATATAAGGAGTTCTCGTGAATTTTATTCTTTATTGATTGAATCAATCAAGAGAAGCGTTGTCAAAAATTCATTGAATTCAGATTCACAACTAAAATGCTACTAGTGTGAATCAAAGGTTTCGACCACCTCAACCACAACATCTTTCACGAGAAATATAAACTTCAATACGAAACATATTTGAAATCTTCAGAGTTGTCGCAAGCTACACACCCTAGAGCAAGTTGTTATATATATATACATTTACCTAACCAGATAATCTTCTTCCAATTTCAATTTACGCCATGGGAGCTTGAGCAAGGTAGCTAATCATTGTGGAAATTCCAACCTGTCGACGGCATTTTTAAAATATTTTCCACTTTCTCCAAAGCCAGCAATAAATCGTTGGATTACTTCACATCGTCGTGCTAATTTCGTCAATTAGCGGTATTATGATGAACTGGATATTAATTATAAGTTGATTTGCTTAAGTTCTGGCCTGAGCGTGTGATTGATTGATGTGGACGCGGCTTAATTGAGACAGCAGTCTTATGTATTAGCCACTTAAGTACACATCCAGAAACCCTAATGGCTGCAGAAAAGAAAAAGAAGCAAAAGTTGTCGATAAGAATTAAGAACCATAAGCATCACACTACTATCTAGTTCACTGTTCAATGAGATAATTGAGACCAAAAATTGAAGGACGGTAATCTGGTTGCTTCTGGATCTGTGAATTAAAGCAAAGGTTAGTGGGAGGTTGTATCGAAAATGTTAACGACAGAATGTTTTATACTTAAATTATGCTATAATAATTTTATACCATTAAGCTACCTGCCAATTTAGCCTTCAATAGAAAGTTTTTCCATCCGCACCGCTGATACGATCTAACAAACACTGTTACATATATTATCAATACAAATTCGGTGTTTAGTGTTTACATATCTTATACTTAGCTTTCACCCAAAAAAAAACTTATTATTAGTTTTCTTCATAAATATGGAATTAATGAAATTTGGAGAGGGGTGAGATATGTCACAACCCCTAAGTGGATTGTCAATTTCACTACCCACCTCTTGGGCATTGGATTCATTATCTCTCATTTTTAAAAATGGACGGATGAGATTGAGCGCTTGCCGTACTTTTTTTGCGAAATTTGTTATTACCACATCAAATTGCTAGCCATGTAATTTATCACCTTCTACTATGTCACACGATAAATCACTGTTGTCGAGTTCATCACATGGATTGACGGACCGGTATATTTGATTCTCTTACACTTTATCCAATATTGAAAGGAAAATAGTATAATTACGCGTTGATATTTTTATGAAGAGTAATGATACAATTAAGGAGTTGTTAGTAAAGATTCCAAAGGTAAATATGCAAAGACTATGAGCCGACGGTGATTTCTTTTGTAGCTATTTTGCTTCTTTAGTCATGTAACAATGGATGATTCAGACCACACATGTTCGTTTGCTTTCTTTTCATGTTTTTTTTTTTTTCCTACCAGGTTGTACAATAGGGCTGGCTATTAGTGACTATTAATGCCCTTTCATCGACAATTCGTCTATTTGTCGACTGTCGCGTTTGTTTGCTCTGTATTTTGTAATATCTATTACGAACCCTATATATTCCCAAAAAAAAAAAACAATGGATGACTAGACCACACAGTTGTTTGTGCATTAGAGATTGACCGAACATTTGGTCTCCAACTCTGAAAATGGGGTCAACGTAATTGATGACTCGGTTGCCATCACATATGAGTTTGCTTGCTGCTTTGGCTGGCGCCACGACTTCCTAATGCCTTGTTTACAGCCACGAATTTCGATTTGGCTGGCTGGCTGGTGCAGCATAATCATGCTTCCGTTTACCTCAGGCCATAGCCACCATCTTCAATTCTTTGACGCTCTATCTAACAATCCATTTCGATAACCTAATTTCCCCATTTCATCAAGGGATTGGAAATTTGGAATTCCCACGGAAAATGGTCCAAAAGGCAAACTAATCATTTCTCCAATTAAGTTGGTTGTGCGTAGGAATGACAAGGGAAGGTCCGGGCTGGATATCTCGATATCCATACCCACTCCGTGGTAGGTCGGGTTCAGGTCGGGTAATTTATCATGGGGCGCGGGTTGGGGCAGGTTGGCCCAATGGACATGTAATTTATGTGAAAAACTTAATAAATATTTATTATTTCCATTAAAAGACCAAGAAATAAATCATAATATGATAAAATATAGTTAAAGTATTTGGAGAAATTGAGGTTTTCACTTATCTATAACTTTATTATAGCTAAAATATGAGGTAATATGAGGAAAATTCTAAGTAATTTGACTAAGATTACATGTAATATAGGCAAGAACGGGTCGAGAATGGGGCAGGTTAGGGCAGGTCGGATCGACGAGAGGTACCCATTCCCGCCCCGCCTACAGAGCTGGTTGGACCCGCCCCAAAACAGGCCAAACAGATCGGATAAAACGGGTCAGATTGAAATTGTCATCCTCTAATTGTGCGCCACAACAATGTACAGACGAAACTTCAATGCCAACACATCCTTGTCATCTTATTGTAGATTGATTGAGGATAGAGTGGCCACTTTGGTTTCAGATTGGCTTTCTATCTATGAACTAATTTTGTTTTGACATTTTAAGCGGGATAATGTTCATTTGAGTCGTGTTTATTACAAAAGTTGGTGAATCCAAAATTTTAAAGCGATAATAAATGGAAACTAATGGCCACTTTCTAAGTTTGCTTACTATATGTAATCACATGTTAAAACCTGGAGCCTAAGTAGTGAGACGAGCTGCAGCCCCTCCTAAACTACAGTACATGTACACTAAAATCATGAGTCCTCTTTAGCTTCTTGAAATAGTGATAATTCATATATCACTAATGAGTGACTCAAGTTGTAAGACATGAGGTTGGACACGATGAGACTGTTGAATTTGACTACCATAACATATCATTTTGAGGAACAATCACTTTGTGACTACAGTCAGCCAACAAAGCTATAAACCCGAATCTCCTGCTCTCGTGAATTTTCCACCATACATTCATTCGAATCGAAATAGCCTCAAAGGAAACTAGAACACAAGAAAGGATATAAAAAATTGAACTCATGTTGGCATATTAATTGAATATTTATATTATTTCATTGTTGTTAACTAATTGATT